TGTCAATTAGGCCTCATCATTACGTAAATGCAATTTTAGCTCCTTAATAAACTTAATGTACATTCAATTAATTTTAAAAAAGTATTCATTTACTTTTTAACTTATTCTTATTATATTATTGTATAACAATGTATCGTTATGGTAAACCTTTTGTTTTTTTCTGACTTTAATGGTTGGTTATATAAAACAATTAAGGCGTGTTAAAAGGATACCACTTAGGTACTCTCTAAAAATGAATTAGTCAAAAATGACTAATTTAATAGTTATTATTGTCTGCTTTTTCACTTGTACCATGGTATCCCAAAATTTAACAGCCAATTCTTATGCAAAATTGTCCCCTGAATCAGAAAATGTCGTCAAAAGTTAAAAAAGTATAACAGTGTTTGAGATAGAGTCAATTTTCCATTTAATATGGAATTTACTATATCTCACTTTCATAATTTTTGACGGTATTTTCGGATTCAAGGGACAATTTTACATAAGAATTGGCTGTTAAATTTTGGTATACCATGGTATTCAATGGTTAACCATGGTACAAGTGAAAAAGCAGCCACTAATAACTATTAAATTAGTCATTTTTGACAACTTAGTTCATTTTTAGAGAGTATACATTATTTACAATAAATATTAATACATTAATTGAACGATTTTTTTCGCAGGCAAAAATAATCTTTTCAATAAAGTTGGGGTCTTCATGCCATTTTGCTCTCAACCAGCGACAGAATTCTAGTCTACGTGAAAGATGTTGAGGATTTAAAGCTTGTACTCTTTGTAAATGATAGGAATATATATAACTGTACTTTTTTTAACGTCCTCTTGCATAGTGTCATTTAGTGCTTGTCCCAAGATTAGCGGCAATTAATTCCAGAACCGTTTCTTCGTTAAACCTTAATCAATGGTTTCATCGTTTTCCTTTGTTCGAGTTGTTCGATTTCTTCCGCAATCACCTTTGTTTACTTTACTAGTGCCAGTTTCACACAGTCTTTGATGTAAACTGTAAAACGCCCGCTCATTGTTTGTCCTATTGTGTAATAGTCCTTCGGAGGGGACTTTAAGCCCGCGGTCCGTTCCTACCCCTAATCCGCTCAAGCCATTCAGTTGGATTCTGGAACTTCTTAGGAAGTACTATTATTATTGGCCTTACCGTACATGAAATGTATTTTGGCCATTTCTTGTTATTACCCAGCAAGCACAAACATCCTCAGGACGTCCTTGGACCAGCCTAAATGTCCCAGAATGGGATGATCCTATAAGGACTTCCTGAGGACGTCCATAGGTTGACCTTATCGGACATTAGATCTTTTGAAGGTCCCATTTTGGGATATCCTAGGAACGTCATTTAAGGATGTCGTTAGGACCTAATAATATCCTAATTAAAGCCTAAAATGGGCTGATCATAGGACTAATCCCAGAGACATCCTCAGAATGTCCCGTTAGGTTTTGGTAAACATTTGGTATGCACATTTTTCTATAAGAATATTTTATCCATATAATTAATAATACCTACATTTTTTTACATCAATATAATTATAATATTATATTATATAGATTTTTTTAAGTTTATACACTATATTTATTCTACGACAATCACAAAAATTAAATAACTTTCAACAATTATATATAAATAATTATTTATAAAATCTGACATCGATCAGTCTATTCTAACCTCACTTTTTAGACCCTTTATTTTGATGGTCATTGTTTCGCAGTTGACAACTGCAATTAACTTCAACCCATGACTAAAAAGTCCGAATGCCATTGCTGCCAACTTCAGCCCGTGACTAAAACGCCATAAAGCCACAACTTGTCAATGTGTATTTAAAATATCATGGAAACATGTACGATAATCGGCGTTTTAAAGGCGGGAGTTTAAAAACAATATTATATTTTGTGTATTTGTTATATGACCACAAAATATATTTTGTATACAACTGGATAGCAGCCAACTTAATACGCATGCGCAGAAATGACGGCTGATAATTAATAATTGTTCAAACACCTTGTTTGTACTGATACATTTAGAGTTTTATAAATAATAAATAAGGTAGTAAGCGTCAGTTAACCTTAAAAATGTAATTACAAACGCTATCTATAACTTATTTAATAGTTTGTGTTACCGATTGTTTTAAATTTGCCGCCATACGTTATGGTGGTAACTATTGTCTATGGTGGTATCACTGGATGGAGAGAAAGCTAAGATGTCGTATAGCCATGATACAAAGTATCATGTCGTATAGCGTCCTTTAGTTGTTTGGGGTCTTTTTGTTAGAAAGAATCATAGATAACACTGTGAACGGAATTCTTTGTCTGTGCCGTGAATTCTTATTCTGTGTCGTGAACCTGGTTTAAGGGCGTGAATCTCGTGTGTTTGTTATAATATAATATTATTATAGTGTTGGATATTTCAACAACAATCAGAAAGTTCCAGTGCTTATTAATTGTTTATTTTTAAGTTTAGGGTAGTTATGCAATAATAATTTTTTGTTCCATATTAAGTTGTCTTTTTATTTAATAAAATGTTATTTTTGTAATTACTTCAGAAACCTAATGTTCAATTGTTATTCTGTCTTATCCATTTTAATCAGAAGAAAAAATGCCAATAATTTGCTAATTTAACTGACTTTGTAGCTGCAATAATAATGGAGTTAAAATGGTGAGCAGATAACTTTGGACACTGTGTATATATAAATAATATAACTATTATATTTATTTAGAATTATTATTTATTTTACTTTTATAATAAGTGTTTATTTTTTATTTTATATAATTGGCTGTGTAAAATTATATACATGTATACAGAATTAAAATAATATATTTTATAAAGTAATAAAATGGTATTTGATTGTTTAAAATGTATCCCCAACAAATAACAAGGCCATTCAGAGGATGTCCTCAGGACATCCCATTCCTGGACCTATATGGACCTAGGGATATCCCTAGGATATCCTAAAGGCCATTTGCGGGACGTCTGTAGGCTGGCCTTTTTTGCACCACTCGGCCATGGTTGGGATGTCCTGAGGAGGTCTGAGGACGTCCTAGGATATCCTTGGGATATCCCAATATCCTGTAAGGCTTTCCTTAGGATGTCCTTAGGACAGACTTGTGCTAGCTGGGTAACCATTTATGTTAAAAATTACAGTTTCTCCTGATTTATGTTATGACAAATAATTTGACAAATGTCACGAAATGTTAATAAAACTAAATGAGTTTGACCTACACTTTTATTGTGTTTTGTTCTTTCAAAATTAAGTAGATATTACAGCTCAGGTTTTCTGATTTTTAACCGCAATTAATTAATTTTTACAATGTTTTAAAAGTCTAAAACCTATCCTCCGTGACTGTCACTCTTTATAGATTAACCTATATGTTTTCAAATATCTGATGTAGTAAAAGCATACTAAAAATATCAGTTCACTAAGTAAATTAAACACATCCAAAGCAATCGAATCAAATATAAAATATTATTAAAAATTAAAAGAGATATTTATAAACATTTATGTAGGTGTTACAAAAATTGATTCTATCCTCCGTGAATCTATTTTTGCTTTAAATTTTATGTAACGGATGGCGCTTTATTCATTTTAAATAAGCAAAAACCTCTGTTTACGACATTATAGATGCACGTGATTCCTGAAGATCGGTTAAAATTTATATGCAGATGAGAGTGTTGCTGTTTTATAATTCAAAAGTTTAAGTTCATTAATTTGCTATTTAAAAACCTTTTCACCGTGAAGTGTAATATCTCAGTAAGTAGATTTTTTTATAAATATTTTATGTATGTACAATTGTATTTTTAAAAGATATTAAGGTGTCAAAAGATACAATAACTTATTTCAAATAAACAAAGGTATGTTTATAAAAAACATACGAAATCCTAACCTCCGTGAAGCTATCTTCCGTGAAGCTTTAATATTCAAAATGTATGATTTCTTAAAATTCTGGCATTAGTGCAGAACCACTTATGTTATTACTAGACCTGGTGGCAACCAAAAATAAAAAATAATTATTTTCACTTGGGGGACATCTCAATATATTCACCAACTACTAATTCGCTTAAATTTTTTTTATTGTGGCGAGATTTATTTTTATGTGTAGAATCACCCCCAGAAATATATTAACGTTATTTCGGAACACCCTGTATAAAGAATATACCTATACAAAGAAGGATACTTGGTGCACCCTGTATAGTTCATACAAATATGTATGTATAACATTTAAGTATTTTGTTATATCTTAAATCATGTTTAGCTTAAGAATATTTATATTTAACCGACCTTGCTCTAAATGCCTTCATATGGTAAATAGAGCATTACGAAACAATTAAATTTTAAAACACTTGTTAAAATATGTAAATGAATCTTTTAAGTCATATTTTCATATTCAATTTTATATTTCCTATTTCTTTTTGTTATATATTTTTTAGGTCATTGATTAAAGTTTTACTATATTGGGTTTATGCTCAATTTATTTGGATTAAAATGGGTCAAGGAAAACTATTTAATTTTGTATTTGTTTGTAGAAGTAAGAAAAAATCAGGAAAATTATAATTAAATCAGAAACTATGCGGTTACAAAATTTTACCATTTAAGTAAAAAATATAACCACCAAGGTTACATTTCTTTCTCAATTTTCTTTATTTAAAAATTTATACTACTATACATACCTAATATTTAAATTTTCACTTATTTAATCATCATTTTTTTTATTTATTGTGTATATCGCAATAAATTGCCCAATATGAAATCCATGTAATAAAATTTAAATACTAAAGGGAGTAAATATTACACAAGAAACATTCTACATTGCAATAGAATCCATTAAACAAAAACACATGTAATCAATCCACAGGTGGTGACAATAAAATCACACGTGAACCGTAAAACCGGAAAGAAAATCAACAATAATAACTTCTTATTACAAGAATTAATTATGTTTTAATCTAACAATTCCTACTTCCGCCAGAAGTTAAGAAAATAATCTCTCTTCATTCTCAATCTTACCGGTATAATGCAGATCAAAATATCCTTAATTAAAAGAAAAAATGCAAACACTTGGCACACGCACAATTGGTAGAGTACCGACTGTACAAAAAGTGAACGCAACGCAATCGCGACACGATGAAATCGAAGGAATTGTGCACGTCGGTTTGACAGCCGCGGTAGAAAACAACTGAATTACTGTTGTGTTAGCATGCAGACAGCTGCTGCAGACGGGGACGTTGCCAGGTCGTACCGCTAGCAGGAAGCGCTATTGGCTTTTGATGCTCGGGTTCCTTGGATTTTTACCGTTAGATTCAAGAGATGCTTGAGTGTAGTGGATAAAAAGTATACATATACTTAAAAATAATGTTAGGGTAACCCTAATAGGGTTTGGTAAAGTTGTTCGTTAAATTTCTGGAGATACCAACGCCAGAAAGACAACAAACCTTTTAAATTAAATTCTCAAAATGTCTGTGTTTTAGGATTCTTTGTTAAATATCTTTTCTACTAATTTTTAAAACTAATACAATGTTATAAAAATCAGATTTTTTAACATAAGTTGTGTGGTTAGTTAATTTAATTTTGTAAAATTAACAAAGGAAAATATTTTAACGAAAGTTTTGTAAAGGTAAAATGCAATTTTGGAAGCATGTATGTGTTAATTTTTTTGTTTGGTAAATTGATTAATCAAGCAACATTTCTTATCAAAATTCTTTTCATTCAAGTTCCCAATTTTCAAAAAATACTATTGTTAGTGGGTCTACAAAAAGGTTTGTAATAATATGGTCCTTTTTAAAAATTATAAGAATTATGGTTGAATTATTGCGTAGAATTTTGTTATTAAATCTACAAAATCTCTGTTATTATTACAAACTACTTATTATGGTTGATTTAATCATGTGGACCTGGATTAACATAAAATCTGGTTAATATTTGGTTAAAATTAACAAATAATTTTTTTTACTGTGTATTATTATTAGGTCTTAAAAAATATTTATTACTAAATTGTTTGGATCTATCTACAGTAGGGTGGGTTGATTTTATTATTTTTCAATAATCAAATTGTGCAATGGTGGAAAAGTTGTGCATTTATAAGGCCAGATAAATACTATATGAGTTTTTTTATTTTATTTTAATTTCTTAAACTGCCACAAGGCCTTTTGTGTCACCGTCAAATGTCAAATTTTTATATTTTATAAACACAGATTATGACTAAAAACCTGTTGCTAACTTCAGCCCGTGACTAAAACGCCATAAAGCCTCAACTTGTCAATGTGTATTTAAAAGGTCACTTTGTGTCATGGAAACATGTAAGTACGAGTAGAAAAAAGTTTTTAATGTAATTTAGTACCGTTATAGTACCGAAAAAAATTATCTGGGAGAAAATAGGATCAAAAAAGTTTTGAATGATAATTATTTCTGAAAAGAAACGAAAACAAAAATGACTTTATCAACAACACAAATTTAGTTTAATTTATAATCCTGTTTTGAACCAAAAAAGGACATAATTTTCCGTGATTTCAATTGACCTTCGGTCATCTATGCTGTCACAATATTATAATTTATATAAACAGTGAAGCCAACTGTCATACGTCAAACACGAAAATCTTAAAAAATATTTATTTTCCATTTTAGGCCGTCTTTTCAATAATTGAATGAATTAAAATTTACAGTTTGTAATTTCACTCAGTTCAAAACATTAAAAAAGAAAAAAAACATCAAAGAAAAATTGATATCAAAAAAAATATTTTGCAAAAAATGTTTGCTTTCCTATTTCACAACTTTTTCTTAAAAACGCAGAATTTAAAATTTGTCAGTGTTAGTGACACTAACTTAGTGTGTCAAATTTGTCTGTAAAAATCGAAATTTCTCCCTTAAAAATGGACTAATAACCGTTTAAATCCGATATAGAAGCAGTTTTTCACAGTGAAAGTGAAGAAGATGTTTTATGTGTACTCCACCCGAAATGCTTTATGCTTTATTGGCATATAAACTTTTTAATATTGTTCCCACTCTTAAAAACCGAATGCGTCAACTGTTTACACCAAAAATAAAAATACGGTACCTATAACTTAAACATCATCAAACCATCAAAAATCTAGAAACAACAACTTAAAAATTCTTATAAATTAAATTTTTTTAATACTTATGTTTGTCGATAATGAGCCTAATAACATTTAAAAAGTATTTGGTTGTTTTATTTTTATTTAAACGAACTTTTGGTAGGTACGGCAACATCGGATAGAGAGTGGTATTTGTTTGGCCTAGTAATAAGTTTCCAATCCTCTCGTGAATGACCTCAAAATAATTCTTGTCTTATATGCTCGCGAGGTGGCTCGATACCTTTCCTTGTTAATCGTTACTATAGGTACTTATTTGGCCCACGGGGCTCCTGTGACAATCGTCAAAAAATAATTGTTGCATAATTGTTTTTTGGCGATTGTTAAAGTAAATATATATAAGTACTTTAATAAAAAAAGCTTTACCCAAAAATAGCGCACAAACTAAAACCTATTTTTATTCATGATGAGTAGTTGAAATATTATATACAGGGTGTCCCTTTTTAGGGAGGCATGTAGCCCCCCCAATTCGGTCTCCAGCCCCCCCAAGACATGCACTACTTGTTTTTTTATGTTTAATAATTTTTACTATTTTAAGTGTCTTTCGGTTCGCTTTTGAAATGGTAAATGTAATGATAATTTTCGCATAATACAAGTAATTTCGTCATTACAGCGTGAAAAAATAATACAGGGTGTCATTTAACTTGAAACTTTGAAATATCTCAGTTAGTATGCATTTTACGAAAAAAATTTTAAAATAAAAATTAAATGATTCGAGGGGGGAATCAATCAGTATTAAAATTGGTCCTCATACTCTCCTCCTTATAGGGGGAACAGGGGGTAACTTTAAAATTTACAATATTTCCACCCTATTTTTTATTGCAGATTCATTTTTTTTCGATTTTTCTTCTGTTTTATTTTTTAAATTTATTTATTTTTTAAATTTTAATTAAAGTAGGTGCTCAAAATGGTGGCCTTCGACTTCAATGCATTCGCATTTCGTTTTATTATTCTGCTAACACTGCACTGGGATATTCCCAAATCTCTAGATAATTCTCCTGTGCTTGCATGAGGATTAGCGGCCGTTGCTGCTAATACATTAATTTCATTATTTCCACCTGTGACTGTTGCTCGACAAACTCTTTTTTTCGGTTGAACACTCCCGTTTGTAGTAAATTGCTTGACTGTACGGTGAAATGAAGTACGTGATCGAATTTTATCCGGAAAACGCTGAGCGTCGATATTAACAGCATCATCAAGATTCCTGCCTGCTTCTCCATAAATCAAAATCATTTCCATTTTTTCTTCCACTGTTAAAAAATCCATTATGAATAACTGTTTAATGAAAAGAGGTATTTTTGTTTGCAAATTAATCTTCGAAATAAATTGATTAAATAATTCTAAACTATAAATAGTTATTTAATAATTATTATTTATAACTAAATACCTACCATTTTTTTAGGATTAAATTAAATTAATTAATTGACAAAATAATATTTTTTTAACTTAAATGAGGTATTTTTATTAAAAATAGTACAATAATCCTTTAAATTAAAGGATTTAATGCTGACAGGTAAAAAGTGACCAATGACCGAATGAAATAATGTATAAAAAGATAATTATTACCAAAAAAGTGATATTTTTATAGAAAAATTATTGCAGAATCGCATACAAAAGAAAAATCGACCTGTGAATAATATAATACATTATAAAATAAATTTTAAAATATATATTGTTTTAAACTGTAAACAAAAATTTCGCCTGCGGTGGGATTTTTTCCCCACGCCCATAATATAGGGCTTAGCCCCCCTAATGTCCCAAGTCCTTTACAATAGATTAAGTCTAATGTACAGAATGTTCAAATTATAATTATAACCATATATGGTTTTATCAGGAACGAATGTTTCATCTTCTGAAAAAATGCATTCTAGAATTTTTTATTTTAACAATACTATAAAATAAAATAGAAACAAACGTTTGGTTTCATCACAAAAGATTTGCAATGCTATTTGCACCTTCGATAAATTCCTCTCAAACAATTAATAACATAATTTCTAAAGCAATAGCACTGTCGACGTTAATTATATGCATATAGGGGTGCGTTTGAAAAAATCAAGGATACTAAAAGTGAAGGTGAATAATATTATTAATTTTCCTTTGAAATATGTTTATTATTAGAAATACGCTCTATTTGAAAGTTGTTGGAATATTTTTTGCTAATTAAATAAAAAAAACACATCTAAATTGTATAAACCCATTGTAAAGTTTACGTAGCATTCTATATAACTTTTCAACTAAGTTTTCCCGAATTATTTACAGTTAAATACTTTTAAAACTTGTAACATGAATTAGCTCTTAAACAACTAGTTTTCCGGCTTTTTGGCATGCCATAAAGTTTATGTAATTCAACCTTGATGAAAAATCTTATGCAACGTTTAAAAAACTTGAGTATGATCACCAGAAAAAATGTTTCCTTTGTGTAGTTTAATCCATAAAATGAGTTTTGAGTTCGGTTAAATAAACGTGTGTAATCAGCAAAATTTGTTATCTGCTTATCTACGTTTTGTTTTTGTAGGTAATACCTACTAGATATTGAATAATTGAGCGATTTACCTTTCGCAAACTTTAGACAGTTAGCAGTAATATTGTTTTGTTTGTTCTAGTTAAGAGTTAAATTGCCTGTTGAAATATTTAGAATAAAGTCATCGTCTACGTAAATATATACAGGGCTTTTAACTAAAAACTACCCAGCAAACACATTAGTCTGATTGTGTAATGGCCCATTACATAGTTTCATGGCTTAATAATGGAATTTTTAGCAAGAGCTTTTCTTGTACTGGGCCTTTACAGAAATGTTTTAATAGAAATAGATAAAAGGCTGTCGTGATAAGGTCTTGCAATGGCCCTTTTCAGGCTATTATTTTACCATAAAAGACCCATATATGGCAATATTCAGTATCAGGTTAATTGGACTTTAAAAAACCATTGAAGTGCCAAATATTTTCTGTATATAAAACATTCATAAACATTTAATTATCCTTTGGTTAACGCCATATTTTAAAAATTGCTATAGTTTTAATAGTGTGTTATACCACATAAAAAAATAATAATAATACCTAATCGTTGTTAAATTCAAATGAGTAAGTAGGTGCATTTTTAATTTTACAACTTTTATGCAGACAAAATACCGCCAAAGAATTTAGTAGAAAGGTTTAATTGATAAGGTCAAAATTGGGGAAATTGCGAATAAAATATAATATTATATTATTTATATATGTATATACATATATGGGTGAATATATTGAGATGATCCCCAAGTGAACATGATTATTTTTCATTTTTGGTTGTTTCACTGTAAGGCTAGAATGGGGTGCAAGATTTTTAATAAATCATACATTTTAAATATTAGAGCTTCACGGAGGTTAGGATCTTTTGACACCTTAATATTTTTAAAAAATACAATTGTACATACATCAAATATTTATATGAAAAATCGACTTACTGATATATTACACTTCACGGTGGATATTAATTAATGAACTTAAACTTTTGAATTATAAAACAGCAACACTCTCATCTGCATATAAGTTCTAACTGACCATTAGGAACCACATGCATAATGACGTAAACAGAGGTTTTTGCTTATTTAAAATGATTATAAAGCGCCATCCGTTGCATAAAATTTAAAGCAAAAACAGATTCACGGAGGATAGATTCAATTTTTGTAACATCTACATAAATGGTTATAAAAATTATTTCTTTTAATTTTTAATAATATTTTATATTTGAATCGATTGCTTTGGATGTGTTTAATTTACTTAGTGAACTGATATTTTTAGTATGCTTTTACTACCTCAGATATTTGAAAACATATACATAGATTAACCTAGAAAGAGTAACAGTCGGATGGAAAAAGGCAGTAGCTGCTAAACAAGAAATTTGCGGGAAATAATTATTTAAGCATAAACTACATTTTTATAAAAAGCAGTAGGTATTTAATTGATTTATTAAACTTATTAGTTTACTGCATTTCTTTGTTAAATTAATGTACAAAATGTCCATAGCTTTATCACAGCACAAGAAAACGCGTTTAGAATTTTTTTGTACTCACCGCCTTTCTCCATAGTAGGGCAGTATATATATTAGCTGCTATAGTTTAATGACTTATTTTTCGAGAAAACATATAATAAAAATAATATGATAACATTAAAATAATTAAAAGTGGGTAATTGCTAAGTTAGGAATTATATCATGATTATATGAATTATAGCGTTGATTAATTTGCAAATAATTTTATATTAATTTTTGCGTAATAGAAGCATTACACTCCTGGGAGAACGTTAGGCAGGAAAAAATAGTTTATAATGTTGTTTATCTTTATGCAAAACGCAATATTAACTACAGTTACTCAACAAGCATTTTTAACACTGTTCACATTAATAACATATTTTCTACAATTTTAAATACACCTTTTTTATATCTGGAAATTGTACTTTGTATGTCACGATCAAGTAGTTCAATATTACCATACAGTATTAATCTGTGAAAAACATCTATAAAATATATTTTCTTAGAATTTCATTAGACATATTTTTAAAAAAGATTAACTTAATTAAAAAACAAATGACCAACATTAAACAAAATTGCTACAAAAAAAATTACTCAATAACAAAGTTATCAACAAATTTACTAGCGATACCTCTCACCGCTGCTTACGCACGCTCGCTAACTATAAATACCGGTAGGCTATAAATATTTACATGAAGGTGTGCGTCCAATAATCAAGTACAAATGCCCACAATACTGGGCTGCTAATATACAGGGTATCTCAGATCATACACCTTCAATCTGGGAAACCCTAGGGTTTCCATACAGCTGTATATTTTTCTGATATCTTCGGAATAAAGTTGTATTTGGGTATCTGAGATGAAGAGACATCATTTTGATACCTATTTCAGATATATTATAGAAGGCTAAAAACAGCACTTTTATGTCTTTTGATATCTTATTTCAGAAAAGAAGTAAACAGTTAAATAAAGACGAGGTAGGTCCGTAGGTCCATAGTTGATGTAGGTCAAAGAAAGTATTAACTTAACTACAACTGCTTTGTACTTGCAGCATGATACTTAAAAAATAAAACCGGCCATAATCAATTTCACTTGTGCAACGACCTTCGCTCGCTTTTTGCTGTGTTTCAAGGTCGTTCCGTAATATTTATTTATTAATTGATGTTGTTGGCCCATCCTCTAATTATGCTCGCTCCAAACCACAGCATTAACCTCCTTTGTGGCTTTGTATTTGTACATTATTTCTATTTAAGTTGTACATCTTTTATATCCCTTTAAAAATATTCTTCATTCCCTTATGCTAGCGCTTCTTGCAATTTTTTTTTAGATTTTTTTACAAATCTCCTATTCAGATTTAATATTTACTACTCACAATTATTAGTGGATATTGTAAATTCTATTGAAACTCAATATATTGTAAAACCAAAATAATTTATCTGCCAACTAAATGTAGCACTGCATCCATGGAAAAGGCATAAATAAAACCAATATTGGTACATTTGAATCCTTTATTATTAAAACAATTAAAACAATAAAAAAGCAATGAACTGTACGTAATAAATTATCGTTAAAATAACGTCCTTCCAAAGTTAATACAAAGTATAAATACCGTTAAAATGCAACACATTTACTCTGCAAATATTTTTTTGATATCGTTAAGCCTGGACTTGATCTCCGGCTGCGTGTCGTTCTCTATTTCCGGTAAAACTTTTCTGAACATGCTGGAAAGTTTCTCGAACTCAGCAGGCTTCTTTTTCTGCTGCAACTTTTGACCGAGACAAAAAACCACGTTCAGAGACTCCTTCCTTAATCTAGTGTGTTTAGAAATACCCAAGGAGTATTCAATAGCTCTGACGACGTTGTCGATTATTTTCCCCAAACTGGCCGCATCTTCTTCCGACAACTCCTCGTCGGTCAACAAAATAAGTTTGTCGATAAAGTTGTACAGGGCCGACATGACGCTCACTTGCACGGACCTTGTTATTGTCGGCAGGCATTGAACGCTGTGTTCTACGAACATTTCGCGGTACTTTTCTTGGGTTTGTCGGCTGTTTGCCGGCCAAGTTTTTCCTAAGAACAATGAATAAAATAAAATTACACATCTAACTCGTCAGCTTCAAAAGTTAGAGTATAATTATTAGAAACCTGACAAACATATTTAGTAACTAAAAACCTATTTTTAAGTCTTACAAAAAGGTAAAAACAAGTTAATTTTTTCACAAGGGAATGGGATATACTACAAACGAGCTGACAGGGTTACATTTAGTATTGCTAGACTTCAAAATGCTGGTCTAAAGTTAAGACCAAACTGTAATGGGAACAATATATGGGGCAGTTAATTTTTAACATTTGGTAGTTTAAGTTTATAAGCTTTACGAAATATGAGATTAAATTTTAAATATTTGTTTTTAATTTGTATTAAGTTTTAACTAGAATTCGATACACTCATTATTTTACTTATTATGTTATACTAATTTATGATTCTCATCTGGCCGACCAGTGGTCGTTACAGAAAGACTAAATAAGCAAGTTTTGGTACAGTTCCTATTCTGAAAATAAACATTAAATAGAGTGTGTAGAAAACCTGGAGAAGACAGTAGATTTTAGACAGTTGGGGTTTGCTGTTTGAAGAGAATAGTTTAATTCTTTAATTGTTGTAAGGGAGTGAATTTAACTCTTGAATAACCAAGTTCAATGTTTAAATATAAAATCAGTTTGTATTACAGTGGTGTAATGATTAGGTATGTTTGTTTTATTGTTAATATTAATCTTAGGTCACAAAAATAATAATGAGTGATTAATTTTTTAATATTTAATTTAAACTATATTTTATTATTATTTCATCTTGTTCTTTGTGAAAGAAGGAATGAGCTGGACTTTGTATTTTATGGTTGTGGTTGGACAAACCAAATTAAATTTTTATTATAATCATTATTTTATGTTTATAATTATTGTATTTTGTATTTCACATTGACATAACATATTATATTGTTATTATTGTTATTTCCTTCATTTAATTTATTTAATAAATTCTTATTCATTATTTAATATGTTGAGACTATGTTTCAAGTTCTGCATATAAAATGAGTTAGGGAACTTTGTTGACTGTTCTGGTAAAGTCGCACCCAATAGCAATTAACCAATTTAGATTGACAAAGAATGGTTAGTTAGAGTTATTGATATGAAGTTGCTGTTTCATTGTCTTATTTTATTATTATTGATGCTCATTTTATTTTGCTGATTGTATTTGTTATTTATGACTACAATAAAATTTCATTACCGTTGTCCACTACTGTACCACTTGATATTTATATATTTTATTTACAACTACCATTTATTATTGTTCTTTGTGACCTGAGTTATATTATACCTACTTTATGTTTCATATTATTGTTGTTTGTTGCTGTACAGTAATAATTATTTCAATTTGTTTATCTACACTGTCCGAGACTATTATTTATGTAGGTGAATAATCTTAGCAATATGATGGTTTGTGTGTGTCGTATATACAGGGTGTTCTAGAATATGTAGGCAATCTCCCGGATTTAGATAGAAGAATTTAGAGTTATGGAACCGTATCTCCATAGAGGGGGCCGTAGGAAAAAAACATATAGGAACTTGTCATATTATTTTTTTATGTGTTCTATTTGAATCCGGGAGATTGCCCTCATATTCTGGGGCACCCTGTATACATGTCTGGATTGTATATGTGGGTTTTTTCAGGTTTTACCTTATAAACTTAAATCAATGATACTTTTTTATATTATTAATGTACAGTAGCAATACTACACTGTGCGTCAAAATTAACGCTTAACAAGTTAAAAAAATTCAACTCTAAAACGCCTTTACGAATCTTTATAAAATTTTGGATAAAAATACTAAAATAAACATATCTCAGTTTACGTGTTCAAGGGTTTTTCGAGAAAATATCCTTAAAGCCCTTTTATTTAATAATAAAAAACGCTCGAAAAAAACTTTTATAGGGAATTTTTTTAAGTGAATAAACAATATGCTGTGAAAGAACGTATTTTTGTTAGTATACCCTGAAAATTTTGTACAAATCAAACAAACAGTAACAAAAATACAGCGCTTCAAGGTCGTCAAAAATGACAACTTTTCAGCAAAATAATTAAAAAGGGTCATTTTTACCTACTTCGTTACATATTTATTTGTACAAAATTTTCAGGGTATACTAACAAAAATACGGTCTTTAACAGCATATTTTTTATTTAGTTAAAAAAATCCCTAAAAGTTATTTTTCGAACGTATTTTTATACAAAATTTCATAAAGATTGGTAAAGGCGTTTTAGAGTTAGAATTTTTTTACTAATTATGCGTTAATTTCTTGTATTAATTGCCTTTATTAATAAAGTTATTTTAATTTAGTACTTTTTCATTGCTCAAGTACTTACGTGTCAAGAAACGTGTTCTCAACAAAAAGGGGTACTAAATTAAGTTCTTTAAACTAGAGGATCACGTGTTTTTTTGTGGTTTTAATATGTTTTTCTAATTATTATTAACGTGTCCCTTTGTCCCGTTCGTTACAAAACCTTTTGAAACCTGGCAACATTAGATGCAATGTTGGCAAACGAATAGAAAAATCTTACCCAAAGTCTCATATCCGGTCTCCTTGATCTTGATAACGTTTTCTCTGTGCTTTGAAACTTCTTGCGAGGACGAGTCGTCGTCCTCGTCCCTCGCCGCGCCCCCCCTTATAACACCCTGCACAATTTCGTAAACTTGGTCGAATTTGTCCACTTCCAGGGAAGATATCACATCGGCCAGCGATTGCAGGGCGGAATTTTTGTAGACAATATCATCTTTTCTGCTTTCCTTCAACACCGCCTCCACTATGGCGTCTACGTTCACTTCGGGATCTTCCTTGATTGAATCCCTACAAACAAACTTGTAGGTGTGGTGTTTGTGGTCAATTTATAAAAAAAATATTACTTGCAGTTGGAACAAATACTGGCCAAAGCTTTTAGAAGCTTGTCTTTGCCGGTCCATGTTCTTCCAGGCAAGCCAATCAGCAAAATTTGTAGCAACGCGTTTCTATGCTTTGGGTCCATTGTGGTGCCTAACTTACTCGCCACAGTTGAAACAGAGTTGGCGGCCTAAATATGTAAAACAAATATTCCCCCTGTTAAATTTATTCTAATATTATTTAAGACAGAAAATTCCCCAAAATTATTTTATTACTTTTGTTATACTTCGACATGTAAAATAATTATACAGTACTAATATTTTATAAAAAAAACCCATTACCTACCTGCAATAATTGTGTTAAATAAGTTTGTTATTAGATAAAGTTTAAAATCATTTCTAAAGAAGCTAGTGTTAGCGAAACAATTGTCAAATAAAATTTAAATAAATTTGTAAAACTAAAAAACAGTGTTTGTTTTTATCCAGTTATTATTAGTGACATGGAGTTTCATCAAGTAAAGGTCGAAACAATAAAATATTAAAACAAATGAGTACATTAGATACAAAATTCGGTTTTTGCACATTTTTAAAATATATATATTTTATCATATTTATGTACATTAATGTAGAGATGGGAATCGGAAAGTTTCCATTTTAAGGAAACTTTCCGTTTTGGAAAGTTTTCAATTGGAAATTTATTTTCATTTTGAAAGTTTCTTTTAAGCTACCGGAAACATTCCTTGAAAACTTTCCTTGTTTTTCCATTTAAATGTCAATTGTTTAACCGCTGATTTTCGTTAAGGCCATGATACAAGGCCAAGAAACTTTGAATAAAATTTAATGTGTGTTAATTTAAAGCAGAAGTATAAATAATGTAAGTTATGTCACATAACCTCAATGAAGCCAGCATCATCACAAAAAACTTTTTTAAAAAAAGGTAAACAAAATAAAAACAATAAACAAAGTTAAAATCATTCTTACATTTTTGTTGTTTATTTATAGGCATAGCTGCTTTGCCTATAAATAAACAACAAAAATGCCATAGCATAATGCCAAGAGAAAAATCTAGTGTTTGGAATTATTTTTTACTTTACTTTTTATATTCCTATAGGTATATTAGTATATACTTTGTCCCTTTTAATTTTTTTTACGTAATATCTAAGATTTACTAGCAGTGAATCTCTAATAGTAAACATTTTATTTTTATTTTGTAGGTTTCAGTATACAATAGGAATATTCCAAAGTAAAAGATACTAAAAATAGTATTGCAGTTACATTCTTATAAACATTTTTTTTTTTTCTTAATAAAATTTGACAAAAAGTTATAATGCAAATCCCTGGCATAAAAAAAAATATTTTCGCAATAAAAAATTTTTTTTTGAAACTTTCGGAAAATTTCGGGAATTTTCGATGGAAAGTTTCCGGGAATTTTCTTCAAATGGGAATTTTCCCATCTCTATATTAATGCACTGCCTACAGCATACCTAAGTAAACCAAATGCATAATTTAATATTTTTAGAATAAAATACATTTAAAAACTTACGTAGATGTAAAACTGGGTATTTGTTAGATGCAAAACTCGGTATTTGCTATTGACCAATCACGTCGCTAGTTTACACATGTCGTGACGACATAACAATTACCTGATTAATTGTTATTTTGTTGGTATTTGCACTTTTTAATTGCAAAACTTGGTCTTTGAACGAGGAAGATGCAAAACTGTGTTTTTAAATCTTTTGATTTCAATTATTTACTAAACTACCTAATTTTAAAGGATTTTTTTTTTACTTTTTTGAATAAAAATGATGCAATAGCACGTCTATACAATTTTTGCATTTTTTTTATCAAAAATGATCTTATTAGCGGTTTTTCATGTTTTTCTTAAAATCACTTATCCTGCAAATACAGAGTTTTGCATCTAATGTACTCAAATAACAAAACAAAAAATATGGGATGGAAAATAATACCTGTGCCTTCATGGTCCAAGAAGGGCTCTCCAAGCCGCTCTTGAGAATCTCGCAAATATTCTCGATGTTCTGCCTTATGCCGGTTTCGGTGCCGGGGCTCTGTTCCGACCAAATCTCCGTCCAAACGTTCAGAGTGTTCTGCGTTTCGGGCGTTTTTTCCGCGTGCATCGCGAAAAACACCAGGGGAAGCACGACGTCCGAGTGCTCCTTCAAAATTTCCTGGTTGTGGATGCCGATCGATTGGATGGTGTAGGCGCAAGCGGACCTGATGGAATCGTCTTCCCGCTCGAAGTACCACAACTTCAGTTTGGCGAAGAGCTTCTCCAAGCTGGAGTCCTTCGCGGAGGAAACCAGATGCCCTATGGCGGTGGCGTACTGCTTCCTGCTCTCCGCGTTTCGATCCGTCAGGCCGTTGACCAAGACGGCCAGAATTTTCCCGGTGTAGGGTTGCATATCCTTGCCCATTTGCACCAGCAGGAGCACTATAATAATAATAATAATAATAATTTATTGCTTGCTAATAATACAACTGTATTTTACAAATGTCATATAGGTATTCATATATTACAATATTAGATAACTAAATAAATATAACACGGTGCTGTTCTGAGAGGTGATTTTTGGACTTTCTGTGAAACCTAATTTTTTTTATATTCTTGTTAACCTTCGGATGACCAACCTCTTTTTTATACATGGATGACCAATGGGGGTTAAAAATGACCCCTCCTGATTTTAGTAAACGAAAACATGCTTTCATTATTTTAATGTTATATTTTATATTAAATAATGAAAACAAACATTAGTACAACAAATTTTTAATCCAACTAAACCAAAAAAGTAAAAATATTAGTCTAAACCTAATAAAGGAAGCAATGAAATTTGTAAAAAAAATGCACTAGTAACCACAGGTATTACATAGTATGTTTTTTAATCTTTAAATGTTCCTTGCAGACAAAATGCTTTTTTTATCGCATTTCGTTGTAAACTTTCTGTCGGAAGATCGACAGCAAATTTTACATCGGCCACGTTTCTTGGGATTTTCAGCTGGCTCTGCATCTTCAGGATCTTCTAAATATTCTGTTAATACCATATTTATTTTAAAAATACTTTTTTAATGAGAAATATTTGTAAATTTTTTTATGCAAAATATAAAGATACTTGGCATAATAATATAGTCAAATAAAAAATAATCAGTTAAAAATTAAAAATATTTAAGAGAAGAAATATACATTGGGGTCAAAATTTACCCCCCTTGGTCATCCGAAGGTTAATTAGGTCATAACTAAAATTTTAAGAGCAAAATAAAAAAAAATTGAGGGTTTGAATTGTTTTAATTGGCTGTTTATTAAAAATATTATGCTCTCTTTCAATTATCCAATTGAAACTAGCGATTTAATTTAAATATTTAATATTTGCATAACTAAAAAAAAGGTTTTTACAATTTTTTTTTTATAAATTTTACTGTTTTGTTGCAATAAACGTTCAAACTTTTAATCTAACCTTTGACGTATACATTTATGTTCCCTTAATTAATATATCCTTAAAGGTTGCCATGAAACTTAGATCTATGAAAAATTTATTTGACGTTTGAATTATCATTTTCAGTAGGTATACGTATTCTATAATTTTTGTTTAGTTTTTTAAAGTGTTTTTTACAAACAAAAATGAAAAATTGTAGTAAAAGTTACGAAGAAATTCATGAAATTTAACTAAGGACCGGTTTATTCATCTTTAGTAAAGTTTATCGGGCCGATAACTTTCATGTCTTGGCAATATCTAGTATCCAAAGAAATTATTCGTCAAATAAATCAAAAATGAATAAATTGGCCCTAAATAAAATGTGGCACCCTTAGAATTATTGTATACTTTACATTTAACCTTAAATTAAAACTTTAAACGTGTATTACAACAAAACAGTAAAAGATATAAAAAATGTATAGACCTTTTTTTAGGAAATTAACTAATCTTTAATCTGATTTAAAAAGTTATGATAATATTTAAATAAAATCGCAAGTTTTAATTGGAGAATTGAAAGTGTGCATACATATTTTTAATAAACATCCAATTAAAACAAAATTAACCGTCAAATTTTTTTTTTTGCTCTTAAAATTTTAGTTATGACCTAATTAACAAGAATATAAAAAAAATTAGGTTTCACAGAAAGTCCAAAAATCACCTCTCAGAACAGCACCGTGAAATATAAGAATTAAACAAATAAGTTTGAGACTACATAACATTTTCAAAATTACAATTCAGGAATTCACTAATGCTATAAAAGGCCCCATTCAGTAAGTAGTTCTTAATTGTACATTTAAAGGCTTTAACTTCCAAATCTCTTATCTTTAAAGGGAGATGATTAAAAAGTTTAATTGAGTAATAATTAAATCCATATGATGTTCTACATAATCTTAAAGGTAAAGGGCGAATATTTGAGTTGTATCTTGTATTATATGTGTGTAACTGGCTGTGAGTTGAAAATTGGGACTGATTCTTTCTAATGTATAAAAGACATTCCAGTATAAAAAGGGATGGTAAAGTAAGAATTTTTAGTTTTCGGAAACTAGATCTAGACCAGTGCAGAAGCCTTTAAAAATGGTAAAAAGAGAAAAAAAATAACAGTAGGATGAAACCCATTGGAAAAGGAGGGGAATATAATAAAAATTAAAGGAAAAATAAATTACGGGCGATCTGAGTTCGGGAAGTGGGAGGGGGGCGTTTAAGGGTAAAAAATGGTTTATCTCGATTTCCGGCAAAACTACAAGTCCTATAGAAAAAAGTTAAATGTCAAAGTTGTAGGTAATAAAAACTTTGTATTTACAATTTTTTCACATAACCTCAAAATTTATGTGAATAATTCAAAAAACCAAGTTTTTGGTTTTTTATTTTTATCTTTTTCAAAAAAAAAAAAATTTTCCACGTAATTTGGTTAAAACTTACCTTTTTATGTCCCAAATACACTGTAATTTATTTGATTTGAAATATTTATTATTTCGCCTTATTTTGACTTAATATCAAAAAAGCACCATAATTTTCAATCGAAAATTCTCGCGTCAAAATATCAGCTTTTTTCAAAAAGTCGGTGTGCTTTTTGTTCGATGAACTCTCTACTTTCTGATGGTGTAAAAAATATATACATTACTATGGTAAATGTTCTCAGAAAATACAAAAAATATTATAATGAATAACGTAATCAGAATGAAGTATCTAATTTCACTAGTATGATTTACATGTATTTTTATATTTTATGAGATTTTCTGACATAAATGTTATTAGAATTTAATAAATAAACTTTTTAACTAAAAAAAATTGCAACAATCACATTTTTTTGATGAAATTGTACATAATGATTAAAATAAATTTTCGAATTCGAGTTTTTTTCGTTATTCATTATAATATTTTTTGTATTTTTTGAGAACATTAATGTATATATTTTTTTTACACCATCAGAAAGTAGAGATTTCAACAAACAAAAAGCACACCGACTTTTTGAAAAAAGCTGATATTTTGACGCGAGAATTTTCGATTGAAAATTAGGGTGCTTTTTTGATATTAAGTCAAAATAAGGCGAAATAACAAATATTTCAAATCAAATAAATTACAGTGTATTTGGGACATAAAAAGGTAAGTTTTCACCAAATTTTGTGGAAAGATAAAAATAAAAAACCAAAAACTTAGTTTTTTGAATTTTTCACATAAATTTTGAGGTTATGTAAAAAAATTGTAATTACAAAAGTTGTAGATCCTTTTATTACCTACAACTTTGCTATTTAACTTTTTTCCATAGTACTTGTAGTTTTGCAGGAAATCGAGATAAACCATTTTTTACCCTTAAACCCCCTCCCCACTTCCCGAAGTCAGATCGCCCGTAATTTATTTTTCCTTTCATTTTTATTATATTCTTCTCCTTTTCCAATGGGTTTCATCCTACTGTTATTTTTTTTGGTTTCAAAAATTATCGACCCTGGTCTAATCTACATTCATCTCGATAACCAATACCTATGAAATGGCAGCAGGCGACCCTGGTTCCCAAACCGACCGATCCCCTCATCAGCTCGACCAGCTTCGGCACCAGCTCCTCCAAGATGGACGCGTCCGCGTACTGCAGACTTTTCGCCACGGTTTCCGTGGTGAAGTGCGACTTGGCGAAGGAAGCTCTCGCGCTGTCGACCGCCTCCTGAGCTTGCGATTGCGCCCCGAGCATCGTGCTCAGGTACGACAGCTTCACCGATTCGTTTTCACCGGCGGCTTGCAGCAGAGGCGGAATCAGCTTCGGCAGGAACGGTTTCAGCTGCTTTCCGGCAGATGTCACCAGTTCCGATACTGTTTGCAAGCTATAAGAAAGGTTCATCACGATGTGTTTTCGAGGAAGATACAGGGTGTCCCAGAACTCGCGGCCCAAAGAATAAGGGGGCGTGCTGATAGCAATGGAGATGCAAAATTAAAAAAAAAGTTTCTAGGTAATAGTGTAATCAAATGCGTAGGAGCTTTAAAAATTGCTTAGAAACGATAGAAAATTGTTGTCTTAAAACTTAAAAATATTTTTTTCGACTGTGTTTACCAACCTTTCAAAAAGGATTGTCATACTTCGGGAAAGTAAAAATTAAACAACTAGATCTGTACCCCAGAGCCAAAATCTCTAGCAACCACTACAGAATTTCACTCTAGCGGGCTAAATGAACTGTGAAATTCGTGAAATTCGCGCGCAACTTCCCTTATGCTCTTCCTACTATTTGCATCAAAGGCATTTTTGTTTTTTTTTCAGGATTTTTTCTTCCTATTTTAGGGTTTTTTCAAGATTAGTTGCCTAATTTTTTATGTTACCAGTCCAGTTCATAGACTAAAATATAGCCAAAAATGATATTTAGTAAATGTAAGTAAATACGCGTGTTTTGATTTGGTCTAAAAAAAAAGTAACTATACATAATTATAAATATTGGTTTCTTATGCGAAAACTACCAAATAATAAGAAATCAATTTTTTTAGTCTCAGTCAAAATTTTCAATAATGGAAAATGTTATATATTCTAAATTTCACTTTATTATTAATAATACACATTTTGCTCAAAATTTCATAATAAAATTTTTTTTTAAGATTGATGTTATTTATTGACAGAATATACTTTATTGTGGCGGATTTGAAAAAAAAAAACAAAAAGAAGCCGATTTTTTATAGTTTTTTTTTCAAATCTGAAAAAAAACGTTTTTTTATATCTCTAGTTCAGGGGACGATCGGGAAAGCGCTGGGAAAAAAATCGTTGTGCCTCCTAGCATTGAGTCCATACTCCCCATAAATAATCACCATTTCGGCATAATCAGAGGAGAAACTTAACTTAAATGTTCATAATGACTTCATTATAACACCGCTTTCGGTGCTGTAATGATATATCCCACCCAAAATTTTGATTTTATATTTTGCATATTGGTTATAATATTTTTATGATTTTTCTAGTACCTACTTACAAGACTTTTCTGGCAATATATTTTGTTTAACACCAAAGAAAATCCTTTTTTTCTTCTTTAACATTATCAGCCGTAAATTAAGAACGGCATGGCGAATCGATTTTGACATTAACTGTCAAACCAATGACTGTGATACCAACTATCTAAAGTAAAATTCGACCAAATTAAATTTAAGGTATAATATTTTTTTTTTGAATTTTTGCTAAATAGATAAAATAGCATAAAGAACTCATGTCATAAGACCTTTTGTCGCACTCGTCCATTACAAATTATCAATTGTCCGCGTGCGACAAAATGACGTATTATGACATTAGTTCTTTAATATACTATTATCATTTTAATTAAAATAATAAAATTTATTAATTAATAATGACAGAAACAAAAATTGACAGCAGTGACACAATGAAGTGGATTTGAGTCGACCAAAAATTTTACATATCAACAATGCATCTTAAGTATCCTACCAATTTAAATAATTCCCTATGGCCAAGTATTGGAATTGGCTATCGTTTTTATTCTTATCTCGCATGTTTTGGGACACCCTGTATAAGACTGTGGTCTTACCTAATAGCTCTAATATCTGCTACAGTATTGGTTATACCATAATTTAATAGGGGAGGTAGAATTGCTTCAACCATTTTGACTCCATCTTTACCCTGACTAATATCACAGCCTCGAATGCATAACTAAAATTATTTTATGTAAGAAATCGTACATTATACAATCAATAATATTGATTAATATTCAGGGACAGAATAAACTGTTTTCAAGGAGCTGAAGAATTTTATGTTCCTTACTTGATGTTCTGTAAAAGTTTTATAACGACACATAAAGTTAATGTGTGTAATGTTATAGTATGTTGTGGGGTAGGTGCAAATATGAAAAGAGATGGAACCCTGTAATAACCAATAATCAAATATAAAAGTACCTTGCTTAAGACCCTGGTAGTTTTAGTTGCGGTGGCTCTGGTGGCCTCGTGGTGGTCATCCATGACCCTGAACAATTTTTTCCAAAGATCGTCCATCGAACCCACAGCGTCGTGTATCGAACGATTGTTTGAACCTTTCAGGAAGTCCTGAAGGGCCAAGCAACAAGACTGCCTTACTCGGTATTGGTTCGAGTTTATGTTTTCCAGCAGATCAACGAGAATCTCGTTGTAATAAGTATCCAGCTGTAATAAATGGACATGGTTCATACAACTATCGCACGTGGTTTTAACATTTATTAAATAATTTTTTAATTTAAAATGTTCCTAACTGAAAATTTTAGGTTTACATTTATAATTTTAAAATAGTTTCAACTATCATGTATTGAAAGACAAAATTTACTAAATAACAGTTCAATTCTGTATTAGACAATATTATTTCTTATCAATTTTTATTAAAAATATTTTTTTTAAGTATAATTTATTTAGGCAGAATTTTAAATATAAAATGCAAATGCAAAGTTTAAAATATTGGTTTTTAAAATTATTGGTTTAAATTTGTAAGGAATAATTTAAATGATAGTCGGAAATTTTTAATACGAAAATTCTCACATTATTTTTAAATGTTAGTTTAAAACTTTAAAGTGGTAATTTTTGTAATAAAAATTTATCAACCATCATTTAAATGACTCTTTACAAATTTAAACCAATAACTTTTATTTTTAACAAATTTTAATTGATACATTTTTAGCAAATGAAAAATAATCGACTTAAATATGCTGAAATTACCACTTTATAGTTTAAAACTACGCTTAAAATTGACCACTTTAGAAAGAGTCTGCTAAAGCTACACTTTGTAAATTAAAAATTATGCACTTATAAATAAATCAATGGAGTTATAAATTTTATGTTAAAAGTGTATCAATTAAAATTTGTTGAAAATAAAAGTTATTGGTTTAAATTTGTAAAGAGTCATTTAAATTATAGTCAATAAATTTTTAACCAAAAAAAAACACTAAAATTAAAAACTTACATTTAAATGTAATTGGCCATTTTAGGCGCGCGAAACGCACGAATTACAAAACTGTGTTCACAAAAAATTTATTATATAATATTTTGGCATCAAAATTATCAAAAATATTCTTCTTTTATTAGGCTATACATTAAATAAAAAAACACAAGAAATATTTTATAAAAGTAGAGATAATTTTAATAATTGTGTGGACGGGACAAAAAAAAGATTTATCTTGTCCCATCCACACCTGTCAATTATTAAAATTATCTCTGCTTTTATAAAATATTTCTTGCGTTTTTTTTAATTTTATGTAAAGCCTAATAAAATAAGAATATTTTTGACAATTTTGATGCCAAAATATTTTTAAAAAAATTACCTAATCACCATTTTTTTTTATAAAAACAGTTTTGTGAATTTTTGTATTAAAAGTCATTTAAATGACTCTTTACAAATTTAAACCGATAATTTTGTAGAATAAAATATTTGTACTAATATTTTTAAAAATCAATATTTTGAAGCTTAAACTTTTAACGGTGTATTTTATATTTAAAATATTTTGGACTGTCAATTGTTTTGAGTTTAAAAAAATTTTACTATGAAAATTTCTGTTAAAACATCATTAAAGTGCTAAACTTTAATATTCAAACTATTTTCTAATAAATGCTATATACAACACAAAAATAACGAATAGTTAATATTGTGCAAACATCTGTGATACGAGCTTACTGAGAAATTGAGCGTAAAGGCCCCCCATAGACTTTTAATTATATAGAGGTGTTAATATATATAACAGCTTACCAAGAGATATAAAAACAAAATCGACAAGACATATAAAAGAGTATTTCAATCCTTGATAAGAGGCTAACCTGCGTGTCTTCTTCTTGAGTATTGAATTTGAAAAAAAAGTTCAGTAAATATGTAAATTAATGTATAAAGTATATTTGCATTGTATATTGTATATTTGTAAGACTATAATTATCTTATAAGATAATGTTGCTTTATCACTGTGATAGATGTATTGTAATTATTAGATGTTTAGAGTTTGTCCCTCTATAAACAATCTATGTTTCTTTGGATCAATAAAGTATTTTTTATTATTTATTATTAAAAAACCGCAATGCGCCGCCGCCACTGCTACCAAATATTTTTTCTGTGAAAATCGATATTAGCGAGTGGCGTAAGAAATTAGTGGCTGTGCATAGGTAAGAAAGAGAAATAAATAAATCAATCCGCCTATTTCTTCACAACCTCCTTGATATGGGTATCAAATAAAAGTATTTGACGAATAAATAAACCAAAAAAATTCCAAAATTTAAGAAAAAATTTCACACCAAACTCGTACCAGCCAAGATGTTTACACATCTTCGTGAGTACAACGGCACTCAACTGTATTTTTGACTTACTGTTTTTGATGGTTCTGTCACTAGCACCCTCCAAATGTTGTGCATGGAGGCTTGTATACTGGGAGTGGGATCGAATTGGTATCTGTAGAGTTTAGGAATAATTTGCGGCAAATGCGGCTTCAAATCTTCGCCGCAGCGTTCGGCAATGCTGGAAAAACCGAAAGCGGCACCCTTTTTGGAATTCCAAATGGCGTTGTGATTTGCCAGGTGCATAAACTTATAGATCAAGTCGGGTTTATTCAAATCCGATGCCAGAGAACAAAGCTCTTTATAAGTTGTCAAGTTGCCGCTACAAAAATTAATCACCATGTGGTTTAATTTTGGCCAAAAAAATGTATCTCTTACCCTGAACAAATATTACGCCAAAACAAAACACAAAGTGCTTAAAGTTCTTTTCGCCAACGATGTTGGCATTTTCAGAAGCGAAGTGTAACTGAGAGAAGAAGTCAATAACGTTGGCGAAAAGTACTTTAATCATAATAATAATAATAATTGCCCAACAGTTTAAACCATTACAGGACATTTAAATAAGATACATGTGTACTATATAGAATTCAAAGTATAAAAAATATATAAAAAAAAACCTAAACAGATTATGTGTGCAACATTTAAAGATGCTTATTGACATATGTAATTATATAGCTAAGCGTAACTTAAGTTTATTTCACAAGATTCACAGAATTTATTAAATCTACTGCACTACAAATAAAGGCGACTTAAGTCCCAAATTAGTTCTATTAAAGCTTGTAAGAAAAGTAGTTTTATTTCTGCTAGTCAATCTTGGCACCGAAAAATTAATCTGAGAAAGCAAATAACTACAACTAATTTGAGAATTAAGCAACCTAAACAAAATTGAAGTTGATGCAATAGCCCTTCTATTATCTAGAGATTGTAATTCACCATATATTCCAAGATGTAAGAGCTTTAAAAATTTGCGTTGTACAGTTTCAATGCTTGTTATATAGATTTGATACCAGATTATAGGAGCATATTCCATCTTTGAACTTATTAAATAAAAATACAGCATTTTTAATAAGCTTTCATTTATAAATTGTTTGGTATTTCGAATGAGAAACCCAACATTTTAAAAGATGAGTTTACTACTGCGTTGATATGATTTATAAAACTCAGCTTTATATCAAACCTCACTCCCAGATCTTTAAATTCTGTAACTTGTTCCAAACGTCTATTGTTGATTTTATAATTATATAATATACTATGCTTTTTCTTTGTATATGGGTGAATCTCACGAAATGTCCCCCGATGGTGTTACCCCGTGATATTTAATAAAACTAAATGAGATTGACCTACGCTTTTATTGTATTTTGATCTTTCATAATTAAGTAGATATTACAGCTCAGGTCCCAGATTTTTAACCGCAATTAATTATTTTTTTATAATGTTTTAAAAGTCTAAAACCTATCCTCCGTGACTGTTACTCTTTCTAGGTTAACCTATATGTTTTCAAATATCTGAGGTAGTAAAAGCATACTAAAAATATTAGTTCACTAAGTAAATTAAACACATCCAAAGCAATCGAATCAAATATAAAATATTATTAAAAATTAAAGGAAATAATTTTTATAACCATTTATGTAGGTGTTACAAAAATTGATTCTATCCTCCGTGAATCTGTTTTTGCTTAAAATTTTATGCAACGGATGGCGCTTTAATCATTTTAAAAAAGCAAAAACCTCTGTTTACGACATTATAGATGCATGTGATTCCTGAAGGTCAGTTAAAATTTATATGCAGATGAGAGTGTTGCTTTTTTATAATTCAAAATTTTAAGTTAATTAATTTGCTATTTAAAAACCTATCCACCGTGAAGTGTAATATCTCAGTAAGTAGATTTTTTTTTAAATATTTTATTTATGTACAATTGTATTTTTTAAAAATATTAAGGTGTCAAAAGATGCAATAACTCAGTACTGTCCAATTCAGCTGCCCGCAAGCGAGTCTCCGGGCCATCGTGGGTTCAGCGCGGGCGGTTGTAGACTAGTGGGGAAAGTACGCATCGATTTAGTCGTGGGCGTTTGGTTCGTGTTGATTTAGTCGTAGTTTGTTGTAGGGCGTTTATATCATATATCTATATATCTATATACCTACCTATATAGATATATGGTTTATATGAAAATTTAGGTTTCTTTATTCTTTTTGTATTTTTATAAGTTTTGCAAATGACATGTTTTTTGCAAATAAGGCATTGGGATTCTCCGCCATGCAATTTACACAAATAAAGATATTCCCAGTTTTTATTGAATAATAAACTCCTACGTTTTCGAATTTCGGTATCGTCGATAATAATTATTTCAGGATTCATAATAATAAACCAACAAATCGTCAGAGATCGTTACGCTCGGTACTGTCACTTTGACGCTTCTCCTAGCTGTCATAGCACACCATGCATGGCCCGCGCGGGCCCGCGACGTGCCGGCCGGGCAAAATGCCCGTACGGGCCGAATTGGACATGCCTGCAATAACTTATTTCAAATATACAAAGGGATGTTTTAAAAATAACACACGAAATCCTAACCTCCGTGAAGCTCTAATATTCAAAATGTATTATTTCTTAAAATTCTTGCATTAGTGCAGAACCACTGTTATGTTATTACTAGACCTGGTGGCTTCCCAAAAACCCAATTCTAGACCAACAGTGAAACAACCAAAAATAAAAAATAATCATTTTCACTTGGTGGACATCTCAACATATTCATCCCTATCATACTCTTGCATTTATTGATGTTTAAATGATTTTTGATACACCAATTATATAGACTATTCAATTTTTTTTGCAGATTAATGCAATCATCAATAGTTTTGATTTTTAAGTTTCAGATCATCAGCAAATAGTAAATTGTAAACTGTTAAAATGTCTGGTAGGTCGTTGATGAAGATAGGAAAAAGCACTTTGTGTTTTGTTTTGGTGTTGGGGAATATTTCTAATATTTGTTTAACATATTACATTTTGCAAGTACTTACCCTGAAGGTGCTGAACCAAGTTGTCCCTCTTCAAACAGCTTGGTATCACTGGTAACCTTGGTAACACTGGTTATTCCTGAAGTCAGCTGTTTCACCAAAGCCGTTAGTAGTTCTTGCTCTTTGTAAGTGTCATAGACCACGCATAAACCTTTAGACGCCGTATCTTGGACGATGTCTGGAAAAAAATAGTTAGCGAAAAAACAATCGTCGCGGTTTTTCTTTTCTCTACGACTAGGTACTTAAGAATAGTAACATTCTAGTGTAATTTTTGATCATAGAAAGGATGTTTTTCTGCAATACTGTGCGAGAATATTCCTACTCTTGTTTAAGAATGGTCACAAGTAACGACATCTCCTGGCTGTTTACTAAACGTAAAAAATTTAAAAATAATTAAATATTACTGTATTATTTATTAATTAAAAAATAATAGCAGTTGTATAATTAAGGTTTAGGCACAAAAAATTAGTTATACTTATTTGTTTTTCAAATATACAAATCAAAATTATAATAAATTTTATATTAAAATGATAAACCAGTTACCTACTAAGTATACCGGCTTTGAAGTTTTGAGAGATTCAAAAAATTTAAAAAAAGACCTTTAAAATGTAGAAAAAGAATAGATGTTGACATAGATTACTTGTTAAATTAGTTTTGTATTTGTTACAATGTTATTTTTTTTATTAGTAAGTGTAAATAACTATTTTTAATTATAATAAAGATTTAGGTATACCATTTGTTTAAATTTATTATAATTTACATTATAAAATTGTGACGGCACAAAATGGTTTGACAATACAAAAAAACTTAAATGTCAAAAACTGCTTGGTTTCTTTTCTCTGTTTAAAATTATATAAGCGTTACTATTCTTACGTAGTCGTAGAGAAAATAATGTCTGAAACACGTTTGGAATAGCATATTCCACTCTCGTAAAACCGTCACTTTCGCCTTCGGCTCGTGTGTCAAATTTTTCCTCGAGCGGAATATGCTGTATTCCAAACTTGTTACAGAATGTACTATTCTACCGTTATTCTCTGTCAGAAGATCCATAAAAGTCCTTTGTATCGGCGTCAGTCTGTTGCCGATGGCGTCTTTTTCCCCGCTGCTTTTGATAACGGCCAGCAACCAGATGCAGGAGGCTTGACGCGAGTTCGGATGCGGTTTTTTGGCCATCGCCAGCAGCTCGTCCAGAAGCCACTCCAAGTTGTCGTCGGGCAACGGCTCGTTTACTAGAGGTAGCGATAGTGGTAAAAAGTAGACTATCGATAGCATCGATAGTGAGAAAAGCGATTAACTATCGATAGTTTACTAAAATTTCAAAACCTTATAGTTTAACATTTTATTAAAAAGATAAGGGGTTTATTTTTATAGTAGGCACATTTTCAACCTACCAAATACAGGAGAGTCAAAAATATAGTATAGCACAAGGAATCCGAACTTTATGTAAACAATAATCTTCCTAAGATAAGAGGGCGCTGGTGTTCCGTTTATTCTGAAACAATTTACTTATTTGTACCGAAACGCTACCAAAAGAGCAGACGTCAGTACGTATCGACAATCAGCGCCGCTGGTGGTGAAAAGACTTAATTTGTGCAATTTAGAGGGTTTTGTCAATTTGCCCTATTAAGTTCGGGCTCCTTGTGTAGGCTCCATGGTATAGTATTTCAATATAAATATCTACCTTAGTTATTAAAACCTTTATACCAAAATCTATAATAACTATCGAGTTTTAAAACATCAACAATAAAATAATTGACAGCACATATTTGAGACAGTTTACAGTTGGTAAATCTAGGGTCCCTAGATTTTGCCAACTAAAACCCAAAATTTTTAATGACGTCAAATTTCGAATAAAAAAACAACGACAGTTATAATAATTTTGTTTGATTCTACTATCGCTAGACGATAGTTTGTAACTATCGATAGAATCGATAATTCGATAGTTTTTAAAATATCGAAACTATCGATAGAATATCGATAATATAGCTACCTCTATCGTTTACGGACGGCGCGTGGTCTTTGGGCAGCGTGCTCCACGGGTTCCTGGCTTCCGGCGACCAGACGCTCTGGCAGCACATCACCAGCGATTCGCCGACCGTGAAGTGCACCTCGACGTCCTTGGTCTCCTTCGCCTGGTTCAAGAAGCCCTCCATCACTTCCTTCGCGTGCGGGAACTTCTCGCCGACGCAGAGCAAACCGAGAGACGTCGCGGCCTTTTCGCGCGTCTTCGTGGACATTTTGGTGTTGTTGGCGATTTCGGATAAACTATTGACCACGTCCACTTTCGTTATGCTACCATCGTTTGCGAGCCGTTTCGCATCAGGACTACCCAATTTTTCGGGTTTACCATCCGGCAAAGGCAAAGCAACTACTCTACCAATGCAACCTAGACTCGTACAAGCCGCGGAGGCCAACAAAGAGTTGGAATGCTTCAAAAACTCAACTGCAAAAATATCCCTTATTATAGAAAAAACCTAAATTGAATCGAATTGATTGATTAATTAATTTAATTTAAGAAAATAAAAGTAAATGTTAAATATACTGTCGGTTGGGTCGTTTTTGCAAAAAGAAGTCCATTAAAAATATCCAATTACAAAATAATGAATGAATTATATTAAAAAACTATAACTTTACAAGAATTATTTTACAAAATTATAATTTTATAAGTCGAAGTTAGTGTTTTAAAGAGTCAGAAATAAACCGGAAAAAACTGGTTTTTTTTTCGTTTTTTTCCAAGGCCTTGAAAAATTAAATTTTGTTTTGGAAAATATACACATTTTAAAAAAGTAGCAAACGACATCTTGGCATTTTAATTTAAAAAAAAATATCCCTTATTATAGAAAAAACTAAATTTAATTGAATTAATTTGATTTAAGAAAATAAAAGTAAATGTTAAATATACTGTTGGTTGGGTCGTTTTTGCAAAAAGAAGTCCATTAAAAATATCCAATTACAAAATAATGAATTAAATTACAAAACTACATATAACTTTACCAGAATAATTTTACAAAATTATAATTTTATAAGTCGAAGTTAGGGTTTTAAAGAGTCAGAAATAACCCGGAAAAAATTGGGGAAAAACTGTTTTTCCAAGGCCTTGAAAAAATTGTCTTTTTTGGGAAAAATTGAATTTTGTTTTGGAAAATATACACATTTTAAAAAATAGCAAACAACATCTTAACATTTTAATTTAATGAATTATATTACAAAACTTTAACTTGACAAGAATAATTTTACAAAATTAAAAAATATTCCTTATTAGAGAAAAAAAACCTAAATTGAATTGAATTGAATTAATTTAATTTAAGGAATTAAAAGTAAATATATAAATATACGGTTGGGTCGCTTTTGCAAAAAGAAGTCTATTAAAAATATCCAATTACAAAATAATGAATTATATTACAAAACTATAACTTTACAAGAATAATTTTACAAAATTATAACCTTATAAGTCGAAGTTAGGGTTTTAAAGAGTCAGAAATAAACCGGTAAAAATTGGGGATAAAACTGTTTTTTCGGTTTTTTTTTCAAGGCCTTGGAAAAATTGTCTTTTTTGGAAAAAAATAAATTTTGTTTTGGAAAATATACACATTTTAAAAAATAGCAAACAACATCTTAACATTTTAATTTAATGAATTATATTACAAAACTTTAACTTTACAAGAATAATTTTACAAAATTATGTTAAGGTCAGAAATAAACATCACAGACAAAATTGGGAAAACACTGTTTTCGTTTTTTTTTCAGGCCTTGGAAAAATTGGCTTTTTTTGGGAACATTTTAATTTTCTTTTGGAAAAAATACACATTAAATGTGTATTTCAAATTTTGAAAAAAAATAGCAAACATCTTAAAATTTTAATTTAAAAAAAATATCCCTTATTAGAGAAAAAAACCTAAATTGAATTGAATTGAATTAATTTAATTTAAAAAAATAAAAGTAAATATATAAATATACTGCCGGTTGGGTCGCTTTTGCAAAAAGAAGTGTATTAAAAATATCCAATTACAAAATAATTAATTAAATTACAAAACTATAACTTTACAAGAATAATTTTACAAAATTATAATTTTTTAAGTCGTAGTTAGGGTTTTAAAGAGTCAGAAGTAAACCGGTAAAAATTGGGGATAAAACTGTTTTTTTCGTTTTTTTTTTCAAGGCCTTGGAAAAATTGTCTTTTTTGGAAAAAATTGAATTTTGTTTTGGAAAATATACACATTTTAAAAAATAGCAAACAACATCTTAACATTTTAATTTAATGAATTATATTACAAAACCTTAACTTAACTTAACAAAATTATGTTAGGGTCAGAAATAAACAACACAGACAAAATTGGGAAAAACCTGTTTTCGTTTTTTTTTCAGGCCTTGGAAAAATTGTCTTTTTTGGGAAAATTTGAATTTTCTTTTGAAAAAAATACACATTTGAAAAAAGAAGCAATCAACAACTTAACAATATTTTAATTTAAAAAAAATAAAACTAAACATTGAATTAAATTAAATTGATTTAAGAAAATAAACGTAAACGTTAAATATACTGTCGGTTGGGCCATTTTTGCAAAAAGGGGTCCATTGAAAATATCCAATTACAAAATAATGAATGATTTATAAAGTTAAATTTTAATTTTATAAATCGAATTGTCAAATAAAACGAATATAATCATAATATTATGATTATATTATAATCAGCGTAGGAAATTCACTTTTTTCTTGATATCAGTGTACGGATATTATCCGTAAAAATTTGGAAATATTTTGAAACATTGACTTTAGCATTTTTTTCATATTACACTTGGAATAAAATGAAAAAAGCAAAAGTCAATTTTTCTGAAAATTTCCCACTTTTTCCATTTTTTTTCGGAAAAAAACGGTTTTTTTTTCGTCGACTCTCAAATTGGCAATGTTTGAAATTTGAAAACCCTAGTAAAAGTGTTAAATAAAACGAAAGTTGTATTAGTACAGCCCCAAATATGCTGTTTTTGCGGCCCGGTAGAAAAAAATAGAATCTTACTGAATTAAAATATAATACAGCACCAAATATGTTTTTTGCGGCCCGGTAGATTATTCTTACTGAATTAAAATTAAAGGAATAATAATATTATAATAATCAGCGCCGGAATTCACTCGATATAAGTGTACGGATAATATCCGTAATTGACTTTTGCATTCTTTTTTGAATAAAATGAAAAAATGCAAGTCAATTTTTCTGACAATTTCCCAAATTTTAAAAGTCCAACGACAAATTTCTTATTTGGAACACTTACTCAGCTTGTTGACGCATTCCTTCAACAAATCCCAATCCTTAACATTCCTGTTCTTCTCGAATATTTTCGAATTCAAAGCGGCCCCAATCGCCAGAAGACTTCCATGCTGGTTTTCCAACATTTTGTGGCCAGTTTGCGTCAGAAGCGATCTTAAAGCGGCATCAAATTCACTATCAGACGCACACCCGCTCAAAACGAGACCGTAGAGGAGTGCAGCGAGCTCCCTCACTTCTTCCTTGGTGTTGCTTAGGAGATCTCTCAGCCATGGCAAGTCTTTGAGCAAGATTTTGTGCAAAATCGGTACGCAACCCACCAGCTCTGCCATGCAACACAGAGGATCGATGGCTGAAATTTAACCTTATGAAAATATGTTGACGAAAAGTTTACATCCAAAAAGAAACAGAACTTTACATGTAATACAATAAAGGAATAACCATATCAATGTTTCCACTTTCGGTTTATTAGAAGTCAAACATGAAAAAATACGGTCCGAAATATGTTACATGCTTGTGGATTTTTAGAAAAGTACATAGTAACGTTTTATGGCCTCCTGTGTTAATTACTAACAATGAATACGCCCACCTATATTAAATAATTTTTTGTACCCCCACCTTTAAAACGCCCTTTATCGTACATGTTTCCATGACACTAAGTGACCTTTTAAATACACATTGACAAGTTGTGGTTTATGGCGCTTTAGTCACGGGCTGAAGTTAGCAACAAAAATACAAAAGTATTAAATCAACGCCAATATTTGAAAAATTATATGAACATTGTACCGACCTTTTAATTTCGCCGGCAGTAAACTATAACTTAAATTCGGGCACGGACTCCACTGTAAAGTGCTTATAAAACATTTTCTTTACTTTCACTGTGAAAAACTGTCAATTTTCAAGAAATACATTTCGATTTATAACCTTTATAATCTGTGTTTATAAAATAAAAAAAATTGACATTTGACGGTGACACACAGATTCCCCTATTGTTTCATAGATGGCGCTCTATAAAATTTTTTGATTTAAATCATTTTAAGATGGTAATAAGTATTTGTCGTAGAAAAAGTATAGTATGAACCTCGATTATAAATATTTCTATACTCTCATTAATTTAAGAACTCGCTCGCAAGCTCGCTCGTGCCTAAATTAAATTCGTGTATAAAATGGTGTTTATAAAACTTGATACATAATATACTATTAGGCTACTAATTTAAAAAATGCCAGGACGTCTAGGATTCGAATTGCGTAATAAAATGCTCTGTCCAATTATCTTAAAAGTTTTTTCGTTAATATTTTGATTACTTATTAAATTATTTTGCCTTAAAAGAACATTCTAATGTATTTTTTTGTAAAAAGTATCATTTTTTGAATTATTTGATTAACACCGTACCAATATATGAGAAACTGTTAAAATCTGTGGTTAAGAACAACTATTAAAATATTTTGACGAAAATAATGTGTTAGTAAAAAGCGATGGATTGTTGAAAATTTGTGTTGGCAGTGTTTTTAGACTTCAAGAGAGCTTTTGAGACAATAAATAGACATTTGCTATTGCTAAAATTGAAAAAACTAGGACTAAGTGGAAAGGCACTGGAATGGTTCAAGTCCTACCTTCATAATAGAAAACAAAAAATTAAATATGGAAGTGTGTATTCAAGTTGTAACCCTATAGAATATGGAGTACCGCAAGGAACTGTCCTTGGACCAATTTTATTTGTATTGTACATAAACGACATGGCAAAAATGGTAAAATTAATTTTTGTTTTCTGTATAGCATTCTGGCTAATACAGATATTATTACCTGGCTGTTTTTGAAAAACGAGGAAACGTTTAATTTTGTTAGAAATAAAAGGGGCAACCTGCTGTGGGAAATTAAACATTTAACATCAAAAGTTTGCTTCTTTTTGGAATGAAATTGCAAGATGGTAACTTACATGGTTGTGCGACGAGATATTGCCTAAGCAGAGCAGCATACTGAAGTAAAGGGGTATTTTCCACGGTGCTATTCCCATTGGTCAGCGATTGCAAGTGTGCGCCAATCACGGGCGAGAATTCGCAGGGATGGCGCAGCACTTCTCTTGTCAACGGCACTTCCAAATCTCTCAACAAACACAATCTAACGTACAAGAGAATCTGAAAAAAATATAAGGGTAAAAAGTTTTTTAGATATATTTATGTACCTCATTAAATGTGGCACTGCTAAAAGGTAAAACGTGATTTCCCACGTTAAAACTTCTCCCCTTTTCTTTTAAATTAATTTCGGCCTCGCCGTGTACATATTTTGCTATATCTTCGAATTTTGGCATCGAAATAGTTTTTTCCGCTTTTCTGGACACATCAATGTCGGTTTTTCTCGATGTACCGTACAAAGCTTTAAAAGCCTCTTGAGAAACATCATCTTTGCTAAAAAAAACATATTGAAAATACCAAATTAATAAATTTGTTTATATTCCTTCTTACACATCTCCAGTGGATAGAAGCAGCAAATACTTTGAGGGAACGTGATCCGGCGGAAATATAGTTGCCAACGTTTTAACGCCCACAAACCTGACCATCGGCTCGTCAGATGTTAATTTGTGCTTCATGAGGGCAAAAATAATATCCAACCTATTTTCTTGGTCCCTCTCCCCCGCACCGACGTCATATTTGTACGCCAAAATAAGGTTCAACAAACCTTCTCTTATGAGCAACCTTAGATCGGGATTGGCCGTTTCCAAATTGGCAAAGAACATTTCAAGTAAACCGACGTTGGTGTAAACCGTTTTGGGAAACCTGTGCGCCAAAAGTCCAATCAAAACGTACGACTGGCCCTGGTGGCTTTCCTCCCCCTCCTTGATTTGCTTAGTGAGTCCGGAAAGAAGTACCGGAGCTACCGGGCTTAGTAACTCTTCAGTGCCGCTGCAAAAGTTTATTTTAGACGTAGTTTTTGTTGAGGTAACGCCAACCAACTTACTATCTTACAACATTTGTGGCGTAATTCAATGCCAAAGTCTTTAGCCTGGAGTTGGTATTTTTTCCGTACAAAGAATCGAAAATTACGGGCAGACAGCCTCCGAAAAAGAAAACGTCGCCGGTAAATCTGACCAAGTACGTGAGAATTTTAAGACGAATTCGAGTGCTGGCCGGCGATTTGGACAGCTCAGGCTTGATGGTTTTCACCTGGCTGCCCAAAAACAGCACCTGCAGCTGCAAGGAACACTTGGTTCCGGACGCGGAACTAAAAATGGACATTTTCAGTCATAGATGGCAGCACCACGGTGCTGTTCTGAGAGGTGATTTTTGGACTTTCTGTGAAACCAATTTTTTTTTATATTCTTGTTAATTAGGTCATAACTAAAATTTTAAGAGCAAAAAAATCAATCAATCAATCAAAAAAATTTGACGGTTAATTTTGTTTTAATTGGATGTTTATTAAAAATATGTATGCACACTTTTAATTCTCCAATTAAAACTTGCGATTTTATTTAAATATTATCATAACTTTTTAAATCAGATTAAAGATTAGTTAATTTCCTAAAAAAACGTCTATACATTTTTTATATCTTTTACTGTTTTGTTGTAATACATGTTTAAAGTTTTAATTTAAGTTTAAATGTATAGTATACATTTATTAAACAATAATTCTAAGGGTGCCACATTTTATTTAGGGCCGATTTATTCATTTTTGATTTATTTGACGAATAATTTCTTTGGATACTAGATTTTGCCAAGACATGAAAGTTATCGGCCCGATAAACTTTACTAAAGATGAATAAACCGGTCCTTAGTTAAATTTCATGAATTTCTTCGTAACTTTTACTACAATTTTTCATTTTTGTTTATAAAAGACACTTTAAAAAACTAAACAAAAATTATAGAATACGTATACTAAAAATAACAATTCAAACGTCAAATAAATTTTTAATAGATCTAAGTTTCATGGAAAACTTTAAGGATATATTAATTAAGGGAACATAAATGTATACGTCAAAGGTTAGATTAAAAGTTTGAACGTTTATTGCAACAAAACAGTAAAATATATAAAAAAAATTGTAAAAACCTTTTTTTTAGTTATGCAAATATTAAATATTTAAATTAAATCGCTAGTTTTAATTGGATAATTGAAAGAGTGCATAATATTTTTAATAAACAGCCAATTAAAACAATTCAAACCGTCAATTTTTTTTTATTTTGCTCTTAAAATTTTAGTTATGACCTAATTAACAAGAATATAAAAAAAAATAGGTTTTACAGAAAGTCCAAAAATCACTTCTCAGAACAGCACCGTGAGCACATTTTTGTGGGGTACTTACCCCACGATTTTCTTGAGTTCGTTGTCCGCCAAGTTGGCAACACTGAATCGGGTATCGGCGGCGGCGACTATCAGGTGAATTAGGATGTCGTCGTTGTTGAATACTCCGTGAGACACGAATTTCACGATGCCCAACTTCATCTAAAATACGAGTTGTACTTTAATAAATAAATCTTGCTTGAATGAAGAGAAAAACACTCACTTCCTCAAGTTGTTCCGGTTTTATTGGGTTATTCAAAGTGATTCTTTTGAATGATACCTGACTCATGCCAGGAGGCACTGGCAAGTTGACGTCCGTATTTGATCCTTCTGCTTGATAGGTTAAAGCGCTAAAAATAAGTTTAACTTATGTACACCTAAACATGTTAATCAATTTTGCTTCAAGTTTAGGTATTTGATAATATAACAAGTTCAAAAGTATTTAACTTGTAATGGGCATGATATATACGGCAGTTTATTAACATTTGGTAGTTTAAGTTTTTAAGCATTACGAAATATGAGACTTAAATTTTAAATATTTGTTTAAAAATTTTATCAAGTGTAGGTTGTAGTTTTCACTTTAGAATTTGATACACTCTTTATTTTGTTTATTATGGTATAGAAATTTATGATTCTCATCTGGCTAACCACTTCTTATTTTAAAAATAAACATAAAAAGAGCGTTTAAAAAACCTAGAGAAGACAGTAGATTTTAAACAATTTTCTGTTTGAAGAGAATAGTTCAATTTTTTAATTGTTATAAGGGTAAATCAGTTTGTATTATAGTGGTATAATAACTAGGTATGTTTGTTTTATTGTACTATTATAATCTAAAGTCACAAATAGTTTAAAGTAAATATGTAATATTTACTTTAAACTATATTTTACTATTATTTTATCTTGTTCTTTGTAAAAGAAGGAATGGGCTGGACGTTGTATTTTATGGTTGTGGTTGGACAAACCAAATTATATAAATGTAATAATTGTAATGTAATGTACCATTTTACTACTCTAATATAACATACTTTATTTTGTACAGTTTATCTTATTTTATTTAATTGATAAATTAAATTAATTAAAAATGTTGAGACTTTGTTTCAAGTTCTGCATATCAAATGAGTTATGTAGTTAGCAGTGGCGGCTCGTGCCTTCCGCCCTGGGGTAGGCGACGGCCAACAAAACAAACTCTGTTTAAAAAAACTACCACATACCATTGCTTTTTAAACGATCGAGAAAAAGTTGAACCATGTTTTTTATCAGGTTTTAAAAGATTTAGATGTGGAATAGGGCGATCATTAATCATAACATCTTTTCGATCGTTTTCATTAAGGCGAGAAAATGGATTTTCAAGTAATGAGCAAATAATGTCATAAAATGGGCCCTCCATTATTGCAAAATAATACCCTTGTTTATTAAACAAGGCTAATAATCAACGCTAATACTACCTAATTCTAATACAAACTAATACTAGCTAATTCTAATACTACCTAATTCTAATACTAACAAATAATAATAAATAATGATACAGTAATACTTAGCGGGTAATTAATTTCCTGACACAGTCACAAAAATAAAGTGAATTAGGCTTAAAACAATAATTATTATTGTTTAACTCAAAAACATTTAATTGACGGAACTAAAATGTAAAAGAAATCTGCTTAAAAACCCTTTATCGTTCGAATTTATCTCAACAGATGTCACTATTTAAATTAATTATTTATTATATTAATATATTCTTGCAAATAATGTTATTTACAGGACTTTTAATATTAAATTCATATTATATTTTGAACCTCTTGCATTGAGATCGATCAATTTATCGATTACCGGCTTAAAAAAATAACTTACAAGTCGGAAGCCGAATCGGCTTTCGGATTAGCCGAAGGCGAACAATCGTGTCGCCTTAGACTCGCCTACACATCGCAATTTTACCATACGTCAACGGCGTTTCTATTGGTCAGCGGTATAGCGTTCTTTATTTGGTTGACGTGCAAGAATTAAATAAATAGGCGCTTGGGATAGCCGCCTTTGCATGCTTTAGATGCTGATTTAGAGCATAGAAAAATGTGTGAACTAGCTACTTTCGTCATGACGCATCACGTAACAATTCAATAAAAGGTTTTATTTGCGATAAATAAGATTTATGAATGCAATAAAAATAATTTAATTAAATTTGGTAATTTTATTAATGTTAAATTACTTATATTTATTATTTTACATCCATATTTCCAGGGTAGGCGGCGCCTACCTTGCCTACCCCGACGAGCCGCCACTGGTAGTTAGGAATCTTTTTTGGCGGTTTCCGCTAAGGTCGGTGGTTCTTTGACAAGCGCACCCAATTGCCAATAATTACCAATTAACCAATTTAGATTGAAAAAAAATGGTTAGCCAGGGTTATTGATACGAAGTTGTTGTTTCAGTGTCTTATTTTTATTATTATTGATAATCATGTTATTTAGCTATATCTGATTTGCACTGACATGTTTTTATTACTTTATTATACCTGATTGTATTTGTTATTTATGACAATTAAATTGCATTACCGTTGTCTACTACTGTACCATTTCTTATTTATATATTTTATTTACCACTGCCATTAATTATTGTTGTATGTGACCTGAGTTCTATTATACTTTGTGTTTCATATTGTTGCTGTACATTGATAATTGAGGAGCATCCGTGCAAAACCGGCTAAATCCATTTTATTCAGTTTTTGTTTTTTTTTTATTTCGCATCTTTGGGTTCATTTCTATCGACAACCAAGAGAATTATGTTTAAATCCGACTATATCTATGTTAAAATCACATTTAAAAGGTAGGTTTAGGAGCAAAACCGGCCAAATCCACGTTTTTATAGCAAACCCGGCTATATCCAATAAATAATAATATGTGGCTTGGATATGTCAATACTACTACTAAAATTTGTTCTGTTTTTTCATGTTTGCACTAAATTTATTTTGTTAATATTTTTGAATAATAACATTTATTCGTTTTTTTATTCGGTTTTCGAGCAAAACCGGCTATATACAAAACTTTTTTGAAATTTTGGCTTTAATATAAAGTTTTTGAAAACGTATGTCTTATAAATCAAGTACCACAAAGCCCACAAAACTCAAGTTTGCTTTTTCTTTTATCTGTAAAGGCCAGGAAATCGAGAGTTTTTGCCATTTTCCCAACATTTTATTAAAGTGGATATAGCCGGTTTTGCACGGATGCTCCTCAATTATAACAATTTATATTTGCTTTTCTACACCATCTGAGTCTATCTTTTATGTAGGTGAATAATCTTAGCAATAAGATAATATAATTGATTACATTCATATTGATTACTTTGATTTTAATGTATTCTTTGTTTTTTATATCTTCTCAATTGCTCAAGTACTTACATATCCAAAACTGTATTCACAACAAAAATGCGTCCTAAATTAATTTCTTTAAACTAGACCATAGATGGTCTGTGAACTAGACGATCACGTGTTTTTTGTGGTTTTAATATTCTTTTTTAATTATACACGTTTTTGAGAAGTTTATAAAACAATTGCATACCTAGGACTAACGCAAAAAAATTGTTTAGAATTTAAAGTTAATTTTATTTAACATCTTATCTGACATATTACAAGTTGTAAGCCATTTCAATCTCACTTTTTAACAATCTGACATCTGTTAGACGGGTTTAACCTCACTTTTTCCAAATCTGACATCTGTCAAACTGTTTTAACCTCACTTTTTCTTAATTTAGCACCAAGTAACAATCCACTAGTGTATTAAATGTAGGAGTTAAATTTATAAAAGCCATAAGTATAAACTTTATATATGTTTATTTTTGTGGATAGGTGTTTTATTGTAAAAAACTGTTTCATATTTGAAAAATATTTACTTACCCATAAGGTAGTAGCAGCATATCCAATAGCATTTCCAAAAGGTTCTTCACAATATGTGGTTTTTCGTTCAGTCCAAATAAAGATCCGATTTTTGCTGGATCTGTAGGAACTTTAACTTTTCCCAGCAGGGGAATAATTAACAACAAAAGACTGTCCATATGAGACACGGGTTTGTTTTCCAATGAATTTAAAATTGTTGGCACTAATTCGGCTTGTTTTTCAATTGGTAATCTGGGAAATCCTGTTTTTATGTAGATAATAGTGAAATTCTACAACACAATACATTTAAAATGTACAATTTCATTTAAAATAAATTGTTCAACAGAAAAATCACCCCAAAATTATTCCAATATTTATTTAATTTGTCATATAATATTTTATTCCCAAGTTTTTTATTATTGTGTTACATATATACTATTGACTTAACTTGTTATTATAAGGGTAAAAGATTTTAAAACGTTGTTTACTCACTGTAACAAAAGATGTAGCCGATGGATCTTGATACTGAGTTAGCAAAGCTTCAACAGGTAATTGTACTAAAGGTCTTGTCTTAATCCTTCTATTCACATGAATTAACAGTTCCATCACCTAAATATCAATTATTTTTTAATAAAAACTCGTATGGCATAAAATTTCAATCAATTAACCTTTTTTCGAACACCTTCCTGAGATGATGATAATTTAAGCAAAACTGGGGGTAAAAACTTACAGAGCACATTTTGCAACTGTTCATCGGTTTCTGCAGATCCAAGCCTAAGAAAAACTCTCTCCAAGAGCACTAAAATCAAAATTTTTAACTCGATTTTTGAGGATGACCATACAGTTTTTTAAATTGTATTATTTTGAATAATTTTATCGCTTTAATGGAAGTTTGTTTCTAAGTTATTATAATATGATTATTTTTACACTAATACTTACTTAATTCGTCTGCTGCACCCGCCATAATTTTTATTATTTATATTTTTTAATGAAAATTATGGAGCTGTCACTTCCATTCGAATTTTGACAACTTAACAAAAGATGCCAAACTTAGTAGGAATTAAAAGTTTTTTGATACAATATTAATCAAGGTTTAAATAAACCTGTACATAATCAAAAAAATAAAAAGGCAGTATATAATTTATTTATATTTATTTTATATACAGGATGTTTAATTAATAACTAAAAACAAATTAAAGAAGTCTGGCAACGTTGATAACCTATAAACGTCATCTTGTTTTGACATTTGTTGTTTGTGTATTTATAAGAATAATATTTAAACAATCCCCACGATGTCGATGAGACCTGACGACCACAGAAGAAAATGGGACAGGGAAGAGTACGAAAAGCTGGCCGAGGATCGGAAAAAAGAGGAAAAAGAGAAACTCGAGGAATTGGACACGAAAAAGAAGGGCCCCCCAGTCAAAAGGGAACTCCTCAAGACCAGAGAATACAAAGTCGACTTGGATTCGAAATTAGGCAAGAGTATCGTCATAAACAAAAACACACCCACCTCTCAGTCTGGAGGATATTATTGTAATGTCTGCGATTGTGTTGTTAAAGACTCAATCAATTTCTTGGATCATATCAACGGAAAGAAGCATCAACGTAACTTGGGCATGTCGATGAAGGTGGAGAGAAGCTCTCTTGATAGCGTCAAGCAAAGATTCGAATTGAACAAAAAGAAAATGGAGGAGAAAAAGAAGGATTACGATATGGCTTCGAGAATGCAGGAAATTGCTGAAGAGGAGGAGAAATTGAGGGAGTACAGGAGGGAAAAGAGGAAAGAAAAGAGAAAAGCAGAGGAAATGCTGGATGGTAATGAACCTGTCGATGAAATGGCTGCTATAATGGGCTTCTCTGGATTTGGAGGTTCAAAGAAAAAATAATTACCATAGTTAAATTGTTAAATTAAGGTAAATATAAATAAATGACGAGTTTTAATAATAATATTTTATATTAAATGGGTATTGCACTATATACTAGGTATATTACATGTAAAGAAGTAAATATTATAAATAGTTTTGACATAAACAGTCTTGTGGTTTTTACCCCTGAAAATAGTTCTTCCCCGACATTTTTTCGTATGTACTGCTCTGGCATGGGATTTTTAACTTCTGGGTCATGACTCACATCACAAGGGCAGTTAATGATATCATTTATGACTCCTACAATTAATTTTTTGAAGACCTTTGCTCCCTCCAAACTGCATACTGTTGCTACTTTAATGAAGTAACAATCTACCATTTTTTTGTATGTCCTGAAACAAAATGTATGAAACTTGACACTTGAATTATTTGTAGAAAATAATTGGGTAATTTTTGTTTCTTAAAAATAATTTTGCTTTAAATTTTTGGGAGACCATGTATAAAAATATTAGAACATACTTGCAAACTTTTTTGTGATTATGTTCCTCATTCCAATCCGGAGGGCCTGCACATATTTCAAATTCTTTGTCTAGTTCATGAATACAGTAATAAAAAAGCTCAAATTCTATAAACAAAAAAGTTAAGACAACCTATATGGCTTAAATCAATAATTTTACTTTGAAAATAGTCTGCATCATAACACAGCATTTTATCCAAAGTTTTTAGGCCATTTATAAGTCTAGCGTATAAATTAGTTGGCGGTAGTCTACAGTTGGCCAGGTATTCTTTCAAAAATCCCAAACTAGTCATGAGCTTGCTGAAAAAAATAAATAATAAATAAAAATGCTCATTAAATAAAACTTTAACACCTGCACAAAGCTTGTCCATCTAAAAGGCCCATTCTAATAACACTTTCAGGTGTTGTGATTCTAATATTAACTAATTGTTCAAAGATAACATCCTCGTTACACTCCGGGGTGGACATGTTTTTTAAATCTAGTGTAGCAGCTCTTCTTTTTACGTTAACAGAATTCTGAAGGTTTGACGCTCGCAATTCGTCATCATTTAGAAATGACGAGTACTGCGCTTCTACTAAAATATACTTTTTAAATGTTAATTTTATTTATTTCATCTTACCGTTTGAATGAATTTGTAAAAAAAGCAAAGAAAATAAAATAATAAGGAAATGCATCTGACAAAATATCTTTTGACAACGTTTAATACATTTCAAAAACAACTTGAAAAAAGAAAAGTACTAGTATTTGTTTTTTATTAACAATCATTGTGCTATAAATCCACTACGTCTACATTGAGATGTGCAAAACATCCTATGATTTTGTATCTCAGTGTAGGTCATATGAACTACTCGATGCCAGTAAACACTCAGCCGCAAAATCCTATAATGTTAGGCAAATAATTTTAAAAGACCACAGTCCATTATAATAAAAAACATTTTACTTTAATAATAAAAACATTTTTACAAAAATTTGTTTGGCGCATATTTTTAATGAAACTACATGCGCCCAGAAATTTCTGAATATTTTTCAATGACAAAAAAATAAACAAAAATTTTTAATCAAAGGTAATAAATAAATTAAGTATTTGTGAGACAGCATTTATTACAACAGGTTACTGATAAAAATGTTAATAAACAATTACTTTTGATAAAACCTGGCATTATCTAATGCATGCAGATCTTATCGCGTATTTTTGCATTGGAAATTGTAATCACTTATTTATCATTAAAAAGCACACCTTTTGTTAAATAATGTCGAAGTTTTTAAAAGGTATTTTCGGCGGGAATAAATCAAAAAAGAATAAACCCGAAAACAATCAAAAGACTAACACAAAAATTGAGAATGATGATCAAAATATAGAAGAAAACGGTGAAGTGTTGGAAGGGCTCCCACCATCTATGACGAGGAGATTATCTCTTTCAAAAAGTGGAAGGATGAAGGAAAAAAAGCGAGTGAAAATGTCCATCCTTGAAAATCAAGAATCCAAACAACCTGCTGATGATATCCAAGAACCTTTAAACACCTGTGAAAGTGACATTTTTGATACTCAAGGAATAATTGAAATAGCTAATTCTAGTCAAAATATTCATAAACTTAATTAATGCTTTTTTAAAGCTGTGATATTTTATTAGTTATATTAATTTTTTTATTTATCTATGTGTATAATGTCTATAGAAAAATCATATTTTTCTTTTTAGACAGAAACTAATCCAAAACAAATTGTAATAAATAGACCTTCACAATAATTTACATGATTTCTCAACCTTCTTCCGATTTACTTTATTAAACCACCAATCATAAAAATATTGAACTCTGATTTAAATCGTTTACAAGATTCTTTTGAAAATTTAAAGTGGGGTTATGTAGTTTGGCACTTAAATTGCAGTTTACTGTTTTACCGTCAACGTCAATTCGTTAAAATTACAGGTTTCTTTCAAACTTCAAATTCATTTATTTAAATAATTTTAATATATTTTATTGTAAAATAGAGTGTATAGTGTATTATATAATCTATTTAAAAGCTTTCTGCATTTTTCGTATTAAATTTGCTTTTAAAATGTGAAACGTATGAAGTAGATCAAGTGCATGAGATTGGTCTTGAAACATAAACATAAACAAAAAGTTTTCCTGCTCAAAAATAAATGTAATGAACGATAAAGTGGTGCCTTTATGTTGCTGTGAATATTACGATATAAATAATGAAAGAAACCACATCTTAGCATGTCTTTGCAACTGTGTTGATTTAGATGAAGCATTTGATAAGTAATCTAATCAGGTTAACATGTAGTCTATTGACTTAACCCGTTTTTCTATTGTAGTTTAGTATCAGGGAAACGGGTAACAGATCACAATAAACGAGCTGTTATGGATACCATTCAAGATAGGCTTCGCATACCCTGGAGAGGAGGTGCAAAACAAATATCAATAGACGCAATTTTACCTATATTTATTTTACCTGTGATACTTTTAATAGCCGCTAACAGCCTATGGTGGACCATATTTTCTTTCACCACCATGTTGGTATTCTTGGGCTTATTATTTAGGTTTTTAATCAGAAACTTACCCTATACAAAGTTTTTTTTAATGTGGACCATTACAACAACCGTAGTACTCTATTGTATCTTTGAGTTCATTGTTATACCATTCCTGGAGATTCTTTTAGAGGAGAATATAGCTTTAAGTTTATTTATATTTGGGTATGTGATGTCGGCCTATAAATGTAAGGTTAATGCCAATCAGTTGGGGGTTGAGGAGAGCGAGGCTGAAAATGGTTACGGGAAATACTCCAACAAGTTGGATAACTGTTTAATATGCAATAAGGGAATCCCAGACAAGGATCATCACTGCATTTGGTAAATATTTCTAATAAAATCCAAATATTTTATAACATTATAGTTGCCTTGTATACTACAGTAAAATCTGACATCTGTCAGGCGGTTTTAACCTCACTTTTTGTCAAAGAGGTCAATTTTCTTCACAGTTGTACAAATCTTGGACATGATTGGAAAAAATTAATAAACAACATTAAAAGAAACACATTTCAGGTATGTTTATTGTTTTTTAGGTTGGATTGTTGTATAGGAAAGCATAATCAATGCTGGTTTATTTTATCTATAACCTGTGCTAGTGTATCTTTATTCTACAGCTCAAATCTAACTTTAACATCGGTATGCCATCCATTTACACTATACAAAACTATTTTACTACCTGATGACTGTTCTGATGTTTATCATCAATTTGAGTAAGAAAATATGCATAGGTATATATATATTTTACCAATTCTTATGTTTTTTTAATTTTAGACTGGGTCTATCTTTTGTGGCCGCCCTTTACAGTATTTTTATAGCAGTCTGTTTACTAATACTACTTTTTCAACAAATTTTATTTGTCTCAATAGGCATTAGCCCTAAGGAATGGAGGAAATTTTCAAAATTATCAAAGCTATTTTGTGGACTGACTGCTTATAGGCCAAATAGTAAGGGTTTGATTAGAAACTGGTTAAGAATTATACCAATTTGCCAGAGGAATTACCCCATAGAAAGCCAGCAACTTTAGAACTTAAGAGCAATATGTATTTTGGTAAAAGATTGTATTTTTTTCTCATAAATATATTTTATTTATAAAGTATCCCAAGATTTTTTTACTTACCAAGTTTAATAAACAGTTATTTATTAACAAAAGTCTTTTTGATAATAGTTAAATAAATTTTATGTATTAAGGGCAAAATAAGGTTTTTATGGTCCGAGGCGCTATTTCGAGCCCGAGCGCGTCAGCGCGAGGGCTAGAAAAGCGTCGTAGGACCATAAAAACCAGTTATGCCAGCAATGCATACAAAACTTTATGCACGATTAATATATTATTATTTTTAATATATTATTGTTTTTAAAGACGTTTACGTCAAAGAATTTTTGTTATAATTGTCATATTATAATGTCAACTGACATCAGTCAGTTTTAAAGTTTAAAGATGAATTAAATTGAGGAAGCAGCTGAAAAGGCGAAAAATTGCAGCCTGCTGCCGGAAAAATAAAAATCTTTATACGATTAAACGTACTTCGAATATATCAAATGGTGTAACATTGTTGTTTTTAATTTTTGACGTTTCATTATAGCCCGCTGGGTCATAATAACGCCCGCGGGCTATAAAAAGACGTTTACGTCAAAGAATTTTTGTTATAATTGTCATATTATAATGTCATCGTGCATAAAATGTGTTTTTTTCTTATTTTTAATTAAATTATCATATAATATTATATATTATTATATTATAATATAATACGCCAAATGGCGTATATTTGAAATAAAGTAGGTGTGTGGTAAGTATTATATATAGTGACATCTGTTGTGGGCAAATTAAATATGTTTGAACCACATATTTAAAGCAATATATTGCACATATATGTGTTTTGAACGCACTTAAAATGTTTTATTAAACCAAAGACCAAATATAATTTTATATTCAACAATCTTGGATTTTTAAAATTATAGTGACTTTTTGGGGAATTTTTATTTTTTATCTGTCAATAATGGCGCCAAAACAAATGACCTAACCTATTCGTTTGTTTTGTTGTAACGTAAACCGTGCTGTGGTGATTAAATTAAGGATTAGATAAATCGTAAATAATCATTGTAGGTACTTATTGAGGTTCGTGGTGAATACAAAAATTATTTAATCAAAAATGACGTCTTTAAACAAGAGGGGATCATTAAACACATCACTAAAAAATGCCAGAATCTTTGACGATGTAAGTTAACGTTAAAATTATAAAATTCTATCAATTAACCCGATTAACTTCATAATAGGATTCATGGGATGCAACTCAACTGAAAAATGAAGAAGAACCATGGATAGAAAAACCCATAAAAAAAGAAACGCTTTCACCTGCATTTAAAATTAAAAGCGAGCCAGAGGATTCAAATTCTCCTTTCAACAAGAAATTGTTCGAAAATTTCAACATTAAGCAGGAATCAATATCACCATTTACTACACCTATAAAAACCGAGATAAAAACAGAACCCAAAGAAGAAGCCATAGAAGCTTGTACTTCACAGGATGACTCTGAAAATGCCAATGATACAGAACTATTTGAACAATGGTAAGTAGTTGGCTTAGAATTGCTGTTATTGGTGTAGTATTTGCAATCCACATATTATCAAGTTGGCTTTGAAAGTTTTCCTCATGCTAATTGGTTGGAAAGTATTTGACAACCAATTATTCAAAAGTGGCTGTGATGATTTTAATTTAGTTTTATAACACTTTATTTATTCAGTTCAGGACCAAGGAGGAGTCCACGAAAATCTATCAGGGATAGATTAGGACCACCAGTTGACACAAGGGAAAATAAAGCCAGAAAAAGTGCAAAAAGGACAGTCTTTGAAAGAGAATCGCCTTACAAAAGGAATGAAGGCAATGCCACAAAATCTTATTTAAAAGAAAAACCACAAATAAATAAGAGACCTGAACTAATGGAAGTTCAAGCAAAGTAAATATTAGTTTTTAAGTTAATTAATACCAACATCTTAAATACATTTTTATAGGAAACCAAAAAAATCCGTGAATTTGGAGTCTGATGTTGAGGTTCTAAAAAGACGGCAAAAGCAAATTGACTTTGGTAAAAACACTTTGGGATATGAAGCTTATCTTGAGATGGTGCCAAGGTAAATAAAATTTCGAAAATTATGTGTCCAATATTATTGTTTTTTTTTTAGAGGTTCAAGGTCAAGTGAAGATCCCCAAACCCCTAATAAAAATGTCAAATATTCTCGAAGAGCCTGGGATGGATTAATAAAACAATGGAGGGTTAGATTGCATAAATATGACCCAGCCGACAATGAATAAATGTTTTTGTATTTATGTAGATAATAAGTTTTACTTTTTCAACAGTTCAAATTTGTTTGTTTCTATGTTTTCTGACTGATTTAATTTTTGTTTCAAGTTATTTTTTTTATTAAAAGATTGGCCTGGTTGATTTAAAATTTAATTTGACACATCTCAAATTATTCAAATTGAAATTAAACTATAGAAAGATATATTTAAGTTTATATTTATTAATACTTTGATAATTTTTGGATATTTTGTATTTATTAAACTAAAATTGTAATAAATTCAAAATTATCCCCAAAGCAATCTGTTTTAATTTGATGGTTATTTTAAATGGATCTATAGGAGTCATGTAGTTTTTGTATTTATGTAGATAATATGTTTTACTTTTTCAACAGTTAAAATTTGTTTGTTTCTATGTTTTCTGACTGATTTAATTTTTGTTTCAATTTTTTTTTTATTAAAAGACAGGCCTCGTTGATTTAAAATTTAATTTGACACATCTCAAATTATTCAAATTGAAATTAAACTATAGAAAGATATATTTAAGTTTATATTTATTAATACTTTCATAATTTTTGGATATTTTGTATTTATTAAACAAAAATTGTAATAAAATACAAAATTATCCCCAAAGCACTCTGTTTTAATTTGACAGTTATTTTAAACGGATCTAGGAGTCATCTGTCACCTAAGATGACATTGGTATTATTTTTAAAAACAAATGACTGTTTGACAGAATAAAAATGTCCGCTACGGAAGAAACGGAAAGTTCCGATGCAATTTATAACGTTCAGAGGCCCAATAAACAATATGTGGGTAATTCAACTAGTGAAAACAACTTTGCAAATAGCAGCGTTCAAGAAGAAAATGCTTCAGGCGAGGAATCTAACAATATCTTATGCATTATCGGTAGAAATGGTAGAATCGGAGCGTCTTTTTACAATTTTCAGGAAAAAATGGTACTAAACACATGTTTTTAGAGTTTTTTTAATGTTCTTTCAGTTATATTTTTATGAGGAAATAATGGATGCAGGCCCTCAGTATTTGGTAACACAGGCTTTGTTTCGAGAAGTTACCCCCAAATATGTCATCAGTTTTGGTACAACTGGCGACGAATTTGTTAAAACACTTATACATATATTTTCAAATGAAGATGACGAAACCACAAATGGGGTTAAAAAAATTCCGCAGAATTTTTATTTGCTGCCTTTGAAGGAGTACAGTAAGTATAATTTTTTAATTAAAATGAAAGTGGAATTTTTGAAATTCAAGCCTTTAAAGAACTTTAACATCCCACATAACACAAAAATATATATAAAATATTAAATGAATATTTTTGCTAAATGAACTAAATATTTTAGAAATATTATAATGACTATAGTCATTATAATATTTGAATCGTCTAATTTCAAAAGCGACCATCTCCAATTTTTTTCTTAAATGAGTTATTTACACTAATAAAATCGAAATATTACGTATTATATTAGTGCAAAATTATATCCCAACAAAAACGGCTATTTGCAAGGAAAATAATTCATTAAAGTTTTATGTTAGTTTTAATAACGGCCATCTCCATTGATGTTTTAAGTAAAAAAATGTACTTAAAATGCCCATTTCCCTTTTGAAATATATGTTTTTTTAATTAAAACTTAAATCTGGTTACTTATTTTCTAGAAAAAATATTTTTAGATACCATATATGAACAAGTTTTTCAAAATATATTTATTTTTTACCCATTACTGTTTAGAATGTTTTTTTGACGTTTACTTAAAATATTCTTCAAAGGAGATGGCCGCTTTTGAAATTAGACGATTCATTTCTAAAATATTTAGTTCATTTAGCAAAAATATTCATTTAATATTTTATATATATTTTTGTGTTATGTGGGATGTTAAAGTCTAAAGTCTAAAATGTTTTTACAACATTTAGATGTCCCACTTTTTATATTTATACAATATTTTTCCACAACATTTTTAAAACATTTTTGTAAATGTTTTATATACATTACCTTATATTTTATTAATGTTTTCTCAACATCACAAAAATATCTTAAAATATTTTCGAAATATTTACAGTTCATTGAATATTTATTTTAACAATGTTGTTGTAAATGTTGATAAAATGTTTCTTTTATATTTGAGGCATTCCACGTTACTCGGTAATTTTTGTCCTGCCCGTCATAATTAAAAATTGTGACTAAAAACCACAAGTTATTAAATTATTATTTTATAATAATATTTTTATTGTGCCTATAAGCTTATTACAAGCATAATAAACAATATTTTAAAATAAATTTAATAACGTGGGGTTTTTACTCACAATTTTTAATTGTGACGGGCGGGACAAAAATTACCGTGTAACGTGGAATGCCCCATTTATAAAAGCCGTGTGACATCCGATACTTTTTGTGTACTGTATTTTCTTTTGTTGGAGAGAAAAAAGTAGATGGTAGATGTGGTATTCTCATAGCAGATATAGTAAAACAGTGAAATACCATAGTTGGACATATATTTTTTGCACGCTAAAAATACAAGAAATTTTAGTACAGTTCTTAATTATTAAAATTATTTAAAAAAAAATAATTGATATAAATAAACAAATTATTATTATTATATTAAATAAAATAATCAAATATATAAATATAAAAAACCAAAAATTCTTTGGAAAGAATCACAAAAAAAAATTCTTTCTTCAGTATCGGTTTTTCTTATTTACTTTTTTTTCCTAAATTTATCTTGGGCCAACCATTGTCTCAACTCTGGTATAAATTTTCTCTCGCATTATTTGGTTTCAGATTCTTCCGGATGGAGGCTAAAAATAAATTAATTTATACAATTATTGCCTGGTTTTAAAATTTTTGTTAATAAGAATTTTACTGAAAGAATAATCGTCTTCATTCATAGATAACAAAGCCATTAATAAATAATAAATAAATAATCTAAACAATATAAATAAACATAATTCCTACATAGGTACCTCAATCTGGATAATTTATTATTAGCGTCGCACACAGGTTTTTCTAGGGCGTCACATTCAACAAAGCAAAAATGGCCGAACCATAGATTATAAAATCATTGAGTAAAGAACTTCCTTACTCAATGATAAAAGCCTTAGACAACAGACCTTTTTATCGAGAGGCGCTGACATCACAAAACTTTAAATTAACTTTTCAAAAAGTTGATAAATATTGTTAAATAACTCAACAATATTTAGGATATAATATAACATTGCGAAATAAATGTTAAAAAATATTTACATGATATTTATGAATGTTTTAGATATATTTACGCGTAACAGTTATAAAAATATTTTCCCCTGAATGTTTGTACAACATATAGGTATTTCATCAACCTTATATTTATAAATATTGTTCTCTAAACGGCCTGACAACATTTTTAAAACATATTGTGTTATGTGGGATGTTTAATTTATAAAAACTTATTTTGTATTATGTCCCCAGAATATTCCAGAGACTCAATATTGCGCAAACAAACAAAGCACTATAGTGCATTTTCTGGAAAATTCTGGATGTTTTTAAAAACCGCTATTTTATTCTCTACTTTAAAATAATATTCAATTTTAATTCTATTAAATTGGCATATTTACTAGTGAGTAAATTAATAATTAAGGTAAAATGTTGGCCTCTAAAATGTAAACATTTAAAATAAAAACTATCGATTGTTCTGGACGCGTATAGAACATTCGAGAGTGATCGAGCTTATTCGTGCCCGGCCGGCCCGTTCATATAAAAGCGATTCCAACGCGCGTAAATGCAGTCTATTTAAATCAACCGAACAGTAAACAACAATATCAAGTGCGACTTACCAAGTGTTTCAAAGCAAATTATAAAGTGATATTAAATACATTCAAAGTATATATTTACTAAAAAAAGAAAATGGTGAAAGCTCCAGCAATTGGTATTGACTTGGGAACCACGTATTCCTGCGTCGGAGTGTGGCAACATGGAAAGGCGGAAATCATCGCCAACGACCAAGGAAACAGAACAACCCCTAGTTACGTGGCGTTCACGGACACCGAGCGTCTTCTGGGCGACGCAGCCAAGAACCAGGTCGCGATGAATCCAAGCAACACTGTATTCGATGCCAAACGACTGATCGGTAGGAAATATGACGACCCCAAAATTCAGCAAGACATCAAGCACTGGCCATTCAAAGTGGTAAGCGACTGTGGAAAGCCCAAAATCCAAGTTGAATTCAAAGGAGAAATCAAAACCTTTGCTCCAGAAGAAATCAGCTCGATGGTTTTGACTAAAATGAAGGAAACGGCGGAAGCATATTTGGGAGCGACAATCAAAGATGCCGTTATTACAGTTCCAGCTTACTTCAACGATTCACAAAGGCAAGCAACAAAGGATGCTGGTCACATCGCCGGATTAAACGTGATGAGAATCATCAATGAGCCCACAGCAGCCGCTTTAGCATATGGATTGGACAAGAATCTCAAAGGAGAAAGGAACGTTTTGATTTTCGATCTGGGTGGTGGTACTTTTGATGTCTCAATTCTTACCATTGATGAGGGATCGCTGTTTGAAGTAAGGGCCACTGCCGGAGACACACATCTTGGAGGAGAAGACTTTGATAACCGACTCGTCACCCATTTGGCAGAAGAATTCAAAAGAAAATACAAAAAAGATTTGCAAAGTAATCCAAGGTCTCTTCGAAGATTGAGGACGGCTGCAGAAAGAGCAAAGAGAACTTTGTCATCAAGTACAGAAGCCACCATTGAAATAGATGCACTCTTCGATGGTGTCGATTTCTACACAAAAGTTACGAGGGCAAGATTTGAAGAACTTTGCTCAGATTTGTTCCGAGGAACTTTACAACCGGTTGAAAAGGCTTTTGCAGACGCCAAAATGGACAAGGGAGTAATCCACGATGTCGTGTTGGTCGGAGGCTCCACAAGAATCCCCAAAATTCAACAACTGCTCCAAAATTATTTCTGCGGAAAACCCTTGAATTTGTCCATCAACCCAGATGAAGCAGTGGCTTATGGTGCTGCCGTTCAAGCTGCGGTACTAAACGGCGATGCAGATTCAAAAATTCAAGACGTTTTATTGGTTGATGTAACACCACTTTCGATGGGAATTGAAACAGCCGGTGGAGTTATGACAAATTTGATCGAACGAAATGCCAGAATTCCATGCAAGCAGACGAAAACATTTACCACATACGCTGATAATCAGCCAGCTGTTACAATTCAAGTATTCGAAGGGGAAAGAGCCATGACCAAAGACAACAACTTATTGGGAACATTCGATCTAACTGGAATACCACCTGCACCGAGAGGAGTTCCGCAAATTGAAGTTACCTTCGATTTGGATGCCAACGGAATATTGACCGTCTCTGCGAAAGATTCCAGTTCTGGCAATACTCGCAACATAACCATCAAAAACGACAAGGGTCGCCTATCGCAGAAAGACATCGACCGGATGGTATCCGAAGCCGAGCAATACAAAGAAGAGGACGAGAAGCAGAGACAAAAAGTAGCTGCCCGCAACCAGCTAGAAGCGTACGTATTCCAACTAAAGCAGGCAGTGAACGAATGCGGCGACAAATTATCTGCCGATGACAAGTCGAAGGTGGAGAAAGAATGCGAAGATTGTTTGCGTTGGCTGGACAGCAACACGTTGGCCGAAAAGGAAGAATACGAGGACAAACAGAAGCAGATGACGTCTGTGTGCAGTCCGATTATGGCCAAATTGTACGGCGGCGCCCAACAAAACGCCGCTGGAGGCGGAATGCCCGGGGGCTGCGGACAACAGGCTGGCGGCTTTGGAGGCAGACAAGACGGCCCAACCATAGACGAAGTCGATTAAATTTAATGATATTATATTTTATAACTATAATTTAATGTAATAATGTAGATATACCAGGTATACTATACCTACATACCCCCATACATATATACCTACATCTATCTATCTATAGATGAGTTATAACCATATATAACCATATATATAACCATAGCACCACTATTTATTATTATGTATTTATTTAAAGTGAGACTGATTTGTTAATTTATTTATATTGTTTAATAAAATGTTACAATCAAATATGTATTTTCTTTCATTACAAATACCTACATTTATCAGGGCTCTAAAATGTTCTAAAATTCAGCATTCTGTCCTATAAAATTGGTCTTCTCCTGAAATGTCTTAAAATTTGGCATTTTGTGTTTTGTTGATATTTATAATTGCCCCATAAACTAACAGTCAATTGATTTCGTCATGATTAAAACACCAAAACTGCAGTTTGTGATCTGTGTTGCCTACTCTATATATGGTTGTGTGATGAAAATTAGCGAATTGAATGATCAAATTAACTCCAAACAAAATTAACAAAACCAGCTTATTTCAAAGGGAAATGTAAAAATCGGAAATCTATTATAGAATACTGTAAAGAACACAATTAATAAATCTACTGTAGTAGAACTAAGCACTAAAGAAAAAAAGAAACAGCTCTGTGATAGAACTAAAGCCTAAAAAAAAATCCAAAACAGTGATATAAAACTATAGTTACTAAAATTGTTTATTTTTATTTTAGTATGTATACTATACATTGTATAGTATACAAAAAAATCGACTATTTTTTTTGTAAAGTATATCAAAAATACCTATTGTTTGGGGTGACAAAAAAAACTATGGTGAAAGTTTGAGTCCATAATATTAATATTAAGAGGTCTATCATCGCAATTTTAGATTTTCTTTTCCTGAGCGAGTTTTTGTCTCAGATCTCCCAAACCATTGAGTTTAACAAAATTGACTTGGGAATATTTTTTGAAGAAAATTGAATGCTCTACAAAAAAGGTATGATTGGAATTTCCCGTCCGATAAACCGTTTTTTTTACAATCATGCCTTAAAAATTTAAAGTTGCTATGATAGACCTCTTAATATTAATATTATAGACTCAAACTTTTACAATATTTTTTTTGTCACCACAAACCATATTTTCGTATACCTTAGAATAAAAAGTAGATATATTTATTTTGTTATTGTTATCAAATAAATAATTTATTTTTTTCTAATGAAACGTACGTTTTCAAGTTTTTAAATTTATCTTAAAATTTGTCTACAATGTCCTTAAATTAAAGATTTGTCCTAAAATCCCAAAGGGTATTTGTAATTTAAAAAAAAATATTTTTCAGCGTACGAAATTTGCAAAATAATAGTTTTTAACATAACTCTGATGTCAAATATTGAAAATTCTGAAATAAAAAGAGAACTAAACATACAGTCTTTAATAAATGTGGACTCAAAATTATCGGTTCAATCTTTGGGTGGATTGGTCAAATATTTGGAGAAGAATTGGGCATATTTTGATACAAACAAAGATAGCATGCAATTTGTGCATATTCAGCAAAAAACTATGTAAAAAGGTAAACTTTTAAAAAACACACTTTAATAAAAAAAATTATAGGAAAGATCATGTTTTAATTGATCTAATAAGCTTCAAAGCCTTGCATATTTTCCAAGAAAAATGGCACGAAGCTGGTTTCAAACGTGGAACACAATCAGCTAATAGAGAAGGTCTTAGTATTTATAAACTTTTTTCTGTTCATTGTAAATCCACCATGGGACAAACTTTTCTAAGGTTAACATAAAATATTGATATATTAATAAATAAATATTTAAGTCTAATTTTTAGAAATATTCTGCGTAATCCTATTAAAAATATAGATGAATTAAATAGAAGATTGGATTTCATAGAATTTTCTTTAGTACTTGAAAACAGGGAGTTTATAGAGAGTCTTCAAGATAATATAAAACATCTGTGTGATATTAACGTATGTAAAGTTTAATATTTATTTCAAAATAATTACATTTTATATTTTGCTAGAATATTTTAATCAAAATTCAGAATGGACGAGCAAATACGAATGATTGGAAAGTCATATACAAGGTGATTTACAGTATATGTTGTGTATTTAATTATTCTTGTTTAAAAATTATTTTAGACTATGTATCACACAGTTTTTGTCAATGAACTTTGCCGCCCATTTCTGGAAAAATCAAAAATACTCGCTGAATTCAGCAATTCAGTTTCTCCCGAACTAATGGGCTTAGAACAATCCATTTTGGACGCATTGGATTTTACGAATGTTCACCTTGGTATACCATCGATAAAATTTGGACTGGACGAAACATTAGACGCCAGTAAATATTATAATCACAATTGTGAAACGTTTTTTTGAGAGGAAAATATTTTTTATAGAAAAACTTCGCCAAAAAGATATTTCAAAAAATATAAACGTCGCGGCAAGAATTGTGGTTGAAGAGCTACCTGATTTTATAACTGAGTGTAGTATAGTTTATTTGCCTGAAATGGGGCACCATATTGCTATTAATGAATGGGAACCTGATTGTATTCCAGAACAGTTGGAAGAATTCGGATATCAATTTGTGGTACCTGATAGAAATATTGATTCTTTGCATTTTTTATCATGTTTTTTAGTTTAAAATCTCGGATACCATTCATTATAAAAACGCTATGTGCAAAGGTAATTTTTGTTGTATTCTTGGAATTTAGCACATTTTGTGTGATATTTTAGAGCTGGATAAATATTATGGCGATATTAATTCCGAGATAATCGATCACGAAAACAGAATTATAAGAAGATTGTCGGGGTTTATATCAAAGTATCAAAAAGCCATTCGCGATCCCTTAAGAGAACTGGCTTTAATTGACTGGTGAGTTTGGTTCGAAAATTTAACCCGATAAATTTGCGTTTTATTAAAATTTAACCTTTTGTTTATTTAGTTAAAATATTTTATTTTTTTTCAATGGTTTTGTATGAGGCGCCGTTTGTGTCAAAATTAAAAGTGCAAAATAAACTTATTTTGCTTTATAAATAATTAATTATATGTATGCATTATTTACCAAATTATTTTTTTATAAAATTCGGTTTTTATCAACTTATTTTTTTATGAAATTATTTTTTTAGTAACTTAATTTTTTATAAAAATATTTTTTATGAAATTATTTTTTTATCAAATTTTGCCTTGCTCCCCCCTTATAAAAAAAATATCTCGGTTTTCGACTTAAACTTCCAAACGCGAAGAGTTACGAAATTGCGGTTTGATTTTTTGAAAACAGCGTTGTCGAATTAGTAAAGAAAACATACTGCGGTTTGATTTTTTGAAATCAGCGTGGTCGAATTAGTAAAAAACATGTTAAAAAATTTGTTAGGCAACTTTCGATTTCATGTTTTTCCGAAAAAAATTTGCCTTGGTCCCCCCTTATAAAAAAAATATCGCGATTTACGAGTGAAACTCTCAAACGCGAAAAGTTACGAAACTGCGGTTTGATTATTATATAGGTAATTATGCAATAAACTTGGCTTATAACAACAGCAAAAATGTTAATAAATACTTTTCTATGTGTTTTATTTTACAATAATCAAATACACCCAAGTAACACCTCGTGAAGAAATCGTTGCAAAATTTGTTACGATTTCTACCCAAGTAACACGACGTGACGGCATTCTACTAGATTTCACGAAATCGTCACGCTCGTTCTTTATAAAGTACATTTTTATACAAATACGTTATCAAAATGAAGGTGACGCCTGCGTCACTTCTAAATTTTTGACGGAACCGTGAAGATTTTTCGTTATAAAGTAACTTTTTAAATAGATACTTCAAAGAAAATTTGTGACGTTTGCAGTGCACTTTATTCGTGACGTTCTCGTGTTTTTAGGAACGAGATCTCTCGAGAGAGGGCTTCTTTATCTCTGTCAGATTCTCTGGTCAGCCATTTTCATTGTCGTTGTTTTGTAGAGACGCTGCCCCACACACGTGCTGCGTTTTTGTTGTTTTTATTGTTATCATTTGTTCTTATTCAATGGTTTATAGATAAGGTGAGTTTAATTTAAATTGTTTTAATTACTTTGGCTTGCAATTTTGCTAAAATTCCTATTAGTTCAGTAATTGTATTCTTTTCGGTATATATTTGTTGCAATATATTGATGACGTTGTTTTCAATAATTTATATATCGTACCTTCATTTGCAAGCTATACATAGGGAAAATACATTGTAGGTGGAACAGACAAGTCGAAGTCGCGCCGGTCAGCGCGAAACGAAAATGTTCCCAGAAATTATTTTGACGAGTGGATGAGTAGACATGCGACGTAACAGGTGATCGACTTTGTTTACTGGTTTAGTTTTTGTGTCTGTGGTCTGTGGTGATTATTCTATACATAGAATATTTTTGTATACCCACAAAAATGGGTCTTTGAACTTTAGTACATCTACGTTTGTAATTAAATGTACATTTTTTATTAATAAATAATTAATAATTAATTAATAAATGTGTCTTATTTAGCAAAGGAAATTAATTTATGTAATTTGGTTATTATTATTTACTGTAAATGCATACTTATATTAGATTTAATCGGTTATTGACCATGGTGGGTCAATAATGAAAGCTAAATTTCTGTAAAAAAACTTTAAAGAAATTTAGCTTTCATTATTGAGCGACCATGGACAGGAAGTGATTAAATTTAATAAGTATGCATTGACAGTAAATAATAATCGTCACTAATTCGTCACAAAACTGCAAAGCAGATTCTACCACGGATTTAGTGTCAAATTCGTCACATTATTGTGATAAAAAACATAAAGAAATTGTCACGACTTGTAGGCACGCCTTCGTGAAGATTTCGGGGGTTAAAATTAGTGCGGTTTGGCCACTGTATCAGTCACAGTATCTATAAATTTTCGGGATCACGTTGAGCTCACGACAAGTAGAAATCGTAACAAATTTTGCAACGATTTCTTCACGAGGTGTTACTTGGGTACTTGTCGTGAGCTCAACGTGATCCCGAAAATTTATAGATACTGTGACTGATACAGTGGCCAAACCGCACTAATTTTAACCCCCGAAATCTTCACGAAGGCGTGCCTACAAGTCGTGACAATTTCTTTATGTTTTTTATCACAATAATGTGACGAATTTGACACTAAATCCGTGGTAGAATCTGCTTTGCAGTTTTGTGACGAATTAGTGACGATTATTATTTACTGTCAATGCATACTTATTAAATTTAATCACTTCCTGTCCATGGTCGCTCAATAATGAAAGCTAAATTTCTTTAAAGTTTTTTTACAGAAATTTAGCTTTCATTATTGACCCACCATGGTCAATAACCGATTAAATCTAATATAAGTATGCATTTACAGTAAATAATAATAACCAAATTACATAAATTAATTTCCTTTGCTAAATAAGACACATTTATTAATTAATTATTAATTATTTATTAATAAAAAATGTACATTTAATTACAAACGTAGATGTACTAAAGTTCAAAGACCCATTTTTGTGGGTATACAAAAATATTCTATGTATAGAATAATCACCACAGACCACAGACACAAAAACTAAACCAGTAAACAAAGTCGATCACCTGTTACGTCGCATGTCTACTCATCCACTCGTCAAAATAATTTCTGGGAACATTTTCGTTTCGCGCTGACCGGCGCGACTTCGACTTGTCTGTTCCACCTACAATGTATTTTCCCTATGTATAGCTTGCAAATGAAGGTACGATATATAAATTATTGAAAACAACGTCATCAATATATTGCAACAAATATATACCGAAAAGAATACAATTACTGAACTAATAGGAATTTTAGCAAAATTGCAAGCCAAAGTAATTAAAACAATTTAAATTAAACTCACCTTATCTATAAACCATTGAATAAGAACAAATGATAACAATAAAAACAACAAAAACGCAGCACGTGTGTGGGGCAGCGTCTCTACAAAACAACGACAATGAAAATGGCTGACCAGAGAATCTGACAGAGATAAAGAAGCCCTCTCTCGAGAGATCTCGTTCCTAAAAACACGAGAACGTCACGAATAAAGTGCACTGCAAACGTCACAAATTTTCTTTGAAGTATCTATTTAAAAAGTTACTTTATAACGAAAAATCTTCACGGTTCCGTCAAAAATTTAGAAGTGACGCAGGCGTCACCTTCATTTTGATAACGTATTTGTATAAAAATGTACTTTATAAAGAACGAGCGTGACGATTTCGTGAAATCTAGTAGAATGCCGTCACGTCGTGTTACTTGGGCAACCTCTCTGAATTATTTCGGATATTTATTTTTATCGCTATAGGTATAGCTATATATATAGCTATAGCTATATAGCTATATATAGGTATAGGTATACCTACCATTTCTCTGCAAAAAGTCTTATTAACGCTTCAAGAAGACTCCCAAATCTTGCTATTATTCTGACTTACTAAGACTTATTCAATTCAGAGTTTTCCGACTTAATAAGTCTTATTCAGAGTTTTTAAGAGAAAGTAAGACTTTCAAAACTCTTATTTTTACTTATTAAAACTTTTTCAGAGCAAAGTTTCCACAAGAGAAGTCCCAATTATTTAATAGTATTTTATAGATATATCTATATGCTATTGATTTTAATGTCCAGGTCGATAGCAGGTTTATTTTTTTGTGTTATCACCATAAATTCAGTTTTTTGCTTATAAACAAAAATATATATATATTGAAACCCTACGTATACGTAGGGTCTCAATATATATATTTTTATATAGTACTACCCTAATCCTTTTTAACTGGTTAATATACGTATTTTTTCTCATTGCTAGTCTCTTGGCAATGGCAAAAATGGCAATAGAAAGGAACTTTATACGCCCGCAACTGAACACAAACCACGTCAACGAAATAGTGGAAGGCCGTCACCCCATAATGGACATGTTAATAACGGGCTTCGAATCCAACGATTTCTGCTCGGGGGGCGAAAACTCCCGAGTAAAAATAATAACGGGACCGAACGGCAGCGGAAAAAGCATCTACTTGAAGCAAGTAGGCATGATCTTGTACTTGGCCCATATTGGGTCCTACGTGCCGGCCAAATCGGCCAACATCGGAATGTTGCATAGCATACATTGCAGAATGCAAGCCAACGAGTCTGCTTCTGTGAGATTGTCCGCCTTTATGTTGGATATAAGCCAAACTACAAAGGCCTTAGACAACGCGAATTGCTCGTCTTTAGTTCTTATGGATGAATTTGGTCGCGGTACATCAATAAACGAAGGTCTTTCAATACTAGTTGGGATATTAAAGTCTTTTGTTGAGAAGAAACAAAATTGCCCCCACGTTTTAGTCTCCACGCATTTCCAACAAATAATAAAACACCTACCAGTTTCAGCACTAGTAGAACACCTAAAAATGGAACACACGAAAGCCAACGGCGCTCTTTGTTTCCTATATAAAACAGTAGAAGGCGTTTCGAATAGTTTCGCCCTCGATATAGCAGAAGAAATTATCGAAGACCCCGATATTTTAACCAGAGCCCGATACTTCTTCAACTGTCTTCAAAATAACGAGCCCATAATCCCGCTAACAAACCCTATAAATTCACGTTTTCAACATTTAACCAACATAGATATAGACATACCTGAACCAGACGAGGAAGAATTGGACCAACAAATGCAATAGTATTTCGTGTTTAGAATTCCCGCTTGTTTTTAATTTCTTTAAGTTGGTAACAATTATGTTGGTAGCCCTGTTTGTTGACAGCCGACATCTTTGACGTTTGTGTTTCGTTTACTTCGCAAAAATAACAAAATTTATCAAAAATGGCTTTAGTAATGCAAAGAAAAACCAATGTAAGTAAACAATCGCCCCTTAATACACAATAACTAATAAATTAAATCCTTTAGGTTCGTCTCCCGCCCGAAATTAACCGCATTCTCTACATAAGAAACTTGCCCTACAAAATCACAGCAGAAGAAATGTACGATATATTCGGTAAATACGGAGCAATCAGGCAAATACGGGTGGGAAATACCCCTGAAACACGTGGAACCGCTTTTGTGGTGTTTGAGGATATTTTCGATGCTAAAAATGCCTGCGATCATTTATCAGGGTTCAATGTTTGTAATCGTTACTTAGTTGTGTTGTATTATCAAGCCAGTAAGGCGTTCAAGAAAACCGATATTGAAAAGAAACAGGAAGAAATCGATAAGATGAAGTCCAAATATGGAATAAATACGTAATTATTAAATGGTAATTTTAGGTTAAGAATATTTTTTAAGGAATTTGTAATATAAAAGTAATAATAATAATTGACAGTAATTATTTCAAAAGAGTCCGTTTCATTTATCAACCCTTAGGATTTTAGAAAAAAGTTGCTCAGATTTGTAATCAAGTAAGTACTTTGTTGCTATCATTTTTTTACAGGACAAATGGACGGCTTTCTGCAGAATGGGACCAACCCACACCATGATGAAACAGAAAAAAGCTATCAAAGATTTTAATAATTTTAAAATTACCTGTTAATTTTATGCCAATTTTGGACTTACGGAGGTATAAGGGATATAATTTAAAAATTTTGTCAGGTGAATTTTGTGATGTTAGGTATGTGTAAGGGTGACGAAAAAAATGGGCTTTTGTTGGTTGGTTCCTTTCTGCAATTTATGAAAACTACTATCTGATGTATGTATGTATTTAAAGAAAAGCGACAATTATTTATTTCCAAACAAAATACAACTGATATTACTATTATAATGGTAATATGAATTAATTTTGATTCTATTTGAAATTCGTCCACATCATCTTCCAACCCCACCTCATCTTGTAAGCTACCAAAAAAATGCATCAAGACTTTATATTTTGCAGAAGCAGGAAATCTTTAAAGACTTTGGTAGTGGGTCTACCAGCCTGCTTTTTTACAAAAAAGATCCAACCCACTTGCAGATATTCTACAGATTCTAATTCTGGATTAGTAATCCACACTATTATTGAATGTTGGTTGGTTCAATGATTAATAGATTTCACTACACTTGCATTTTGGCTATGACCTATTTTGCAGATAAATTATACATACTTAATTAGTTCATAGGCTAAATATCTCGATTTTTTTGGTTTTGTGGGTTGGTTCCTTTCTGCAGAAAGGCGTCCAAATATAAAAAACATTTAATGAGAGCTTGTGTTGAATTAGTGCAGTGTTTAAGAGGTTTATAAAAATATTTCAGTTTTAAAAATTATGGTTTAATTTATAGGGGAAGGATATACTTGCCAGGGTTGTCTTCCCATTGATTTTTTGAGAAAATAAAAAAAAATCAGTTTCATTTAAAATTTAAATCGAAATTTTTGTTCAGACAAGAATTTCTTGTTTTAACAAAAAAAGCCGATTTCGTTTATAAATTATTTAATATTTATTTCACCAATATAAAATAGCTTAAGCCCATCAGTCTCAAGTTAAATTGATATTTAGTAGATTTTTACAGTACCACAATGTAAAAAATTTCCAGCCTCAGTAGCCACCCAACTTTTTCGGATTAAGAATGCTTTATTAGGACAAATTTATTAGTCAACTTCTTACTAAAAAATATAAATTACTTAATATTTATTTAAAATAATTGAGTATTAATATACAATAATAGTATATTATATAATAAGGTTGATTTTGATCACGAATTTTAATTAGGCACGAGCGGGGAGTGTTTAGTTAAATGAGTTTCTGAAAAAGTTTATAAACGAGTTGCATACTATACTTTTTCTACGACAAATACTTTATTATTATCTGTAAATAATTTAAATTAAATATTTGTAAAGAGCGACATCTATAAAACAATAGAGTAACCATTCTCGGGAATCTATTACCGGCGCGCTGGTTAAAATGTTAAATTTTTATGTTATTGAAATGTATTCCTTAAAATAAATTAACAACAGTTTTTTGCAGTGAAAGTGAAGATAATATTTTATGGGCACTCCACTGTGAAGTCTCCACCCGAAGTTTAATCTAGTTTACTGCCGACGAAATTACCACACTGATTACTCAATTGTAATATGCAACTATGTAAATAGTATTTTACTTTGGTAGTTTATTGAAATCATTATACGCATTTTGTTTTTTGGTTATTAATAGTATATTATGTATCAAGTTTGATAAACGCCATTTTATACACGAATTTAATTTAGGTACGAGCGAGCTTGCGAGCGAGTGCTTAAATTAATGAGTGTATAGAAAAGTTTATAAATGAGGTGCATACTATACTTTTTCTACGACAAATACTTATTATTATCTTAAAATGGTTTAAATCAAAAATTTGTATAGAGCGCTATCTATGAAACAATAGGGGAATCTGTGTGTCACCGTCAAATGTCAAATTTTATAATTATAAATCGAAATGTATTTCTTGAAAATTGACAGTTTTTCAGTGAAAGTAAAGAAAATGTTTTATGAGCACTTTACATTGGAGTCCGTGCCCGAATTCAAGTTATATACTGCCGGCGAAATTAAAAGGTCAGTACAATGTTCATATAAACTTTTCAAATATTGGCGTTGAGAAACTATTTAATACTTTTGTATTTTTGTATTGAGATAATAAAATAATTTTCACATTTAGTATTATTTTACAAGAAAGGCAATTTATTTTAACGATTGTATGACATTGGACAACTGTCAACTAACTTCAGCCCGTGACTAAAATCCTGTTGCTAACTTCAGCCTGTGACTAAAGCGCCATAAAGCCACAACTTGTCAATGTTTATTTAAAAGGTCACTTACTGTCATGGAAACATGTATGATAAAGGGCGTTTTAAAGGTGGGAGTAGAAAAAAATCTTTAATTATCTTAGAAAGGTAAAAATATCGATGTATTCCTTTTAAAATTAAGCTCCTTAAGTTTTATAAAGGATTTAATTGTTTGTTCTTTTACTTGTATACTTACTACTACTATGTAATGCTTTATGTTTTAAGCTTACCATTTTTAATTGTTACATGTATTCCTGAAAGGTTAGGAAAAATAAAACAACATGGTATAGTTATTTGTATATTAAACCAAAAAAATGACTTTGGTATATAAGCACATACAAATTAGAGTGTGTGACATAAAAAATGGCAATCCAGTATATAAATACACTCCAATTTTGCTCAAACCCACATTCCAAAGAAAATAATTAGGACAAACACGTAATAATTTGAATAGAAAATGTATACAGTTAAATTATTAGTATATGATTAATATATTGCAAAAAATTCAATAATGAGTACATTAATTAGATATTTGAAGAATATTATAGATACTTATGAACTACCGAATATATAGCACACTTACAATACACTTATAATGGCATTTCAAACCATTATCACAACAAAAATATAATGTAAAAAAATTGTTTGCCATTTTTCAATTAAATGGTGTTTGAGAGGAAGCAATATGACTAGTTAAATAAAAATGGCAATGAATCTTTTTAATAATTTGATATCTAAAGGTTTGCATGGAATTAGGAGGAAGGACAGGTCAAAGCAGAAAAGATAATATAATACATATCTTGAAAAACCTATGCAGAAACCTTCAGTACCTTTGCAACAACAATATTTTTGAATGCATTTTACCAAATAATCTGTAACTACTTTAGGAACTGTAAAAAGTAAATATCCTGCTAAAAGAATCAACGTATTAATAAAGGTTTTGGTAAAACACACGAAAAAACCCTGTCTAAAATGCCATAATTGGTAAATTTGATAAAATACACCTAATCTACTGATATTTTAAACACTACATACAATTTTATTAATGAAGCGCTTTAATGTCTGCTATTATGGCTGAGTATTTATGAACTCTTCACTCACCACAATTCATAAATCAATGTTTTTTACTTGTATTTTATTCCGTTGATAAAATATCAAAGCAATCATTGTGACATTGTCCATAAATTGTCGATGTGTGATGAAAGTCGGATAAAATTAAACACATTAGGTTATGTATTTTATCTTAGTAGGTATATCTAGATTATGATCGGAATTATGTTTAAACACTACATATACATGCATGCTGTTAAAGTTAAAAACACTGATATAATTTTGTTTAACTCTTTTCATAGCAACTAAATGTAGTTCTTTTCGTTCCTAATTTCTTAGCTACGTCAAAACAATGCCAAAGGAACAAGATAATATTGCAGAAATTTAAAATCAGTGTAGTTTAAGCTCAGAGAAAGGAATTCTCCGTTTTTTGCGACAGCAAGTTTTGATTAATCGAATATAATGAATGCAATATTATCTAAGCGCCGTTGTTAAGCTATAATATTATTTCATATCGCTATAGCATTTTATATAATTACATATGGCGACGCACAACCTTCATACTTGTACACGATTAAAAAAACTAAACCAATCGCCAAATGTCCTAACCTAACGAAATCATTGATAAACGAAAATAAGAAAAACAACTTAATAAAGCGGTAAAAATAAACAGGCTACCTATACAAAAGAAAACGAAAATAATGCCGGCATAGTTGCGCACGCATTCAAAGTGGTCAAAGCTGTGCGCGGTCAAAACGCAACTATGCCGATTTCGCCTACAGTAGTGTTAATAAACGAACCAAAAACGATGGGTAAATTTTTTGGCACCGACTGTAGACCATCTTAACGAATTCGACCAACACAACACTCACAAACCACAAAATATCACATGACACATTGAGCCACTTGTACAAATCAAAAAACCCCCGAAAAATTTGGCAAAATGTGAACGCTTTTCGTAATAGCGGCTCAAAACAGCCCAAAAAAACTAGCAGCTTAAATAATAATAATAATATAATATTTGGTTAAAAAAACTAAACTATATTTGCACTAAATATTCACAGAATAACTACTAACCCCGCACCGTCGGAAATTTGGATTTAGAACGCAATTTAATCTGCATATTAATAAAAATAAATATCACCTAAAAATGTACAGGTCAAATTCAATATCGAGTGGTAGGGACGGAAAATCCAAAATGATAAATAATAAATCCAAATTTCCTGTTACATATAATGCGAGGCCGATTTGGTTCAGTTGTGCTACCGATTTATAATAAATTTACTGTGAAATTGAAAAAGTTCAGTCTCGAAGGTTTAGCGTGAATATTTCGTACAAATGAGGGAATTAAATCGTAAACAAAATTTAGTGATCACCGGCTCCGTCAAACAAATCAATACGCGTCATTGTAACATGTTTTGTTTACTTTTGGTTAGTTGCAGCGGTAAAATTTTCCTAGCTTATGATCACTAAATTGTGCCCTGATTGGCAGTTGTCCCTTCTTCTTTCTTCATCGCCGATGTCTCGATTTACAAGTTACACTGCCATAGTATCGTAGGCTGTGAGTCCCCCGTTTGCTGTTGAGGTTTGCCCTGTTTCGTTTCTATAAAATATACGTAAAAATTGTTTCAATTTGGCAACAACTTTTCACAAAACTTCAACATTTTGCGAAAAAATAAACAGCGTAGAAATAAAAAAATTCTATTTCTGAATTGCATAACGCCTATAGAAAATAAACCAAGCGCCAAAAACTTTTTCTGGGCTTAGTAAAATTATGTGTATAATAACTCATTTTTAATAATGCTCAAAAAATTGATCATCATTTGGAACTTTTCTCAAAAGGATTGAGAGTGTTCCCAAATCATTATTAACTTTTTGAGCAGCATAAAAAATGAGTTATTTTGCAAATAATTTTGTTTACCCCAGAAAAAGTTTTTGGCGCTTGGTTCTTTTTCGACAAACGCTATAATTTATATTGTAAAAAACAATTTACCTTTTTAATAAAAATATGATTTTTTAATAATTGTCCATAAAAATTCTTTAAATAAATGGTATTTTTATTATACCTCTTTCATTATGATTTTACAAAAAACCCTAATATATTAAATTATAATTTGATTTTACATTTTATTATTTCAATAAATAATTACAAAAATGTTTAAATGATTTATTTTATTTTACAATTTGCCCCTAAAATGCCTGTACAAAATGATATCCCTAAGACCGAAATAATGCAATAAAACTAAATTTAATTCTATACAAATGTTGATAACTTTAAAAAATAAATGTTTTTGTACAAAATTTGATTTTTGGGATTTTTTATGGCAGGAAAATTAAATTTCTTATAAAAAAATAATGTACGTTGCAACACTTTTTTTTTATTAAAACATGAATAGACTAAGGCGCAAAAAGACCTACATCAGTTTTTTAGTAATTTAAATTTCTCGTTCTGAAAAAAACCCGAATATCAAATTTTGTGCAAAAACGTTTTGTTTTCAAAAGTATTTAATAAAATCGAAAACCAACCTTCAACTTTGAGTTAATAACAAAAATTCAGGGTTATTTTGGTTATTGTTAACTTTTGTATGGAGGTAAATTAAGCATTATTTCGGTCTCAGGAATATGTGGAATCATTTTGTACAGGCATTTCAGCGACACCTTGTATAATAATATTACAAAGTTTACACAAATTTCTCATAAGCATTTTTTAAAACCAAATAATAATGTTTTATTAAAAAGGCAATCTAGTGTTATTTAAATTAAATAGTGAAATGTATTTTTTTGATATAAAAGATTTTAAAAACTGTATTTAAAAATATTTTAATTAATATTAAACCCAAATTAGTAACCACACAATAATTAATTAAAATATTTTTTAAACCTATTAATGCAACATTCACAAATAAAAAAATCCATCCCATTGCGAAATCACACAAAATCAAAAAAACCAAAAACAAAAAAGTGCAAAAAATGGGGAGTGACAAAGTGTTAATACATAAAAAGCGGTGTATTATTTACTAGTGAAACTTACAGTTTCCTGTTTGAGAGGAATCCATGAAATAAATTAATAATTCATTACACATTATGTACACATTATATTAACCTTATATGGACTTGTGAGAGTTACTTTAATGAAATATCTTTGCAAAAGTTAATTGTTGAACAATTTACCATATTGTGAATTTTTTTGCAAAGAAATCCCTGGGATTGATAATGAATGCAATACACTTATTAAATTATTATTTTTAATAAACACTTTACATGTGTACTGACCTCTCAATCAGTTTGCGCATTTCTTCGTGGGACATGCCATCCTTAGAGTTACCTCTCATTACTGAAAACAAACCACACTTAACTACACGGTCACAAGTTCACTCCTAAATAAATCAAATATTATCCAAGAGGTAACTTATTACTTTATATCGCTAGCTTAAAATAAAAAAAACGATCAAAATGATATAAAATGGTTGGGATGTAGCCTAGTCACTCTGGATTTTACTTTTGTAGTTTCTACTTTGTGGCGTCAAAAATGGGGTAGTTAATTTTTTTCTGACCTATACTTTTTATGGTTTTATTCAAGGCGTTTTGTAATTTTAAACATTTCTGTGAAATCGGAATTTCAATTGAGTTTACCGTTTTCGAGATATTTACAAAAAAAAATCTCCTAATTACGTCACTAGGCTATTGACAACGTTGCCAGCTTTTTCTATGGTTGCCAGTGTGTTTAGTTTAAGATTCTTACGATAGATGGCGCCACGTTATAATATTTTAGTTTTAAAACCACTTGATCTATAATTTTAGTTAAGAAGAAGAAGAAGAATTGATTTTTTGACGTTTTTTTTTCGGGCTGTTTTTTTTTAAATTTAGATTATTGAAAATTAATGTTATTGTTATGTTATTTGTAATTGATATTAGATAAGTGATTTATTAATAACGGACTCCAAAGCAGAGGAATCTTGTGGAATGGTTGGTCATATTGAACATTGGAGCTTTTAAACAAATAAAGTAAGTACCTATAATTATAATCATATTTTGTCGTAAATGCATTTCATTAGTATAATGCCTAGTTCTTTATATTCTTTTAGATATATCTTGGACTCTAAAATATCAAACAGTAATATGATACCTCGTAATAAGGAAGATAGGTACTTAATGAATTTGGTGACCATCTTTCACTCAACTGACAGTGACAGTATTTGAACATAACCTCTTCGGGTATTTTCTGACATAACCGAATGAAATCGTTAACAAGACAACTTGACAACAGGGTAATTTTCAACCAATAGAAATCTTAGAATGTTGGTCACATGGCGAGGTTTGTGACGTCATAAAAAATTATATTTTTTGTAAATATCTCGAAAATGGTAAACTCAATTGAAATTCTGATTTCACAGAAATGTTTAATATTACAAAACGCCTTGAATAAAACCATAAAAAGTATAGGTCAGAAAAAATTTAACTACCCCATTGTAGTTAAAAATCATGTACTGAATTTCGCAGAACTATATTTAAAACCCTAAAGTGACTGGGCGACTACTAATATGAGTAGTAAATTGTTACTGCGCAGTAAGTCAAAATTATACCGTTTTGCTGCGCAAACACTATTTGCTAATCACACTAGTAAAAAACGAAAAGGTAGTTAATTACATGGCATGCAGTTAAACACATAAAACACAGTGAAAAAAAAAATAATTGTCGACATGCAAATAAACAATTATCGAAAGATGTGTGAGTTATGATTATGATTATTTATTTTTTTATACAATACGATAGATGAGTTGCGTAGAATCTAACCTAGAAAACCGTCTAATCGGAAAAATCAAACGCAAACAACTCACTCACTTACCCTGTTCATTTTCTGAAAACAGATAATGATTAAAATTTTGATTTTGTAAATTATTGTGCAACTATGATTTGTTAAATATTTATTTAATAAAATCTATAAATTTTTTGCAATTTTTAACCAAAAATCTTTCGATTAACTCTATGGGACAACCGAAGGTGTAATGTGTGAAAAACTATTCGTACACGGTGCAGAATATTTTTGAAAGCAAGTCAAAGTTTACTTACCACCGTAAGTTCGGCTGTTGATCAATTGATCTCTATCGCATTCTGCCTCTGAAATCTCGTTGCTGTCTTTGGAATCATTGAAAGACGGATCGTGGTTCCTCGGTGGCGGCGGAGGCGGCTCAGGGCTGCTGCTGGTTGGCTGTAGTCTTAGAGATCCCATAGACCTAGTACGTACGTACAAATTTTATTTTAAGGACAGTAAACCTCCGCCTCATTGGTTGAAAATCCCAAAACCGCGGACAAGATAAAAACAAATCGAATGTCAGTATTTGAAGTATCGATAAGAAACCGAGTTACCGATCTTACTCAAGTTTATACCACGTGTGAAATAAGAAGCTGTCAAAGCAGCAATTACGACACAGTCACTCTTCAAAATATTTTCAAAACAGTAAGAGGACGTAATTTTTCACTCGAGTGTTGTTTTCTGATTCGGCTTGATGGAGGTAAGTCAAACAAGTACATAAATAATTTTAATATAATATTAAGAAATGTTTTATTTTAAAATAACTGAACCAAAAGTGATCGAAAGAGTTTTCATCCCAGACAATCATACTTGTTTGAAAATTCGTACAATTATGCTGATTTATGATGATTGTATAAATTTTAGTAGAGAGTATACAATATCTAGGTATAAAGGAAAGTCTCGGCCCTGGTAATCAGCGACCACAAAAACTATTTCGACTTCCGATCAGTTTTTCTTCAAAATGTCGGCCATGTTGAATCCGATATTTTGTTTTATAAACATTGTAATTCACATTCGTAATCAGCGACCTTAAAAACCTCGTACACATGATTTAGACAAAATCTGATTGTAGGCCATTTTGTTTTTGAAAATTGAACCTTAGATTTGTTATCAGCGACATCAGAAGCGAAAGGCTTTTGACACGGTAGATCCGCACATACTTGTAAAAAAGCTACAACAAATGAGACTGAAAGCAGTTGATATCTTTAAATCTTACTTAACTGGAAGAAAACAATATACAAGAGTAGGAGATGAAGTCAGTGACCAAGAGAGTATATACTATGGAGTGCCACAGGGTTGCATTTTGGGTCCTTATCTATATTTATTATATATAAATGATCTTCAGTTTTATCATTTCTTTGGAAAAATGATGGCCTATGATGATGACACGGCTCTTTTAAAAATAAAACCAAAAATTACAACATTTGAATCACCATAAATTCAGAAAAAATTATAGAAGAAAAAAATTAAATACCTGGGTCACAGGTAACAAAACTGAAATAAGCACAATTCAAAGAAAACAAAACAAACTATTGGATACTTTAAATAATCTAAAAAAATCTAAAATTTAAAGTATTCAATAGTTTGTTTGGTTTTCTTTGAATTGTGCTTATTTCAGTTTTGTTACCTGTGACCCAGGTAATTTTTTTCTTCTATATATATATTAGGGTGTTTCATTTTTAGGCAATATTTTTTTTCTTTCTGTCCTACCTAAAAATCTGATAATTTATATATAAAAAAATAAATTTCCGTTGGAAAAAAAATTCACTCTTTCAAAAATTCGATTTTCCATATAAATTACACGGGAAAAAGTTTTTTTCAGCTTCAACTCAATTTTTTGGCGTTTCAAAATTTTTTTTGGAAAAAATGAGTATGCAGCTTTTGTAGGGAATCAAATTTGCTACAAAAAAGTTCCCTTGAGCAAACGCTTTCCGACCAACAGTTTTTGAGTTGTAGAGCTGGAAAGGTAAATGTTAATGTTAATTAACAAATTTCCTTTAAATTGAAATAAAAGGCGTATGCAAACTTTTAAAGAACAAAATTGGAAAAAGTTTGCCGGCCTCATATTTGTAAGCTGGTTTTACGTTGTATTTTCCAAATATACTGGCCAACAACTTCAGGCCCAAATGTACCAATATTCAAGTTTCAACAGAAATGGCCAAGAATAAATAAAAATAATTATAAAAAAAGATTGGATGACCACATGGTAGCCTCGATTATACGTGATAAAAGAGATGGTATTATGCATCGCCTCCGTGGCATAAAATAGAATTAGAATTCATAATTTTTACCTATCAATAAATTTCAATTTAAAGGAAATTTGTTGTTAATTAACATTAACATTTACCTTTCCAGCTCTACAACTCAAAAACTGTTGGTCGGAAAGCGTTTGCTCAAGGGAACTTTTTTGTAGCAAATTTGATTCCCTACAAAAGCTGCATACTCATTTTTTCCAAAAAAAATTTTGAAACGCTAAAAAATTGAGTTGAAGCCGAAAAAAACTTTTTCCCGTGTAATTTATATGGGAAATCGAATTTTTGAAAGAGTGAAGCCTCTAATTTACTTAGAATTTTTTTTTAAACAGAAATATATTTTTTTATATATAAATTATCAGATTTTTAGGTAGGACAGAAAGAAAAAAAATATCGCCTAAAAATGAAACACCCTAATATATATATTAGGGTGTGCCAAAAAAAAGTCGACATTTTTTTTTCTTGCTCTCCACCCAAAATATCGTAGAATATGTCCGAAAAAATATCCTGTTAAAAGCGGACCTCATAATTTCAATTTTAAGAGGTCCTCCATCGAATCTGAAGTTTTGCCGCTTAAATAACACAGAAAACTGACTTTTTTACCTTATTTATTCTTGCAACCTAGGAAGAAATTTTTTTTTCATAAAATCCATGACCAAATCTTACAAAGCATTAAATTTGGATGAAAAAATCTTATTAAGCCAAATTTCTATTTTCATTATTTGATTTTTTACAGAGCTTTAAATTTAAAATTTTACGTTTTTTGCCTTTTTCAGCTAAACTATTGAAGTTAGACGAAAAAGTCAAATGGCAATTTTTTAGCTTGTCTGATGGACCACAAAAAAGTTTAAAGCGAATTTTTTGTATCGTCAATATTCTAAAAGTTACAGACGTATAAAGTCATCATTTTTGTATTATTAACTTTAAATTTAAAGCTCTGTAAAAAATCAAATAATGAAAATAGAAATTCGGCTTAATAAGATTTTTTTGTCCAAATTTAATGCTTTGTAAGAATTAGTCATGGATTTTATGAAAAAAAAAATTCTTCCTAGGTTGCAAGAATAAATAAGGTAAAAAAGTCAGTTTTCTGTGTTATTTAAGCGGCAAAACTTCAGATTCGATGGAGGACCTCTTAAAATTGAAATTATAAGCTCCGCTTTTAACAGAATATTTGTTCGGACATATTCTACGATATTTTGGGTGGAGAGCAAGCAAAAAAAAATATCGAGTTTTTTTGGCACACCCTAATATATATATATTTATATAGGTATACAATAAACCTAATAAAAAAAATATTGAAAAAAGAATACTGTGATGAAGACTTAAATATAATCATAAGAATTGAAGTACATGGATACATGACGAGAAACAATGACAAAATCAACATACCAAGTTCAAAGACCAAATTAGGACAAAAACGAATATTGACTGAAGGTGCCAGACTCTATAATGATATTCCAGAAGAGATCAAGAATACAAAGAACTACATAAGTTTTAAAAAACAATTAAAAAAATTCTTTAAAGACAAAACAATCTAATCTAATGGACATTTTATTCCAGTTTATTGCTGTTATTTATATTATTTATACTATTTGTTACTCTTTATTGCTGATATTTAAAACATTAAACATTTATTCCTGTTAATATATAAATCATATATGTTAAAGTTCTTGTATCTATTTGGATATTATCTCCAATAAAAAAAAAGAAGAAAAACCCTTGTATACATAATTTTCATTAATTTTAACAATTTCAACCATTTTAAATCTGAAATGACTTTCTTGCGCGAACGCTTTTCTAAACCTAAATATTTTATCTAATTGTACTTGGAAGAAAAAGAGTTACTCAGACTGTCCTCAAATGGTTTAACCCAAAACAAGTCAAAAACCAAGAAAACTTACAAAAGAAAAATGTACCTATATGGCTCAAGAACATTATACAATAAGAAATAATATGTAAATATAAAAGTAAAATTGTGATACTACTGTGATATTTTGAATTGTAACTCTTAATTATAAATATTTAATATAACCTACAATGTACCTGATATGGAATCTACATGATGTACCTGATATGGAATCTTGTATTCTTTTAAGGTGTAATAAATAAATTAAAAAAAAAACTATTTCACATATGACTTCGACAAAATCCGATCACTTTTTCTTCAAAATGTCGGCCATTTTGTATACGCTATTTTGTTTTTTAAACATTTTAATTCATATTCGTAATCAGGGACCTTAAAAACCCTCGTACATATTATACAGGGTGTTCCGAAATTAATGCACCATACTTTAACAGCAGATTCCACGTGCAAAAATAAGAAAAAAGTCTCTATAAATATAGATCGAGAAATGCCTCCTAAGGGAGCTACAGCCCCTGAAAAGGGAGCCCCTGAATATGGTTTTTATCTAATATTTATAAAAAAGTAGAAACACCCTGTCACTTACTACATGAAACTGTCACCTGTCTTGAATTATTCTATTTTTTCCTAAACATGGCAGTCGTATTCCAAGGACCACACGAGTCCATTTCTATTATTGTGATTTAATTGTGAATTTTTATGCCATGTAAAATAATTTTCAAATCGATTTTAAGCGAAAACGGTGTATGTTAACGAAGTTCAACAAGATCACCTTTTTATGTGCAAAACTCCAAAATTTCATAATCTGACATCAAATTCTGGTACAAGATACGTACAAAAAAGTTAAGGTGGTTTTAACCCCACTTCCTATCAATCTGACCCAAACCTCATGAAATTTTTTAAATTGTTATTGTTACGTCTTATTGGTCATAAAAAGTTTAATTAATTCCCTAAATTTCACTTTTCTATCTTTAACGGTTTTGGAGATATTAAATAAAAACCTTCTTCAGGGGCTTTCCTTTTGGGGGCTGTAGCTCCCTTAAGAGGCAATTCTTGACCTATGTTTATAGGGACTTTTTTTCTTATTTTTGCATGTAGAATCTGCTGTTAAAGTATGGTGCACTAATTTTAGGACACCCTGTATAGACAAAACCTTATCCTTTTTATTTTAAAATGTCGGCCATTTTGTTTTTGAAAATTGAACCTGGGATTTGTTATGAGCGACCTCACAAAAACCCATGTAACATAGTTTTGATTAATTTTGAACATTTTATCTAAAATTTCAACCGTTTTGTTAAATATTTAATTTGTTTTTTTTTTTAATTTTTGACTGACTTTCCTGCGCGAACGCTCCTCTAAACCTAGTTATTTTATGTACTTGTTTGAAAATTTGTACAATCACCATGAAATAGTTATTTATGTCATTAGGTTAAGAAGTAAGGCTTTTTGTGCTAAGCTCAAAGTTTGAAGGCCGACGCGTAGCGGAGGCCTACAATTGAGCGAAGCACAAAAAGACACTTCTTGGCCGAATGGCATACAACATTTTATCTTCAAAGCACTTTATATAGGTCAATTTAATTCAACATGAAAGCGGTCTAACCTCACTTTTTTAGAATGTCATTTATTTATTAGCTAAAGATTACATTAAATGTACAATAATTATTATTCCTTTTAGAAGCAGCAATAGTTTGACAATACCTAGCTACATGATTTAAGTAGAAATGGATTTTTTTTAGAAAATGGTTTACTTACCCTCTTGCTATTACATTGAATTCAATTAATTGTTTAATAAATAGGTATCTAATTTCAATTTGTTTGCATTTTTATTAAAAAAATAGGTAGTTTGGAATGTTTACGCTGTGTTTAACATTTAATTTCACTGAAAACTTAAAGCAAATTAAAACTTAAAGATAATTTAAATCGTAGAAAAAGAAAACACATCAGTGAAATCCACAGAAACGTCAAATTGTAATGTCCTAACCTAACTTTTTGTTTTATTATTCATATTTAATTTTACAATAATTTAATGAAAAATAATAAACATTAACAGTAAAACAAACAAATTAGTGCTTATTATAAATAAATTAAACCAGTTTAGTACGTTAATTTCTTAGAAAAGGATTAATTTTTCAAAACAATACCCCTAGCGAGAAAAAATCGAACTAATTACTTGCCTCATAAAATTTTTTATCGGCCTAGGCCATAAAAAGTTATTTCTTTATCGAATGTTGACAACAATAAAGTTTAAATTATAGACCGCGTGGAGATAAAATATATTATTGAAAAAATGTTAAATTTGTATAATCATTTACGATGATTGTCCCTGGTAATCAGCGACCACAAAAACTATTCCACATATGATTTCGATAAAATTCGATTAGTTTTTCTTCAAAATGTAGGCCATTTTGTTTCCTTTTTTTTAATCATTGTAATTCACATTCGTAATCAACGACCTTAAAAACCCTCGTGCATATAATTTAGACAAAATCTGATTAATTTTTTGATAATTGAACCTGAGAATTGTAATCAGCGACCTCAGAAAACCCTTTTTACTTGACTTGTCGGTGTTTTTTGGGATCTTCAACAACTGTGCTGCTGTGTTGCTTAATTAAATTTAGTGTACCTTTATTATACTATGCAATGTTTTGCATTATTAATATGTAGTATATTTAATATTTTTTTTAAATAAATAAATTATCACGCAAACAAAGCTAACAACTCCTTACCTGCGTCCAATTGAACCCCGGCTTCCGTATTGATCGTAGGGTGCTCCGTATCCGCCATATTGCGATCCGTACTGCTCGTCTTCCGGCGCGCAGTTTGCCGGATCGTCGTACTCGGGTCCGGGCGAGTAAATGGAACCATTGCCTGATGGCAACGTGTAACCTTCAAGGTTTCGAATTAGTGATGGATGATTCAAATAAAAATCGGCGAGATAGAGAGTAGTGCGTTTTGAAGGAAGGCGAAAAAAATTGTTTTTTTTTTTGTTGTAAAACGGTAAATTAAACTGATGATGTATGATTTAGTCAGTACCGGCTTTAGCTTTAGGGACAGTCCATTAGGGTGGAGTAAAATACATTATGGTAAGCATTTAATATGCATATATTAGATGAGCAAAACACTTGATAGTAAAAATTTAATATGCGTATATTTGGAAAAGTGGTGTCCTATTACCCCAACTAACGGAAAAAAAATTATATTGATCATTCCGCCAGGTTCCGTCACCTTTTTAAAATTCAGAAGATAAAATTTGCACTTTAAAGAGGACCCTCCAAACTTTGTCCAATCAAAATCATTTTTTTTTTCGTTAATTGTGATACTATTTCATCACTTTTTCGAATATAGGCGTATTAAATTTTTACCATAATGTATTTTGTTCAGCTTATATAAAAGGGTTACCATCAGGTTGTTTACTCCACGGTGGAGTCTCCACCCTACTATCCATGTCCCCAAGCAGCGTTTTTGGTTTCAAAAACCATTACCAAAGTGGTGATACTTTAATTTTTACTTAAAAGTAATTCTAACTTTTAAATAGCAATTCTTTCCTTAAATGGTTACTATAAAGTAATCAACATTTAAGTAAAACTTGGTTGCCTCTAGAAGACTTTGCAACTTTAACAACTTTCAAGTAAATTTAATTTGTAGCAGTTACTTTTGGTTGCTACCTAAAGATTACATTATAATTATTTTTACTTTGTAATCCTTTTGCAAGTTAAAATCTCTAAACTGGAACATGAGTTAAAAACTAAAAAGTTAATAACTTAAAAGTTATTATTTTAGTATTTGGAACGTTTATGGTACTAACCAAAACTACCGTAAAGAAAATTAAGATGGAAAAAACTTTAAAGTAGCGAAAACTACTTCAAAGGAAAATGCTTCTTATCAGCCATTTTTTACTGTACAGTACCATGTGGTAATGTAAATAATAAATTATATTAATTGTTTGTAAATGGTTGTTTATTTTTTAATAAATAAGTAATTTTTTTTGGTAATAGACGGTATTAATAATTAAATAAAAAATTAATAATATAAATTAAAATTTTTTAATTTATAAACATTATTAAATAAATAATTTGTTTATACTTAAATATTGATGAAGCGCATTTATTTTACAAAAACTAAGTTCATAAGTTCAACAGTAAAATTTAAAGGATTTATAAATTTACCTGCCTAAACATTATATTCTGGAAGTTATAAACTATCAGTACATATTTAATAAACGACGACATTGAAAAGCCAAGTCCGTAGTGGTTCCATTTAAAAAAGGAGGGATAGTATAATCTAATATAAGTAAGACAGTTAATATAGAAGTAAAAACAAATAAATAAAAGTAATTATAACGCTCTAGCAACGATATTGAAACGTTCTAGTAACGTAGCAGCTACGTTTCAAATAGTAGCAGGGTTTATAGCTAGTGACATATTTGTTACCTTTTTGGAACTCAATAATTGTTCCCCACTTTAGTCGTAACTTAGTAATGAAAGAGTAATATAAAGAGACCGGCGACTGTCGCAAAACACTCTAAAGTTTCTTCAATAGTCCCATATACGTAACGAATACTTTTATTGTTGCTTGGGTCGTCAATTTCTATCTACCCTCTTTGCTAAAGCCGGCACTAAGTGTGATCTTAGTCTAATATTACAATTAAATATACCTTAATAATCCTGTAAAAGCTATACTTAAATTATCATTTATATTTACTACTTTTTCTATTGTTTTTACGACCCAACCTCTCATAACAACAATGGGGTTTTTATGGTTTTATTCAAGGCGTTTTGTAATTTTAAACATTTCTGTGAAATCGGAATTTCAATTGAGTTTACCGTTTTCGAGATATTTACAAAAAAAATCTCCTAATTACGTCACTAGGCTATTGACAACGTTGCCAGCTTTTTCTATGGTTGCCAGTGAGTTTAGTTTAAGACTCTTACGATAGATGGCGCCACGTTATAATATTTTAGTTTTAAAACCACTTTATCTATAATTTTAGTTGAGAAGAAGAAGAAGAATTGATTTTTTGACGTTTCTTTTTTTCGGCTTATGTTTTTTTTTTAATTTAGATTATTGAAAATCAATGTTATTGTTATGTTATTTGTAATTGATATTAGATAAGTGATTTATTAATAACGGACTCCAAAGCAGAGGAATCTTGTGGAATGGTTGGTTACATTGAACATTGGAGCTTTTAAACAAATAAAGTAAGTACCTATAATTATAATCATATTTTGTCGTAAATGCATTTCATTAGTATAATGCCTAGTTCTTTATATTCTTTTAGATATATCTTGGACTCTAAAATATCAAACAGTAATATGATACCTCGTAATAAGGAAGATAGGTACTTAATGAATATGGTGACCATCTTTCACTCAACTGACAGTGACAGTATTTGTACATAACCTCTTCGGGTATTTTCTGACATAACCGAATGAAATCATTAACAAGACAACTTGACAACAGGGTAATTTTCAACCAATAGAAATCTTAGAATGTTGGTCACATGGCGAGGTTTGTGACGTCATAAAAATTTATATTTTTTGTAAATATCTCGAAAACGGTAAACTCAATTGAAATTCTGATTTCACAGAAATGTTAAATATTACAAAACGCCTTGAATAAAACCATAAAAAGTATAGGTCAGAAAAAATTTAACTACCCCATTAATAGCAAAACCATACCTGCTGATCCAACTCTGTCGTAGCGTCTATTCTGTCTGGGCATGGACTGAGAGCCGGATCGGGAATGCACCTGATGCGGAGTATTCATGCCAGAGGGTCCGATGGTGCCTGAATGCGGGTGGGGGAAGGTCTGGAACTGCATGGCCTTAGTGGGGTCCATTTCTTCGCGGAAGCCCAATAGATGGAAGGTCGCGTACGGGCAGATTTCGTCGTCCATGCCTACAAACGCGACAATCGAAAAATCCGCGGTGATAAAAATGAATTTCGTTGATGGTTGATTTTTACAATGGCGTGGTTTTGCGGACATGCGTGCAGATAAATAAAAAGCAAAGCCGATAAGCATACAGTAGGCGTGTAGGAGGCACAATAGCAAACTTACTTATTTTTTTAGTTGTTTTCTTAGTACCTACTGTTAGTAAACAATCACAAAAGTTATTTAAAGGTAAATGCATTTTGTTTTGGGACATATTAGCAACGCCAAGCTTTTTGTGCAGTGTTTCCCAACTTAAAAAAATAAAATTGTTTTGAATTAAAAGAAATAAAATGTAAATTATATAATTTGTAAAAAATAAGTAAGTAAAAAAGTTCGGAAACATCTGCAAAACATTTATTTAACTACCAATTGTTTAGAAATTTTGTCAACTTATATTTTATTACATACAAAGTGTCCGAAAAATCGTGGATAGCAGAAAAAGGGTGGATAAGGGATGGGATTCTAAGACAAAAAGTCCTTTAGCATTTGGCACTCTTTACCAGTTATTAATTAAATCCCATGCATACCAGCAGTTCTCCTTTCTCACTCTGCTAAAGCGTGCCTCTAATTTAATTAATTACCAATTAAGGGAGACTCAGATAGAAAAACGATAAATCTGCAATCCATATCTTTTGTCACACTCTGTATATCAAATTCGTTTAATTGTTTTTGGATTTTAATTTTGATTTTTGGAAAACTCAACCAAGATCCTACGTTATAAAGTTTAAATCTCTATTTATCTCTATCTCAAAAAATAAGTTATATTTACAAAATAACAACTTTATAAGATTGTTATATATTTTTTATTAAAATCAGTGAAATGATTTTAAAAAGTACACACTGAGACAGACAAGGATAGCGATAAGTTTTTAGTATACTTCAACATTTATTAAACAGTATGTCCCCAGATTAAGTTATTTTTAAAGATACTAGTGGTTTTAAAACAAGCAATCAAAAAGTACTGTTTTCTGAGGAATCAAAAATATTTTGTTATTCTATTTGTTACTAAATCCGGGGACATAATGTGTATTATACATGGTGTCCCTGAAATGCCTGTACAAAATTATACCACATATTCCTGAGACCAAAATAATGCGATATAACTTTACTTCTATCAAAAGTTAATAATACGGTTCGTCTTAATATACCTATGTAATAATAAACGTAAAAAAGTAATATTTTTATTAAAACCGTGAGTACACTAATAGGCAAAAAATATGTGAACATTTAAACGAATGCAAAGTGTCGCAGACAGCGCACTCTACAACCTACATTAATTTTTTTAAGAAATTTAATTTTCCCGGACTAAAATCCCACAAAAATCATATTTTGTGCAAAAAGGTTAATTTTTTCCAAAGTTGTTTAATAAAACAGAAAACGAACTTTTAACTTTGATACCCTGTATATTGGTTATTATCAACTTTTGTTTAGAAGTAAATTTAGTTATATTGCATTATTTCGGTCAGGTACACCTTGTACAATACATTTTACACTAAAAAAAATATTTTTGCACCATTTAATTTAGTAAAATTCCTAATAAAATAATAATAATATTACTGTTTCGAAAAATTACCTGTTGCACTATAAAAAAAAATAGTTATAGTTGATATTTATGCCATTTATTTTGTGATACGAAATAAATAGTTATGATTTGTTTTGTTTGTGTATCAATTTTAAAGCAGTTCTGAAGCATTTCTCATGCACATTTTACATTGTTAAACCCAAATTTTAAAATGCGCATATCCTGGTTTTAGATTATCTATTAACCTGCCCAGTTGCTATACGCATTTAAAATGGTTCTGAACCGGTTCAAAATATCTCCGCAAACTCGGTTTAAATTCAATTATCTATGTAGGTACTATAAAAACTTTGTTGGTAGAGTTTTCCACGTTCCCAACAAAATACATTTCGACCGTGCCTAAAAAGAACCCAAATACCAAAAAGACCACACCTTAACGCTACCAAACCTGTTGATTTTGTTAGTAGACAGAGTTGACAAATCTAAAAGAATTGAAATCACGCTTTGTACCTTACAAAGCACACAAGCTCACGTATGCGCAAAAACCGTTAAAAATCTGCCGACGTTTTTGCGCACAAGTGCATCAAACCATTCAGTTTTTACTTTTCGTTTGCTTATGCATAGTTTACCTCTGTGAGTGTGTACGGTCTCGTTTGAGCCCCTTCTACTTCTCAGCTCCTCGTACAAGTTCCTTCTGGGGTCCCAGGTCGAGTGGGAACGGTAATGTGCTCCTACATGTACAATTACAGGTAATAATGACAAAAAAATCGCAAGCGACAAATTCCACCTCTCCTCTGTTACATCAGTTGCAATCGGGGTTGAGCATGCAAGTTTACTCGGGGTTTGTTAATGTTTCTGCCACAGCAGAGCCAAGCTTTTCTTTGGTTAAAGTAAAAAGATGATCAAACGATCAAATAAAATGTGAATAATAATGTTTAAATAAATGTTTATAAATAAATTAAACGAATAACAAATTTAACTAATAATAATAAATATATAATTTAAAATGTGTATAAGTGATTATATCCAAATTTTTGCTTTTTAGTGACAAAAGCATGGCCAGAAATGATAAGGAACATATATTTAATAGGTCATAGGTTAATTCTTAAAACGATATTTTAATTAATGTTTTATTCCTTTAAATTTTAAAGTTTATAGTTTTTGAACATATTTTTAAAAATAATGTTTGTTTAGCGGTTTATTATTAAAATGGCAAAAGATATAAACGCATTCTTTTTACGCGTTTTTAAAGGATTTTATTAATAAAACCCGTTTTCTAGTTCAAAAATGTTATGAGAAAATATTGACTATTAAATACTATAACAAACTTTGTTATAGTCATTTTTTGTGAAAAATATGAATTTTATAAAATAATATAATAGGGGGGATATGTAATACTCTTTCTGACCTAACCTTTTTATTTATAATTATATAATAAAATTGTGTTTCCTTGTCCCCTTGCGTTTTTTACGTGATTATATTATGCGTTTTTTTAGAAGAATTCGATTATTTTACAAAATATAATTATTTTTTATTTTCAACATTATGAAAGAATTTTTAATAATATTTTTACCGTAACTTTTTTAATTTCAATTTTATAGTAAATTTGTGCTTTTTCGTCTTAAAATGCGTTTTTAACGCGATTCTACCATATGGAATCAGTTTTAGAGATTAAAAATGCGTTTTTAGAAGATTTCGAGTATTTTACAAAATATAATTATTTTTCATTCCAAAAGTGAGTTTTAAGTCCAAAAAGTGTTTTTTGTGAAAAATTATAACATAATAAAAGAATTTTTAATAATTTTTTACAACTTTTTTCATTTTAATTTTATTGTAAAAATGTGTTTTCTAGTCTTAAAAAGGGTTTCTATTAATAAAGAATCAGTTTTATAGTTCAAAAATGCGTTTTTGTCAAAAGATATCAAGTATTTTATAAAATATATTAAAACCCACCATGACTTTTTTACTTTTAATTTTTAATTTTTATCGTAAAAATGTGTTTCTCGCCCTAAAAATCGGTTTTAAACGCAATTCTTTTCATATTTAATCAGTTTTATATTTCAAAAATGCGTTTTTGTCAGAAGATATCGAGTATTTTACAAAATACAATTATTTGACATTTCAAAGGTAGTTTTAAAGCCAAAAAGTCGGTTTTTTTCTGAAAAAAAAAAGGATTTTTCATAATTTTTTACGATTTTTTTTAATTTTATCGTTAATTTGTGTTTTCTCTTCAAAATATCTTTAAAACTCAATTAAAAATGAAAATAATTATATTTTGTAAAATACTTAATATCTTATGACAAAAACGCATTTTTCATATGAAAAGTTAGCTTTTAAGTCCAAAAAGTCGTTTTTTTATAAAAAATTTATTAACAAAATAAAAAGATTTTTAATAATTCTTGTACAATCACTTTTTTAAATTTAATTATGAATCTTAACTTTTTTATACGCAAAAACTATAATTTGTTACTTGCAAGTATGCAAAAAAGTCAATTACTCTTGCATATATTTCGTCATCGTTTTAATAATCAACCATTAAATTCCCCACATCCACTAATACAGGTAAATAGAGCGTCGTTGCATTTGACCTAATAAAGTAACTAATAAATAATAAGGGCATGCATTTAATAAGAAGCAGCGGATGATCTTACTTAAGACGGTACCTCGCTTGATTCTATCACAAGTATTGTAATTAGATCCAGGAACAGGTGGTAATTTTCTGTTGGGAGGAGCGATGTAGCCCAATTCGTCCCTCAAATCGGGGCGGCGCTTGTCCAATGTAGAAGCGGCGTTGCAGGTCTGGTTGTAAACAACATCATCTAAAGAGACATCGAGAGATTATTGTGGGGGGGAAGTGGCTTCGTCGCGATTTTTAGTGTATTTACATGACGGTTTCACAGAGAGTTTAAGGTTTGGCAACTTTACAGTGTTAAAAAAATCCATTTATGTTTTTACATCAAATTACTAAGTTAACTTAGTATGTCACTTGTATGTACTAAGATGCAGAGTTGCAAATAATGCATTAAGGTTTCAATACACATTATTAAAATAACCAGTAATGTTTATTTTCATTATGCATTACTTCGTTTTTAATGACAATTAAGTTAATTACTCATTACATTTTTTCCAATAAGTAATGTATTCTTTTTAACATTACTTATTTTTTATTTGTAATTAGTATTTTGAAATTTTCAATTACAATTTTGTATGTTAATGAGTAATGTACTGACATTTTTTAAATTTTTAATAAGAAATTTTTAGTGGGCAGAGAAGATATTTTTGTTGCATGACACATTTTTTCAATTTTTAGTTTTGAATTGTTTTTTTACCAGTAACAGACGTTCAAAATTAATTATTCGTTCATACCATCGCGGATTTAATAATTATTTGAGTTCAGGTCGCCTTCTCACCTAATTATCATAATCCCACTATAAACCCCGGCTTAAAATTTCTTGAGTGGGTAGAAGTTTAACGTAAAATTTTTGCAAGGAAATCAAACAATACAAACAGTTTGAAAATTAAAATTTTAAAACTCAAAATTAGCAGCAAAAAAACGCGATTGTTTTAAAAATTTGATATATTTTGAACGAGTTATCAAAAAAATATCAAACTTTACCAGAAAGAGATTGTTACTTAAAAATATCGAAAAATAAAATAAATCGAAAATGAACATTTTTTAAACTGTCAGACTTGGTGTAAAATGCCCCATATAAAAAATTACCTTATCAACCCTTCCCCTGATCATTCTTCACATTTTTTTTAATGTGTAATATACAGTCTCTCATTACTCATTTTTTAATGAGTAATATATTGTTTGACATTACTCATTAATTTTTTAATGTCCAATGAAAATATTTCTCATTACAATTTTTTTTAATGATAAATGTATTTAAACTAAATTACCATTAAAAAAATTACGATTGCATTATTTATTATTTATTCGGCTAAATTACAAATTTTATTTAGGAATTTAGGAGGTTTTTTTTAATTTTGGGAGAAAAAGTATGCAAATGAATTTCTGTAATTAAATAAAAACAACTGTACACTGTAATTAAAAAATAAACGAATAAATAATTCTTTTTAACAAAAATATAAATCAATATCAGTTCTTTTGTAAAAATAAGTTACATTGACTAGTTATAAGCCAAATCGCTTGACGAGTTTTTTTAAATAAAATTAAAGTGAGGTAAAATATATAAGTAGCAACTTCACCACTTTTAATTTTTTTAACTGTAGTTAATAACTAACAATAATTGTAATGTGGATCTTAATACTCAAAAATCTTATTATATATTAGACTGGGCCAAAAAAATCGACTATTTTTTTTTTGGAAAGTATCGAAAATATTGTTTGGGGTTACAAAAAAAAATATGGTGAAAGTTTGAGTCCATAATATTAATATTAAGAGGTCTATCATCACAATTTTAGATTTTTTTTCCTGAGCGAGTTTTTGTCTCAGAACTCCCAAATCATTGAGTTTAACAAAATTGACTTGGAAATATTTTTTGAAGAAAATTGAATGCTCTACAAAAAAGGTTTGATTGGAAATTCCCGTTAGATGAACCCTTTTCTTACAATCATGCCTTAAAAATTGGTATAGTTTTACAATTTGATCTTTTAACTTTGGAATTTTGTAATTCAAGTAAAAATCAGTACCCTGAAAAAAAACGATAAATATTCTTATGGGAAATCAAATGCTCTACAAAAAAAATCTTTTATCATTTTTGGCTAAATTCACTCTATCAAAAGTTATTCAAGGTTAAATTTGAAGTCAAAACGAAATTTTAACCTTGAATAACTTTTGATTGAGTGAATTTAGCCAAAAATGTTAAGAGGCTTTTTTTGTAAAGCATTTGATTTCCCATAAGAATATTTATCGGTTTTTTATGGATACTGATTTTTACATGAATTACAAAATTTCAATTTAAAAGATCAAACTACCAATTTTTAAGGCATGATTTTAAGGAAACGGTTCATCTGACGGAAAATTTCACTTACACCTTTTTTGTAGAGCATTTAATTTTCTTAAAAAAATATTTTTAAGTCAATTTTGTTAAACTCAATGGTTTGGGAGTTCTGAGCCTAAAATGCCGAGGAAAAAAAATTAAAATTGCGATGATAGACCTCTTAATATTAATATTATGGACTCAAACTTTCACAATATTTTTTTTTGTCACCCCAAACCATATTTTCGATATACTTTTCAAAAAAAAATAGGTGATTTTTTTGGCCTAGTCTATTATATATAATATTTTATTTAGCTATTTTAGCATTTAAAAGAAAATTAAAAATCATATGGCTAAAAATGACAATTTTGTTGTATTTAAGAAAAATGTTGGTTGTGATATTATATGATTTTAAAAAGAATTTAATAAACTAGAACCTAAAAATATATATTTATAAATTACTTTTTATAAAATGGCCTGTTTATATTTAATTTTTAGGAGTTTTAGGATATTCGTGGCAATTTTAGGAGTTTTCAAGATTTACGCCAAATTTTAGAAAAATTATTAGTTTTAGGAGGTGTGGGAGCCCTGTTTTTTGCATTAAAATTTTGCAACTCTGCTAAGATGTCATGGATTTTTTTAGGCAGGAGATTTTTTGCGGAACAGTGCACAGTGCATCAGATCTGTTCAGAGGGTCGGTCTCCTATGTACACGGATTTGGTATGTTTAACGTTAGAGAGACATACAATCGCTGTGAAGTCTAGTTTGCAGGGGACCGTTGGCCTTGCGGGACAGAGCGACGCAAACGACAACGATGCCGACCACTACGACGACGACGGTGGCGGCCACGGGCACCGCGATGTTCCAGTCCACCCAATCGGGTATCCAGGGGAAGAGCATGCGCATCGTGGGGGAGTCGCGCGCCGGCGCGATCGTGCCTGAAATCAGTCAAAAAACACACGGCACTGTACCTTTGTTATAATTCCCTTTGCCGCGCAACACACAGATCACGATAATGGCAACTATAATGACCAACACGGCGGCTACTACAGGAACTACTAGGTTTAGGTTTGCGAGGATTATTTGTATAGTGTCTTCTTTGGGGATTTCACGGGCCGGGGCAATAGTACCTGAAACCAAAACAGATCAGTCAGTTGGTTTTGGTTGTTTGGCTGTGGGGGGCGCTCGCGACGGAAGGGCTGACTCGACTCGGCTTAGCCTACTTGCCTTTCTTTACCCCCCCCTTGCTAATTCTAACTAGTTTAACGGTAATTTCAGTTTATTTGCTTAGCGTTCAATTCTGATGTGTTTTGTTGTGTTGGCTGTGCTTTGTTCCAGTGTAATGTATTTCGTTGTATAATCTCGTCGCATTGGAATTAAAAGACTACATTTTAACCGTTTTGAGTTTAATATTACACGAAACTATTTTTGTATTAAGAGCGCAAAGTGATACATTGCCCGGCTATCTCGCGAGAGCGGCAATGTCACTTTGCAGGATTTTTTCTACAACCGGTGTTTCTATAAGAATGTTTGGTAAAAATTAACAATTATTGATAACCTCAAATTTGACGTTTATTTCAAAAGGCGCAAATACACTAAACGTTTCTTTATTATGGTTTCCATGGTAACTAAGCGAGCGACAAAGTAAAAAAACGCTCGCTCCTCGGAAAAGTGCAACTTTGCGCTTTCTTTTTGAAGCGCAAATTTGTAATTTTCGCTTGGTTGTAAAAAAAATATTTTAAAATATGAAACCATAGAATTCTTAAAATAGTTGTTTTCATACATGCTAATATTTTTATTATTGTTTAAAAGAGCTAAAAGAATTTATACATTCCAATACGACGATGTGGGTATCTCTCATTTTTACATGCCATATTCAATAAAACATAACTTACTTTTTTGTATTAATAAAAATGATTTTATCCTATAAATAATTAATATTTTGGTGTTATTTTTTTAATTACGAAATTCTTTATTATGACAAATAAATATTTTTTTCTTTTTTACTTTTTTAAGTAAGACTTATTACGTATATACAGGGCAAAAATAAGAAAAGTTTATATGAACATTAAAAGCGTCGTTTTCGAGATACAGTTATTAAAAAAATTTCAAAACCTCCTTGGCTGAATTTAATAAAACTTTTTGGGGTTTAAGTAATGGGTTTTTTAATAAAAAAATTTGAATTTTTTTTAAGAAAACCAGGGAGCCACTGGATGTCACTGACCTATCCTATATATCATCATTGTTTTTACCTCTAAAAACAATGATATTTTTCATCCAAGCGAAAAAGAACAGTTGGGCGACATTCATTAAAAACTTTGTTATCATTGATTATCATGATTTTGTGGAACACTTAAAAAAATAGCTACATGAGCATCAATCGACATAAAAAGTGAAATTTAAAATCGACGGGAAAACCACGAAAACCTCGAGATACCTAACAATAAAAATTAAGTATTATTTTATTTAAACTACCTTAAAAATGCCTGAGTATGCAAAACAAAAAACAATTATCAACAAAGTAATCAATGATAACACAAACGTAAATTTTTAATTAATGTAGAATATTGCCCACTGTGCAAAAACATTTTGCGTCAGTTGTCGTAGCGGCACAAAATTTCTACTTTTCTTATAAAAATTTTAATGATTTTTTTATTAAAAAAATATAATAATGCAAAAATGTGTTAAAGGATGATAACTTATTTGGTGACACCCTGTATAGTTAATCCAGAGGGGCGCTGGATATTTAAAATAAAATTTCTTTTAAGATTAAGAAATTAAAAATACTTTTTTTCTATCGCATTTTATATTTATCTTGTTTAATTTTTAAAAATGGAACTGGAAAAATTATGGTCAAGAGCGGATAAACTAATTTTTTTTCTAAAAATTAAGCAAGATAAAGAAAAAATGCAAAAGACAAAAAAGTTGTATTTTCAATTGCTTAAAAAAGCAGTGGCATGATTATACTTTTTTATTAACACCATGTTCTTCTTCAAAGCATAAGTTCATATAAACTTTGTAATAATATGTAATTAACAATATTTTAATCTAAAAAAATAAGGGTTTTTAATTTTTAGGGCCTTTTAAGATTTTAGATTTTATAAAAATAATTCAATAACTTTTTAATTATCAATAAATATATATAATATAACTTATAATTAACCATATTTTAATTAAATAAATGGTTGTTTAAATGGTCAAAAATCACCGTTTTGCGGAAATAATTCTATACTTTTTTATTAAAATAAATATTGTTATTTATCCCTGTTTAGAAAGACTTTTTACGTACAATATGTTTAAACTAGAACAAATTTTCGGAAATAATTACGTAATTACGAGCTACCGCGATTTAGCCATGCTACGCGACAAATAAATGTTCATAACTTTTTTTATGCAAAAATTTTTTGTGTTCTTTTATGGAAAGGTTACTGAACAATTTGGCGTAAGGAACACTTTGTAAATCGTAGTAAATTGTAGATATACGTGCCCATCTAAAATCCAAATCCAAATTTACGGTTTAAAAAACGTTATATTTTAAAAGTTCATAAAATTTAAACAAAAGTTAGTAGTAAGTCATTAATTTTTTTTCGCGCTCTTGTGATTTATTACAAAAACAAAAACTCCTCTCTATTAAGTGCGTTTTGCCAATGGAAATGGCTTTACTGCAAAGTGTTATATTTCGCTCAATTTTGTAAATTTAAAAAAACGGTAATCCCAAAACCTTTTAAAGGAATTCGAAGTTAAATAATTTTACGGTAACAACTATATACTTTAAAACTAAATTTTTTTACACCTAAAAGAATATTATTAAAATCATACAACTAGTTATTAATTATATATAATGTTGATCATATGGCAAACATAGCGAGAATTATAAAATGAATGGTAAAACCATTTACTTTGTAGTACCTAATTTATTAATTGTTATTGGCAATGATTTTTGCAGCGTAAATTTGAAACAAAATCGAACATGGATGACATGTAGAAGTGAGAGAGCTGTAGCGTAAATGTATTTGCGGGTGCCGTGAATCTATGAACGTTAATCAATATAAAAAAGACAGACCACTCGAAAAAAAGTGTCAAAAACATCCAACGTTCAACGAAATAAATTGACTGAACATCCAACATCCAAATTAAACGAGAACCGGCCTAAGGCCTACTTATTTTTTTTTATCAATACGTTATTTTGCAGCGCTTCACAATATTATTCAGGTACTATTGCGATTTCATGTCATGACAAATGAGGAAGCTTGTCTCGTGATCGTACATGGTAATATGACACAAGTGCTGCAAAAACACAAAACAACAAAACAATAACAAATAAACCAAACAAAACGTCATTCCAAATAATAAAAAAATGGGTTTATATGCATTCATATTAATCTAAAAATGGGTTGATCAAGCATGATTAGGTTGAACGAGACTCACCTCCTGTCACTGTAAGAGTAGCGAATTCGTATTCGGCAACGTTAAAACCGGCGTTGTTATGTGCTGTTACCCTCAAATGGTACCAAATTGCCGGGTCCAAGTCTAACAGCACAAAGTTTTGGGTCGGTTTCACGTTATTTGATACCTGAATCCATTCAGTATTAATCCTACAAAAACAATTTAATAGACAACAGGGTTAAAAAATAACATGAGATTTATATAAGTATCGAAATATCGCATTTACTTAACTATACTTGTAAAATATTTATTTTAAATTTCGAGGAAAAATCATTCTTCATAATTTTTTTTGCTTGTTATATAAATCCGATCCGCGTGGAGAAACTTTTATTTTGTCATACAGGGTAAGCAAAAATACAGATTTTCAAAATTAAAAATTTTTAAATATTTTTTTTTTGGGAAATCAAAAAGTCAAATGAAGTTTTTTATACCAAGAAATTTGATATTCAAAATTAAAGATATTAGTTTTCAAATTTTAACAAATAATTGTAGACATTGTGACAGTTGAAAGCAACAACCTTGATTCATAATCACAAAATGATATAGCAGTTAATTTCTACAAAATAATAGGACCACTCAAGTTAGGACCTGAATCGATTTTATTTTTAATAACAAATATCTTAGTAACAACAACTCACATGAAAAAAATTCATTTAGCTTCTCCTAAAAAGCTCTTCATTTTAGACCTTCAAGAAAATGTATTTAAAAAAATTTAATTTTGTATTTTTTTGCACATCCTGTACAACAAAATGGAAGTTCTCAACATGAATCGTATTTATATAATAGGCAAAAGAAATTATGAAGAACGACTTTTTTTCGAAAAATTGAAAATATAAACATATATCCGATTATCAGGTATGTATGGGACCCAAACATACCTGATAATCCATACTATGGGTATCTTTTTTATTTTAAGAGTTACAAGGTGGGTTAAAAGTTGCTTAATTGCAAGTTTATTAAAAAGACATATAAAAATGTAAGAAAATATGTGTGGTTCATAAATAATGTGAAAAAAACTGAAAAATTGTCAAAACAAAAAATCGTTGTTCCTGGGAATTTAAAAAAAATAAGTTTTTTATGTAAACGTACACATTTATCCACATTTTCATCCAATTTGTGATTTATTTCGCCTACTGGATTTTGAGATACCACCACCATCTTTTGTTTACATTAAAAAACAAAAGATGGTGATGGTAACCCAAAACATGGTAACAAAGAAATTGGATCAAAATGTAAATTAATGTGTATGTTTACATGTAAAACTTACTTTGTTTTAAAGTTACCAGGAATAGCAAAGGGCCATCTCAAATCGACTAGGGAAAAAGGAGGTCGTTATTTTTTAACGAATTTTTTTTTACAGTTTCTCTACCAAAATCTTCGAGACCCGTATTTTTTTTGCTTAAATTTGTTTTGTTGAACTAGGTATAGGAAATTTTTAAAAAATGGACAGAAACTCTTTTTACGAGTGAAAATTTGAAAAACTTGGCCAAAAATGTTTCGATCGTTACATTTTTTTTAAATTGTAGGTAAATGTTTACTACAAAGACCCCAAAGTTATAACGATTTTTAGATTTGAAAGGATTTGTTTTTTTGTTTAATTTTGAGAAGCGCTGCATTTTTTTCAATTGATATTTACAGGTCTCCCACAGCTAAATTACAAATTTTATTTAGGAATTTAGGATTTTTTGAGAATTTTAGGAAAAATAAAGTATTGAAATGAATTTATGTAATTAAATAAAAACGACTCTACACTGTACCTAAAAAATAAATAATTATTAAAAAAAATATATAAATAAATATCAATTCTTTTGTACAACTAGTTTTTAGCCTAATCGCTCGACGAGTTTTTTTTATAAAATTAAAAGTGATGTAAAATTACTACTTTTGTATATGAGTATCTGAGGCATATACACTAGTAGAAATTTCTGATGTGACTTAAAAACTAGGCCAAAGTCAAATGATGTTATATTTAAATTTTGAGAAAAAAATGTTAACTGTTAAAAAATTTAAACATTAATTTGCAAAAAACAATTTGATAGCTTTTGAAAGCCGTGTATGGTATGTCCAAGTATGGGATGATTCAACAAAACTGTCACTGTCATTCTCCATAGCCTATGGATGGATCATAGCAACCTTAGTTCTTCATACAGAAAAATAGTGGAAATTGCAATGTTTTTTAAAAAAATCCATATTTTCCACAAAAATAAATATATTGAGGTGAACCAAAAACAAAACTGTTAAGAATATATGTGACTTGATAAATAAAACTTAATTTAGAATATACGGTTTTGCCACTCTACAGAGTGTCTTAAACTTATGGTAAAAAACACCTTTTTGTTTAAACCTGTATATTAAAAACGTACGTGTATTTTTTAGTAATTTTTAAAATGTGAGCGATTGTCCATTAATGTATCTACAATATTCTTTAATAGTCGTTTAAATACGACATCAAATAAAAAAGTTATTTGCGATTGAAATTCATCGAAAATTTGCGTGGATCGATTATTTTGCACGTGAGTGTATATCGGTCTAACCCTGCAAAGAAACAAAATAATAAAAGTACCACTTACTTCTTTTTGTGCTCAATGACGAAGTAAAGCATGGGACAGCCGCCATCGGACCAGGCGCTAAGATGCAGCGTGATGCTGTTCGACGAAACCTCGATGAACTTATCGGCAGTCGGTATCAGCGGTTTCTCTCCTCTGGTCCTCGGGTTCAGATTGTCGGACGGGTCGCCGGTACCGATGCTGTTGTAAGCGGTGACGTACACCTGGTACCTCGTGCCGCACACCAGTCTCTCCAAAGTGTACTTTTCGATGCTGGGGCCCACCTGAACGGTCTCCCACTCGCCGAACTCCGGTTTGTAGTGCACCGTGTACCCGTGGATCGGCTCCACGTCGTCCTCGTGGGCTTTCAGCTTCACGGTCAGAGAGTTGGTCGTGGTCGAGGTCAAGGTGACTTGCGGCGCGTGTGGGGGCGCGTTCACGATCAGTTGGTGGGTGACCGAGTCCTGCCCGTAGTCGTTCTCCACGCGGCAAGTGTACTCCCCCGCGTCGGTCCTGGTCACGTCCCTGATAAACAAGGAACCGTCCGGTTGTTGCCTGATTCTGTCGTTCGAGTTGATGGAGAATTTGGTGCCTTTGATGCTCCAGGTGATTGTCGGTGGAGGTACGCCCACTGCTAAGCACGGTAAGGTTACGTCTTCTTTGTAAGTGGTCGTGAATGAGTCGTCGAATGAGGCAGTTTTGGCAGGCACTGAAACAAACATCGCTTCTATGTTGGAACCAGAATTGCAAATAATTCATAATTTTTCCAATGTATTAAGATTTCAATACTACTATTTTTAAAAATAATGAATAATGAGTAGATATGTGGAGCAATCAGACAAAAGCAGATAAATCCAGTTTTGTTAAAAAATGAGTTAAGTATGAACTAACAGTAAATGAGGTAAGGTTAATCCATTGGTGAACTCAGAATTGAGCCAAACCAAGTAATTGATATAGAATACCGGTCTCGAAACCTAGCAAATCAAGCAAAAGCAGATAAATCCAAATTAATACAATTTAAAGTCTTGTTTCAATAAAAATAAAAAAATCACATTATTGTTATTTTAAATTAACTTAAATGGCATTAACATTTTTCAGATTAATCCTGGACCACCCTGTATAGGTCAATAGATAAAACGGTTTTTTTATTCCCATTTCAAGCAAATGGAGATAAATCCTGTCAATTCAAGCAACACTAGATAAATCCATTTTGGTTTTTTACTATAACACATGATGCAGGTGGACAAAAATAAAAAAATGAATTTTAAGGTCTTATAACACTATACTCTATAGAATTCATGGGTTGTTCTTTGTGAAAATGTTGCATAACGAAAAATATTTGTTTTTCGCTGATAACTCGAAACTGCTTAAAACGGATTTATCTGCTTTTGTCTGATTGCTCCACATATGGGAATCGGAAAGTTTCCATTTTGGAAGTTTCTTTTAAAGTTACCGGAAACATTCTTGGAAACTTTCCCAGTTTTTTATGTAAATCGGCCATTTCAAAAATGTACATAATTTATTATATAATATTTTGGCATCAAACTTGACAAAAAAATTCTTCTTTTATTAGACTATACCTACATTAAATTAAAATAAAAGTGGAGATAATTTTAATAATTGAAAGGTGTGGACGGAACAAAAAAAAGATTTTATCTTGTCCCGTCCACACCTGTCAATTATTAAAATTATGTCTACTTTTATAAAACAAATTTCTTGCGTTTATTTAATGTATAGCCCAATAAAAGAAGAATATTTTTGTCAAGGTCAAGAAACTGAATAAGAAGTTAATTTGTGTTAATTTAAAGAATCAGAAGAAGTATAGTATTAGTTATGTTTTATGATTAGTTTGTTGAAGATCTCATAATCACAATTTATAAATCTTTTGCAAAAAAACCCTTTGCATAAAAGCCTTTTAGAGGGTAAACAAAATAAAAACAATAAACAAATTTAAAATCATTCATCATCATCAATCACAGTACAATGCCAAGAGAAAAATCTTATATTTGGAATTATTACAAAAGCTGTGCTCAATGCAGTACATCCAATGTTACTAATGCCATTGTTGTAGATTCAGTTCCTTGGTTAAAATTTTTAAGTTTAAATTACAGGAATAACTCTTTTACTTGGTTTGAAAAAAAATACTAATTTGTGTTTTTTGCAATTGTTTTTTATGGGGGTTTCTTTTCCTTAAATTTTATTGGTCAAAACTGCAACAATATTTTTAGAATCTTTTACTTTTCAATATTCCTAGATTGAATATCTAGTGATTTACTAGTAGTGAATTTCTGATAGTTAACAGTTTATTTTTCGGCATACAATGCATTCATATAAATCATTTTTTAATTTTTTTCAAAATTTGGCAAAGAGGTAATGTGTTATACATATATTTTTGCAATCCTCCTGGCACAAAAAGCTCATTTCCGCAATAAACAATTTTTTTTTTAACTTTCGTGAATTTTTTTAGAAAGTTTCCGGGAATTTTTGTGATATTTAAATTTTCCCATCTCTAGTAATGTGTTTAATTTTCAATATGCATACTTCTTTTTTTAATGAAAATTAAATTAATTTTCATAACAATTTTTCCAATGAGTAATATTACATTATAATGTATTCTTTTCTACATTACTCATTTTTTATTTGTAATGAGTAATTTGAGATTTTCAATTACATTTTTTTATGTAAATGAGTAATGTAATCACTTTACATTACACATTTTTTATTTTTAATAAGAAATAATGAGTATCAAATTACTCATTTTTAGTTGGCAAGAAAGATATTTTTATTGCATGGCACATTTTATTCATTTTTGCACAGTTTGGAATAGTCTAATTGATCTTTTACAAAAAGCATGGACTTAGTGAGCGGAAATAATTTATTATTTAAAAGTATCAACTTCATTAGAAAAAATTGTTTATTTTTTATTTTAATAGTCACCTTTATTAAAGGAAAAGATTAAATTTTATGAAAATTACTAATCTTATTAGAGAAAATTTTTGTTGGTGCTTCTTTTATTGTAAATCATATGCATGATAACAAAAAAGTTTAAGGAGCCCAACCCCTGATCATGTTTCACTAATGTAATGAGTAATGTATTTTGTTCAGAGCTGGGAAAGTTACTTCTGAAAAGTATCTAGTTAGTTTTCTAAGATACTTTAAATAACTTAGTTACCTCTGGTAACTAGATACTTTGAGTTAAAAGTATCTTTAGTTACAATATACTTTAAAAAGCATCTAAGATACTATCCGAAAGTATCTAAGATACTTTTGAGTAAGTAAGTTACTTTTAAGTATGAATAAAAACTATACAATAATTATTGTAAAAATTCAACAAGTTGTAGGTTAGGTAATTACTTTGAATCATTTTGGAATTCCCCCAAATTTCTCTAATATAGTATCTAAGTTGCACTGAAAAGTATCTAAGTTACTTTAAAAAGTATCTTAGTTACTTTAAAGTATCTAAGTTACTTAAATGTATCTTATTTACTTTACTGAGTAACTTAGATATTTTTTTATAAAACAAGTTACAAGATACTTTTCCAAAGTAACTTAGTTAAAGAAACTGTCTGTCCAATATAAAAAGTATCTAAGATAAAGTATCTTAGATCTTAATGAAAACATTTCTCATAATAATTTTTTTAATGATTAATGTATTCAAACCATATTACCATTAAAAAAATTACGATTGCATTATTTTCAACATTAACATTTTTGCAACTCTAGTTGGAACGTCCGTAACACCGTAAAAATATTTACCACTTATACATTAGATTAAAAAAAACACTGGTTTTTAAGTTTCACGAATTTATTTTAATTTAATTTTACAATAGTTTTGCTAATACAGTAGTTTCTTCATTTTCTGAAGAAGCTACTGTGTTAGCGAAACAATTGTCAAATTAAATTAAAATAAGCTCGTGAAACTCAAAAAACAGTGTTTGTTTTTTATCTAGTTATTCATTAGTGACATGGAGTTTCATCAAGTAAAGGTTGAAACAATAAAATACTTACCACTAAGGCTAGGAGAAACTGTAACCTTCTTCGAAGGCTGCCCTTCGCCAATGGTAGTAGCGGCAGTAACCCAGAATTCGTATTTATGCGTACTATCGAGGTTCTTGGCCTGGAATCGTAGGTTTTGGTTCTTCAAATTCGGCACAATTTTTTGCGAGTGCGGTTTTTCGTCGTCGTTGCCGGCTTGCTTGTAATAAACCGTGTAATATTCGACGATACCGTTTGGTTCCACCGGTGGCTTCCAGCTGGTTAAGATCGAATCGGACGACATAACCAAAGCCTTGACTGCGATAGGAGCCTCTGGGACGTCCTGTTCGGTTTGGCAATGGATTTGAGTGGTTCTCACACCATCCCCTCCGGCTGTGTAAGCCAATATCTCCATGCTGTAGTTGGTGTATTTCTTCAAGCCATGCAGGATGGTTTCACTTGAGGAGGTTATCTTGGTATCCTTACTATTTTCATCTGAGAAAAAAACGTACTGTCAAAAACCATAACAACAATTTTTCAGAGCCCTTAGCGGTATGTCTACCAATTTATAAGAATAAAGGTAGCAAATCTGACCCTCTAAATTAAAGACCAGTAAGTCTTCAAAATAATAGATACTTTGTTTAACAATCGATTTTTTAGAATCTAACAAACTACTTTGTGAATTTTAAAATGAGTTTAGGAGAAATAAGTCCACTAACACAGCAATAAAGAGTGCATTAAATTTTATTCTTAAAAGTTTAAATGAAAAACAGCATGTTGTTGTTTTATGAGCTTTACTATTAATTATAAATTATTATTATTGAAAATATAGGAGTTAGAGGGGTTGCAAATAAATGGGTACATAAATTATTAGACAGAACCCAAGTAGTATCTATAAATTGTGAAAAATCGGATATATCCAGAGTAACATTGGGAGTACCTCAAGGATCAATATTGGGGCCACTTCTATTATTAATATTTGTAAATGATTTGAATTTAAATACAAATATAAATGTGCAACTTATTCTGTATGCAGATGATACAAACCTTATAATTCAAAATAGTAATATTTTAAACTTCTATTATGCTCTGAAGCATCTTTAAAATCTAATTTTTTCAATATCAGTGGTGGCTGGTAGATTTTGGGCACACCCTATCTCAGTTATTAGACATGGGACTAACATAAAATTTATATGAGTTTATAATGACATTATATAGACAAGTTCTGCAAAAGCAGAATTTAAATTGAAGTGTGCGAAAAAAAGTTAGTTTTTAAGTGTGCCCCTCAGCCTCCTCCCCCCCAAATTAAGATAATTTAAATTAAAGTGGTACAATATTTAATTCACTGAAGTTTATCGACAAATTTAAAATATTTAAAAAAAATTCAAACTTCAACTTAAATTCTGCTTGCGCAGAACTTGTCTATATATTGTCATTATTAACTCATATAAATTTGATTTGGGTCCCCTGTCTAATAACTGAGATATGGGTGTGCCCAAAATCCACCAGCTGCCACTGCTAACCATTAACAAAAACAAAACATTTTTTATGCGATTTTTACCAAAAAATGTTTCACCAGATTTATCTATTCCGATTATAGGAAACCATAAAGTTTTTTGGTATTTACTTGGATAGAAAGTTAAATGGGAAACACAAATAAATAATTGAAATACAAAAATAAGTTGTGCTTGCTATTTAATAAGGTCATTAAGAGGGTCAGTAGCCTTTTCATTCCTGCGACTTATGTACTTTTGTACATTATATTTTGGGGTAACAAAGTTTTTATAATGCAAAAAAGATCCCTAGGTGCAGTTCGGCTCCAGCTCTCGAGAAGACGAGTCGCGTCACGCGGGCGAGCTCTTGAAACGTAAAAGTTTAAAGATGAAACCAACAATAATTTAAAAAAAGGGGTGCGAACTGATAAGTGAAACAAACATTTTCATGGAGTTCAAGCTAAATGGTGTAACGGTCATTGAGGAGTGGAGTGTTGGGTAATATGAATGACTTGGGTGCCACCTGTCATTGGAGGCTTTTCACTGGACGGACGGGGGAGGTCGGAGAAGAGGGGAGGTGGCCATCCGCAAAGGGAAAAATCTGATAAGTTTTACTTTAAGAGTATGCATGACCTGATACAAATCTGCAATATAAATACGGCAAGCATTTTCCGTTATTTGTCACCATTAACATTGCCCGTATTCATTTCATTAAACATAACATTTATTTTACTTGAAAATGTTAAAATAACTTTAAAATATGATTATGTTAAGAACTTTAAACAATTGTTTTGTTTTTAATTACTATCATTGCAAAATTGTATTAAAAAGTGTTAAAAATTCTTACACGGGCAATGTTAATGGTGTTAGGTATCGTTAAAGTGTTTATTGGGATATCTTAAAAACCCATGAAGGGCACGCGGCGTGGGGCAATAAGCCTGTCAACAGCAAATGCGTAAGGCGGTCCCAATCGAGACCGAAATAAACACTGGACTGACAGAGTAAACTAACATTGAACACATAATTCTAACACATTAAAAAAAAGGGCCTAATAGCCAAACTCGAGATTTGTAAACATTAGACAACAGAATAATCGCGCTTGTGATTTGTTTGACTAGTGAATAAATGCAAGCTTTGGAATTTGATAAACAAAGACGGAACTCTACCACAAAATGTGCTTGGGACAAAAATATTAAAAACAACTGACACACTTTACCAAGGGCAGGAACTATCTGACCAGAACACGGACAATGACATTAACGAACAAGACAAAGACCTTGACTAGGAAACTACACCCCTGCAGCGAAATGACAACTCCCCAACTCCAAATAGTAATCCCAAATGTTTGGAGTATTACTAATCGACTGGTCTAGGGGGATTCCGCGTCGTACTTAGTTTTAAGTCGGCGTAATTGTCCCCCAAAAACCAACTCCCTCCCGTCCCTCATCCATACCCCACCGAGCGTATAGCATAGGCTCGGCGAACCCGGGAATGGCTATTATAACTATTCGCCTCTCGCTCTCGAGCCCCAAATAGGGGACAGTACGGAACGCAATGGACATTCGCACCCAGCAAACACGGGTGAAGCCGTGCAGTTGCTGGGGAAGAACAAAAATCGGCGTAAGTAAACATAGGCCTGTACGGGGTTCGAGAGTCAAGAGGAAATGGGGCTGGTTATACGTCTCTTATACTCACTACTCAAAGATCCCTAGGTGCATGGATAACAAAAGTCAAACAATTTCTTGTAAACCATTTTTAGGAAATTCAGAATTTTAACTCTTCCCTGTTTAAGTATACATATTAAATTTGATTTTATATATTTTTGAAAATAATAAAGACATTTGACTCATAGTACAAAGATGGTTAATCAACAAGAAGTAAAAATGAGTTAGCTTTGCCACTTTATAGTCTGTCTGTATGTCAAAATTCTTTTATTTATATATATATGGGAATTGAATGTTATAATAAAGTTATGTCTGTTGCGTCTTATTGTAAATGTTCCAAGGTGCTAAGAAAAACAAGCTGCAGACTCTGTTTTTAGAGAAAAAATACTATTCTGTGGAAGAGTTTCTTAATGTTAGTTTTTTGTTCATAGTGATTTTAATAATATATTTTGTAATTTTGTAATATGTTTTTTATATGAGGAGTGATTTTTCAAAAGGTCGTATTTCCATTTGCAACAATTTTTCAAAAAAATGACTATACCTGTATAGGTTAGGGCAATATAGATTATTTTAAAAAAAATTCTAATTTAATAATACTTCAGACCTGCTGTCATATTTCGCCGTTAATATATGCCTTTTAACCTTACCTTTGGGATTTTGTCAAAAAACTACATTCAAGTAAAAATGGAAATAAGGCCTTTTGAAAAATCACTCCTCATATGCTGTAACCTGTTTGATCAATAAATATTATTATTATTATGTTGAACTACTTACCAAACCAGAGGTCAGAAGGCCCGTAGATGACCTTGTAGCCTTTAATAACGCCGTTAGCGGAAGTCAATGGGGGAGATACCCAGGACACCCTGATAGTTTGGGCGGTCAAAGTTGTGCAGGTGGCCTTGTCTGGGGGTTGTTCTGGAACACCTTCGGCGGTGTAAGCCTTAATTTCCTCCGAGATCGGACCGGCTCCGACCTTATTGAAAGCCTGCACGACGACGGAATATTGCGTGTACGTTTTGAGATTTGAAATGTTCAAGTGATGTTCTTTGCCGTCTTCTTCCCTGGGGAATTCCACCGTTTGGAATAAGTAGGGAGTGTTCGAGCTTCCCAGTCTGTAACCGACGTAGTACCCTTGAATATCTCCGTTCCACTGTTCCCTCAGTGGAGGTTTCCAGTACACCATCAAAGAAAATTGGTCGCTCGTTTCCACGCGTATTTTGGTCGGTGCTCCGCTGGGCGACTCTTCAGCTGTTATGATGGTAACCGTGTCTGAAGGGTCGCTCTTGCCGATTTCGTTTTCGGCTACGATTCTGATATGATAAGTCGTGGCAGGACGAAGAGTGTTGATTCCGGCTTCCGTCAAATCACCTGGCACCAAAACGCTATCGGTATTCGAATCCCAACTGGCCTTGCTCTGTTTGTACTCAATATTAAAGCTAAAATATAAAATATGTATAATAATAAATAATTTTCAAAAAATCGATTTTTTTTATTTTATTTTCTTAATGTACATAGGTATATTTAAGAATACACACAGAAAATTTCATATCGTTCCGGTGAATATTTTCAAAGTTACACGCAAATTTTAAAAGGCGTTTCAGAGTGCTTGGAAGTACAAGGCCGGAGCGGCAGCGACTACCCTTTTATGCACCTGCCTATTGTAAATGCTCCCTTCTAATGTATTTAGATGTGTAAATCAACAGTGTGAACAGGGTGTATTATATGGGCCTGGAATAGACGACTCCATGTAAGTTAAAAAAAAAAAATTATCCCATGTAAACTGCATTCCAAACTTTAAACGCGTTTTTCTCAGAATGGTGTTTTCAAAGTCGGTGACCAACATTACTCGAAAACGGCTAAACCGATTAGTCTCAAATTTTAACACGAGCTTCTTAAATATATTTTTTAGTAATTAATCGAAGATTTTTTCTCTCCGATAAATATTTTTATTTTTATAAACAATTTAAGGCCGAAATTTCGGTGAAAAATCGAATTTTTTTTTTGAGAAACCGCCATTTTGTCAAAAAAATTTATTTTGCTTATTCCTTCGATTAATTACTAGATTTAACATTACTTTAACGAAATCTGTTTGGTTTTTTAAATTCAGATGATCCAGTTCAGAGATATAGTGGTCACCGCAAAACGTCTTTTTTGAGAGGAGCTCCCGGAGATCAGCTGTAGCTCTTTTAAAAATAAATATTTTTACTAGTACTAAGTCTTAAAATATAGTTAAAAGATACCATAATATGTGTATAAATTTTTGGATTAATAAATTTAAAAGTTTTCTCAGAAAAACTTCTGGAAAATTCACTTTTTTTTGGCCTTTTAACTGTATATAACCCCTTAATATTAAGTCTTACATTTTGATTGGAGAGTTTCCATCATACGGCGACACCCATGACAGTTGCACCGTTTTACCGCTCTTATCCAAAACTTTAAGTCCATACGGTACTTCGGGCACCTCTTGTATAATCATGTTAATGTTGGTATCGTCACTTCCAAAAGCGTTAGTAGCCACGCAAGAGAATAAAGCAGAATCAGATCGTTCAGTACGCTTGATACTTAAATCGGATAAAACTCCGTTAGGTAAAATTTCTTCTCGGATTGTGTATCGGTTATCTCCTTTGGGTTCTAAACGTTTGCCGTTTATGTTCCACAAAATTCCAATCGGTTTTTCACCCTTGGCTTCGCACTGTAAGACGGCTGGGTCTCCCCTACGCGCGGTTTGGTTGCGGAGTTTAATATCAAACTGAGGAGGAGCTAAAAAATAATACAGTTAGTTATTATGATTACATGTTTTTTATTAAGTTGTATTACCTTGTACGCTGATCAATACAACAGCAGATAAACCAGAACCAATACCATTAACAGCCTCGCACAGGTAGTAACCCTCATTAGTTTTTTGTATATTATTAATGGTTAAAGTACCATCTTCAACTTTTACATCGGGGTTATTCGGTTTAAAGTCTTTGTAATCGCCAGGGGAAACACCTAGTGACAAAACCAAACATTACAATTCAAGTTTACACAACTTTGTATTGCTATTTACCTGTAGCCCTTTTCCATGTCACCGTAGGCTTAGGGAACCCATCGGCTTTACATTCAACAGCGGCATCAGAACCTTGAGCAAATGCTTTATCGGTCGGTTCTAATATCCACCTTGGTGGCACTAAAATGTTATAACTTGGTCAGTAAAAATGTTCGTTTTATCAGAGTTTGCAATGACATGCAATGCTCGTCCCTAACTGAATTCAAAGTTGTAATAATTGTTTTGATATTTTATCTATATCTCAAAAATAAATTGTGTTGGTATTTTTTGATTTTGAAAATTTTTGAGTTGTAGATACATGTAATAAAAATATTGCAGAACTGTTTTAATTATAACTGTATTTATTCCTGCAATATTTTAACACCCATTACAAAAAGTGAATATGATTTATGGCAATGAATTCAATGGTGTATTATTTAAACAATTATTAGCAACTATTTTCATGCATTAAAGGCAAATCTCCTAACTTGATATTAATTGTAATACAATCAATTTTACCGTTACCTAGTTTAAGATTAATATAATTATTATTGACAAACTTTTAAAATTGGTTACATTACAATTAATTAAAAAATAAAAGAAAATAAAAGAAAACAGTGACAAATGAAAAGAATAAAGCATGCAAAAGAGTGAAATAATAAAATAGAAGAAGAAAAAGTGCTTGGGATGGATAGGAGGGCCCTAAAGTCCCGACCATTGAAGGTGTGGAACAGGGATCCATTTGGGAGCCGGTCGGGACTTTCCAGTTAATATAGACACAAACATATTTTATATACAGTGCGTAATCTGACATGTGTGCAGTACTTATTTAAAGTAACATTTATTGATGCTTTGTTGGTAGTTTTTGTCGTTTCACTTGAAGAGCAAAAGTTAGGATGGTGAGAGACAGTCCGAAATTGATGCAGCAGTTCATGCAAAAATGCATTTGTGTTTTATTTTTGTTACAATGATGTTGATGGTCGAAACATTAACTTATTTTGTTGATGGATTGTATTAATTTTACTTACTTTTGTAAAAATTACAACAAAAAGTAAAATATAAGGGTTATTAAACCTGAAAATATAAAATATATACATTTTATAACATATAAATAAAGTAAAACTAAACATCCAACAACAAAAAAGGATATCCCACGAACAAACGGAAACCCTAACCAAAAATAAAAATAATAAAATACCATTAACGTTCAACCAGGCAGAGTACTCAACCAATCCAGCCCTATTTCTCGCCCTACACGTATAAATGCCCTTAAGGGCTTCGGAAACTGGCTCTATAAGAAGCAAACTGCCCTTTTGACCTACTTTCGTCGTACTGAAAACCCCGTTTGGAAACAAAGGCTTTCCTTGAAAAGTCCAATAGATATCTATGGGTAAATCACCGTTGGAAACCAAACAAGTTAGCTGAGTCGTTTGCCCAGACAAAATTGGAGATATCCCGAAATCAAATGGGAGAATATGGGGCAAAACTAGAAAAAATAACGGAACTGTAAGGATTACTGGGTTAAGCGGATTATCTAAAATAAGTAACGACCACGCAAAATTTGCAATACCGTTGACTTGTAATACTGTCGAGTATTCAGCTTGTCCGACTTTATTTTTGCCGATGCATGTATAAGTCCCAGCATTTTCGTGGTTAACCGACTCAATAGTCAAAGAGCTGCTTCTTCTGCCCACTGATGTTATAGTGATTGCATCGTTTTGTATTTCCGTGTTGTTAAATTTCCAGAATATTTTTAAAGGCAAGTCGCCAGCTGGCACAGAACATTGCACTTCCGCGTAATTCCCAACGAGAACAGGAGTTTCTTCGAAGGTAAACGGAGTAATTCTTGGAAGAACTGAAGAAAAGAAGCATAAGGACTAAGGTGTAAAGGATTAAATCAAAGCAAAATATATCGCGCCGTTATTTAAGTACCATTAACTTGCAGCAAAGGGGAATACTCAGCTTGTCCAGCCTGATTTTTTCCTACACAAGTATAATAACCGGCGTTCCGATGAGAAACGGACTCTATAGTCAAAGAGCTACTCCTTTTTCCTACAGACGTAACACTTAATTCTCCATCGTTTGTTATGAGCGTATTATTAAATTTCCAATATATTTTTAAAGGCAAATCCCCCGAGGATATCGTGCACTGCACTGTCACATAACCTCCCACTTGCACGGGGTTATCTTCAAAATAGAAGGGAGTGATACGTGGCAAAACTAAGGACAAGAAGAAAGGATTAAAGTTAAAAAATAACCGTTTATTTGCAGCTGCGTAACATATTCCGTTGTTCCCGCTTTATTCCCGGCCTTGCAGGAATAATTCCCTGCAAGCGCGTACGTAGCAGACTCTATGGTCAATATGGAGCTACGTTTTCCGACCTTGTCGATTGATATTTCAGCGTAGTTATCCAGAGTGTGCCCGTTAAGAGACCACTCTATAACGATTGGTAGGTCTCCTTCAGACGCTAGACAGCTGACTTGAGTATACTGCCCAGAATGCAAAGGGTTGTCTTCAAAGAAAAATGGCGTAATACGTGGTGAAACTATAAATAATAGCACATAAGGTTAATAGTGTTGTTGGGAAAAAAGGATAAAAGAAGAATAAACAAAAATTACAAAAATACCATTGACAATAAGTCTATCAGTAAATTCCGTGGAACCAGCCCGATTTTCGGCTATACAAGTGTAATTTCCAGCGTGGTGTTCGTCAACTGAATCGATAACAACAACGGAAGTTTTCTTTCCAAAACTCCCGATGCTTACGCCTTCAACGTTAGATAGTGGTTGGCCGTTTAAGGTCCAGTGTAACTTTACTGGCATATCGCCTACGGACAGACTGCACTGCACTGTATTAGATTCTCCAAGGTGCGTTGGGTCTTCGCCGAAGTCAAAGGGAAGTATTTTTGGTAAGACTAGGTGTCCAAATAAAGTTTAAATTAAAATAGGGTTAAGGCGAAGTACAACTACATTCTACAGTGAAAATATACCGTTAACGCGTAATGTAGCCGAATACCTATCAACCCCAGCTGGATTTTTGGCGGCACAAACGTATTCTCCAGCATGTTCTGCCTGTACAGACTCTATACTAAGCTGGCTAATCCTTTTATTCGTTCTCGTTACAGAAACCCCATGCGCTAATTCAATAGGTTTGTCATTAAAGGTCCACTTAAAACCAACTGGTAAATCTCCTTTGCTAACTTGACAGAAAACAGATAAATCATCTCCAGAGTTTATGGCATTTTCACCAAAATCGAAGGGCTGAATCTGGGGAAGAACTGCAAGGAAAAGGCTATGAGAATCTGTACCATCTGCAATTTGTTAAACTAAATTAAGGGTGGAATTTTGGTGGTGTAAAAATAATGAAAGTATACACCTAAATAAACAGTCACATAGTACCGTTAACACGCAATGTAGCCGAATACTTATCAACCCCAGCCTGATTTTTAGCCCCACAAACGTATTCCCCAGCATGTTCAGCCTGTACCGACTCTATACTCAGCTGACTCACTCTTTTATTGGTTCTTGTTACAGAAATGCCTTGCGTAGACTCTACGGGTTTACCATTGAAGGTCCATTTAAAACCAATAGGCAAATCTCCTTTACTAACTTGACAAATTACAGATAAATCGTCGCCAGAGTTTATGACATCTTCACCAAAATCGAAGGGCTGTATCTGTGGGAGGACTGTAAAGGAACATTAAAAATATACAGATAAAGAATATGTGGGGTTGTGGCAAAATACAGAAAAACAACAACTATACTTTATACCGTTCACCAGTAAAGTAACTGCATATTTGTCTATCCCAGCTGAATTCTTAGCTCCGCAAATGTACTCCCCAGCGTGTTCTGCTTGTACAGAATCTATACTCAATGTACTAACTCTTTTATTTAATCTTGTTATGGAAACTCCATTTGTCGAGTCTATGGGTTTACCATTAAACATCCATTTTATACCGATGGGTAAGTCTCCTTTACTCACTTGACACGTTAGCAAAATGTCATCGCCGGAATTGATGGCTTCATCACCAAAATCAAAAGGCTGAATTTGTGGCAAAACTAGAAAGAAGTATAAAATGTTATGGAAGAATTTAACATTGTTTAAACCATATTCAGAGCCGAATCTGTGGGTAGTATGGGTAAAAAAAATCGTAATGTATATTTGTTACATGTAAGTAAAAAATAATAACAAACAAACACTAAACAAAAACGACTACTTTGTACCGTTAACCAATAAAGTGGCCGAGCTGGATTTTTCGCCCCGCAAGTGTATTCTCCAGCATGTTCTGCTTGTACAGAATCTATACTTAACGTGCTAACTCTTTTATTCATTCTAGTAATGGCGACACCATTGGTTGAATCAACAGGTTTTCCGTTAAATGTCCATTTTATACCAACGGGCAAGTCTCCTTTGCTGACTGTACACATTATATTAACGTCATCACCAGAGTTGATAGGTTCGTCGCCAAAATCGAAAGGAGTTATTTGAGGTAAAACTAGAAAGAAGTTTAAAATGTTAGAGAAGATTTTAACATTTTCTCACCATATGATGGTCTTATTCTGTAAATGTACTTATAGGATTGTAGATTTGGTGTATTGGGATTGGTAGCAAAATAAAAATGCAAAATATTACATAACCAAAAACTAATCTATACCGTTCACGAATAATGTGGCCGAATATTTATCTATCCCAGCTGGGTTTTTTGCCCCGCAAGTGTATTCTCCAGCATGTTCTGCTTGTACAGAATCTATACTTAAGGTACTCATTCTTTTATTGACTCTTGTAATGGAAACCCCATTGGTAGAATCTATAGGTTTTCCATTAAAAGTCCATTTTATACCAACAGGTAGGTCTCCCGTACTTACTTGACACATCACAGAAATATCGTTGCCAGAATTTACGGCTTTATCGCCAAAATCAAAGGGCTGAATTTGTGGCAAAACTGGAAAGAAGTATTGAATTGTTAAAGAAGATGGTAACATTGTTATAACTTTATTTTGGGTGATAAAGTGGTATGATGGTGCGAACATAAACAAAACATAAAAAAATAACACCAAAACACAATAACCAATACCATTAACTCTTAAAATAGCCGAATATTTATCAACTCCAGCTTGATTTTTAGCAGCGCATACATAATCTCCAGAGTGTTCTGCTTGTACAGCGTCTATGTTAAGTTGACTGACTCTTTTACTGGTTCTCGTAATTAATATTCCTTGCAAAGAATCTACAGGCTTCCCATTGAAGGTCCATTTAATACCAATGGGTAGATCGCCTTTACTAACTTGACACATAAGAGATACATCATCACCAGAATTGATGGTATCGTCACCAAAATCAAATGGTTGAATCTGGGGCAAAACTATAAAAGGAAATGATTAAACTAAAACAATAAAAGAAAAAAAGAATAAATGATGAAAACGATGTGTTCATATGTTATATTTAGGGGTATAACAAAATTAAACCAAAAAACACATACTTAAATCTATTGCTAAATTCAGTACCGTTAACCCTTAAAACAGCTGCATATCTATCTATTCCAGCGTGATTTTTAGCCCCACAAACATACTCCCCTGCATGTTCTGCCTGTACAGAGTCAATAGTGAGCTGACTGTCACTCCTGATACCGAGTCAATGGGCTTTCCATCAAAAGTCCATTTTATACCAATGGGAACATCGCCTTTGCTAATCGTACACATAATATTAACGTCGTCGCCAGAGTTGGTGGGTTCGTCGCCAAAATCGAATGGGGTTATTTGTGGCGGGGCTACAAGAAGGTATATAAGCTACACAAGAGTAAAGCTACTAGCCAAGCATAACTAAAAAGCGCAAGTTAATTCATATAACCATTTTTGTTTGTGATCCAGATCCAACAATTACGTCGAACCTTTAAGGGTAAATCAAATTAATCAGTATACATTGGTAAGGGTGATATAGGATGTAAGAACTACAAAATCATAACAAAATAAAAATCTTAACCATTAACTAATAACTCCGTCGAGTATCCAATTTCTCCCGCTCTATTAACAGCTTTACAAGTATAATTTCCCGCATGACTGTAGGAAACCGACTCTATTTCCAAAATACTGGTTCTTTTCCCGACCGATGATGTAGAAATTTCAGGAAAATCTTCAAGAGTTTTACCATTTAATTGCCAAGAAAGCTTTATAGGCAAGTCACCTTCAGACACTGCGCACGTAACTTGCACAAATTGACCTGAATGAACTGGGTTGTCTTCAAAGTTAAACGGTGTTATTCTTGGCAAGACTATGGAAGATTGTAAAAAATAATTGTTTATGATGATTGTAAGGTATAGGTTGAAGGAGGATAAGTTTAAACTAGAAGATACAAAACAATGAAAGAGAAATGTTAACCATTGACTTGTAGTTCTGTTGAAAAACTACTCTCCCCAGCTTTGTTAAGAGCTTTACAAGTATAGTTTGCAGCGTGTTGGTATGATACCGATTCTATTTCAAGTATACTTGTTCTTTTACCAACTGACGTTATCGATATTTCTGGAAAGTCTTCTAGATTTTTACCATTCAGTTGCCATATAAACTTTACCGGTAAATCTCCGGCTGATATTGAACACGTTACTTGTATGGATTCACCAGATTGCGCTGGGTTAATTTCGAAGAAGAAAGGGGTGATTTTTGGTAGCACTATAAGTAAAATATAATGTTAAACTATTGTCTATACTTTTTGGGTTTTTGCATAATACTGAGTTTGGGTTTCAGGGATGAGGTGTCAACTAGAAGATACAAAACAATAAAAGATAAATGTTAACCATTGACTTGTAGTTCTGTGGAAAAACTACTTTCTCCAGCTTTGTTAATGGCTTTGCAGGTATAGTTTGCAGCATGTTGGTATGACACAGATTCAATTTCAAGTATATTTGTCCTTTTGCCAACTGGCGTTATCGATATTTCTGGAAAGTCTTCCAAATTTTTACCATTCAGCTGCCAAATAAACTTTACCGGCAAATCTCCCTCGGATATTGCGCAAATAACTTGGAGAGACTGTCCTGATTGGGCTGGGTTAATTTCAAAGAAGAAAGGGGTGATTTTGGGAAGCACTATAAATAAAATATAAGGTAAGTGTATATATATCTATAGGTTTTCGGGTAAAAGAATAAGAAAAAAAATAAAATAATCATAAAATTAACCGTTGACAAGCAGTTCTGTGGAAAACATGGTTTTCCCAGCTCTGTTGGTTGCAACACAGGTATAGTTGCCTGCATGTTGATATGAAACATTTTCTATTTCTAAAATACTGGTTCTCTTTCCCACTGAAGATGTGGAAACCTGTGGAAAATCTTCCAAATCCTGGGCGTTAAGCTGCCAGGTAAATTTAACGGGTAAGTCGCCTTCAGAAACCGAACAACCAACCTGAAGAAACTGACCGGAATGTGCGGGATTGTCTTCAAAGTTAAAGGGTGTAATTCGAGGTAAAACTAAGGAAAGACAACACAAAATTTGTAACCAATCAAAAAATAAAACAAATCTAAGACACTTAACAAATATTATACCGTTAACATGCAACGTTGCCGACTGCTTTCCAACGCCAGCCTGGTTTTTAACCGCGCAAGTATAATTCCCCGTGTGAACATCCTGTACGGATTCGATGCTAAGTTGACTAATCTTTTTTGTCGTTCGAGATATTGTTACACCATCGCTGGTATCGATTACTCTACCATTAAACGTCCATTTGATGCCAAATGGAGCGTCCCCCTTAGTTATTATACAAGACACAGATACTGTGTCACCGGAATAAACCGCTTCGTCTCCAAAAGTAAAGGGAGCTATTTGCGGAGGTACTGAAAGGTTAATAGTTAAAGTAGTTAGCGGAATGATATGCACTAAACTAATGATCTAATGAGGATGCTGGCAATGCTAAGTAATGATGACATAATAAATAACCATTCACTTGTAGCTCGGCCGTGTAAGTCTCTTGTCCTGCTTTGTTTGTGGCTCTACACGTGTAGTTTCCTGCGTGCACGTGGAACACAGATTCAATTGCCAAAATAGATCCACGTTTTCCAATATTAGTGGTCGAAACTTCTGGATAATCTTCTAGTTTTGCGCCATTCAGTAGCCACTCTATCTGAACTGGTAAGTCGCCTTCAGTAACCGAACAAGAAACCTGTATAAACTGCCCTGAGTGCACGGGATTGTCTTCAAAGGAAAACGGGGTAATTCTGGGTAAAACTAAGAAAAGAAAATTAAACTTTAGGAACAAAAGAAGAAGTAATCATGCAATATAAACTATAAGTGTACCCTTAACCGCTAACGCTGTCGTATAGCTGCTAATTCCAGCCTTGTTAGCTGCCAAACACGTGAAATTCCCAGCATGTACCTCCGATAGAGAGTCAATACTCAAAACTGAAGTCTTTTTACCAACAGAAGACATACTTATACCATCGGACTGTTTAACAGGTACCCCGTTTAACATCCAAGAAAATACTACAGGAAGATCGCCGGAAGCTAAGCTGCACTGTACCGTAGCTGAGTCTCCCATGTACGAGGGTTCATCTCCGAACGTAAAGGGTTGGAGTCGGGGTAAAACTGAAGGTGTTAAATTATAAGCATAAATAAAAACTAGGACACTACTACATTTTAACATTTATAAATGCATTTATACCATTTACTGTAAGTAACTCTGATTGTTTTGCGATGCCAGCAACATTTTTTACTGCACACGTATAGTTTCCTGCGTGGATTTCCTGCACAGACTCTATATTAATTTGACTTATTCTGTTACTTAAACGCGTACTTGATATTCCGCTACTTAGGTTTATCGTTCAGAGACCATTTTATTCCTATGGGTAAGTCGCCTTTTATTACGTTGCAAAGTATTGATACGGAGTCGCCGGAATTAATTGGTTCCCTAGCCAGATCAAAGGGTAAAATCTGGGGAGAAGCTATAAAAAAGGATTTTATATATAGAAAGGAGAATGAGAACTAGCCTTTTACTCATCACCGTGACTTTATTTTAAGTGTGCTTCCACAAACAGACACCGACAGAGCCTGTTGGGGTCTTTTGGACCTCATCAGTGTCGGGTATCCATGTGGTGCCGAAGCATACTCGAAATACGCTGCCCTCGGCCGTTATAAAGCAGCCGGATACAGCGACAGCGGTGAGAGAAAGCAGGGAGAAGTTACATGCTTTAATAATATAAAACAAATACCCTTAACAACTAATTCAGTAGTAAAACTGCTGATTCCTGCCTTATTAGCAGCAAGGCATGTATAATTCCCTGCGTGTATTCCAGATAGGGTATCGATACTTAAAACTGAGGTCTTTTTTCCGAAAGCTGACGAACTGATTCCATCAGTTTCCCGCACAGGACTGCCATCAAGCATCCAGGAAAAAATAACTGGCAAATCCCCAGACGTAATGCTGCACTGCACTGTCGCGGAATCGCCCACAAACGCGGGCTCGTCACCAAAAGCAAAGGGTTGAAGTTTGGGTAAGACTGGTGAAAAATAAAAATAAAAAAACATCTACGTGCAACTAGGTACCGTTCACGCGTAAAAGCGCCGATTGCTTGGCTACGCCTGCTGCGTTTTTAACTGCGCACGTGTAGTTTCCTGAGTGAACGTCTTGTACTGAGTCGATGTTAAGCTGACTTATCCTGCTATTTATTCGAGTTACCGTGGTTCCTGTACTTAAATCTAAAGATTTGTCGTCCAAGGTCCACTTTATACCGATGGGCAGGTCTCCTTTGAGGACCGTACAAAATATTGACGCCATATCGCCTGAATTTAACGCAGTTTCTCCAAAATCGAAAGGAGTAACTTGAGGGGGAACTGTAATATTAAACGCAACATAAACAACTCAAGAAAAATAGGAAACGATACCTTCAATTTGTGTATAAAATATTTAAGATGACTGATGATGATACTACATGATGAGACTACTGATAACAATTAAAACAGACATGCTATAACATCAAAACCTGTTCAAATAGTAAAATACCATTGACTCTTAATATGGCTGATTGTTTAGCTACACCAGCTGCATTTTTAACAGCACAAGTGTAGTTACCAGTATGCACCGCTTGCACCGAGTCAATACTCAGTTGACTTATACGCTTATTAGTTCGCGATATCGACACGCCTTCGCTTGTGTCTACTAACTTATCATTAAAAAGCCATTTTATACCGATGGGAAAATCCCCTTTCATTACTGTGCAAGATATTGATACCATGTCCCCTGAATTTATGGGTTCATCTCCAAAATCAAACGGAGATAGCTGTGGAGGAACTAAAAAGTAAATATTTATACTTTCAATAAGTGAAGGTTGTAAGAGGAAAATAAGGATAAAATGTTAGTAAAAAAGAAAACTAAGTAAAACAAAAAGTACCCTTAATCAATAACTCTGCAGAATAGCTTGATATCCCAGCTCTGTTAGCGGCCAAGCAAGTGTAGTTGCCGATATGCTCTTCAGATAAATTGTCTATACTTAGTACTGATACCTTTTTGCCGAAAGATCCAATCGTAAATTTTTCGTCGTTATAAATAGGTTTACCGTTTAACATCCAAGAAAATTTCACGGGCATATCCCCATTAGATATAGCACATTGCACAGATACAGAATCGCTTACTAAAGGTAAATCTTCGCCAAAATCAAAGTGTTGAATTTTGGCCAAAACTGGAAAAAATGTTTGTGTCTTGTTAGAAACAATAATATTTGGTAAGGGAGTGATTTGGCAAAAATAAATTAATTAAGTTGTTTTATGGTACCCTTTACTACCAATTCAGCTGATTCACTGGAAATCCCAGCTCTGTTCGAAGCTAAACAAGTGTAGTTTCCTATATGTTCCTCTGATACGTTATCGATGCTTAAAAAGGAAATTTTCTTTCCAAAAGAGCCTGTGTTTATTTTACTTTGTTCAGTAATGGGTTTTCCGTTAAGCATCCAAGAAAATTTAATAGGCATATCACCAATTGAAACTACGCATTGTACGGAAACTGTATCTCCTGACAGAGGCACTTCTTCCCCAAAGAAGATTGGTTGTATTTTTGGTAAAACTAGGAAAAAGAATATTTTTATTTGGTGCCCTCTTTTATGTATTAATTTATTATTAAATACATGACATAAATAGCAGTGAGTAAATTGCACTATAAGGATTATGGGAAAATGGAATAAAATGTTAGTCAAAAAGAAAACTAAGTAAAACAAAAATACATAAAGTACCCTTGATTAATAACTCAGCAGAATAGCTAGAGATTCCAGCTATATTTGCGGCCAAGCATGTGTAGTTGCCAATATGTTCCTCAGATAAATTGTCTATGCTTAAAAATGATACCTTCTTGCCGAAAGATCCTATGCTAAATTTGTCACCATTGTGAATCCGTTTGCCGTTTAACATCCATGAAAATTTCACGGGCATATCACCAATAGATATAGCACACTGCACGGAAACAGATTCGCTGGCAAAAGGCAAGTCTTCACCAAAATCAAAATGTTGTATTTTCGGTAAAACTGGAAAAAATGTTTGTGTCTTGTCAAAGGTAATCATATCATAGGACAGGGATGATTTTGCATAGAAAAAATACATTTGTTTTATGGTACCCTTTACTAGCAATTCAGCTGATTCGCTGGAGATCCCAGCTCGGTTTGAAGCTAAACAAGTGTAGTTCCCTATATGTTCCTCTGACACGTTGTCAATGCTTAGAACCGAGATTTTCTTTCCGAAAGATCCTATATTTATATTATTTTGTTCGGAAATCGGTTTTCCGTTGAGCATCCAAGAAAATTGTATAGGCATATCACCGATTGAAACTACGCATTGTACGGAAACTGTTTCTCCTGATAGAGGCACTTCTTCTCCAAAGAAAATTGGTTGTATTTTCGGTAACACTAAGAAAATAATACTTTTGTATATCTAATATATTTGTGTCTAAAGAATAATGGTAAGGGTAAAAAAATAATGTAAGTGTCTAGTTCTCAATACCCTTAACAACTAGCTCTGCAGAAGAGCTAGCTATTCCAGCTCTATTGGCCGCCAAGCAAGTGTAGTTGCCTATATGTTCTTCAGAAACACTGTCAATGCTTAAAAATGAAATTTTCTTTCCAAAAGCACCCACATTTACTTTATTATACTTTTCTATAGGTTTTCCATTCAACATCCACGAGAATTTGATCGGCATATCACCAAACGAAACTACACATTGTACCGAAACAGTTTCTCCTACTAAAGGAATGTCTTCTCCAAAATCAAAGGGTTGAATACGCGGCAATACTGTCAACATTAAATGAGCAATGTTTAAAATATATTTGTGTCCATTTTGTATTAACATTAAAAAATAAAATACCCTTGACAACAAGTTCTGCTGAATAGGATGAAATCCCAGCTCTATTGGCGGCCAAGCAAGTATAATTCCCCATATGTTTTTCCGACACGTTATCAATGTTTAAATAGGACATTTTCTTGCCGGCGTAACCTACATTAATATTTTGATTTTCCTCTACAGGTTTTCCGTTTAAAGCCCAGGAAAATTCAACTGGCATATCACCTACCGATATCAAACAAGAAACTGATACTGCTTCACCAACGAATGGTAGTTCTTCGCCAAAATCAAAGGGGTGTATTTTGGGTAAAACTGAAAATTATAAAATGTTCGAAAATGCAACATGGAATAAATAAGCTTCTTTTCGCGACCAATATTTTGTATGTTTGTGTCTAATATAGGGAAAATAGGATGTTAGCATAAAATGAGTGAAATAATAATGACTACTAACACCTTTTACTACCAAAGTAGCCGTGTGCGTGCTTATGCCGGCTCTATTGCTAACCAAACAAGTAAAGTTTCCAGCGTGGTCCCCGTTTACCGAATCGATACTTAGGACGGACGTTCGCTTTCCAAACATGCCGACGTCTATGCCGTCAAACTGATCAACAGGTGTTCCGTTGAACATCCACGCAAATTTAACCGGACCGTCTCCTTTGTTTACGTAGCACTGAACTTGAACGTTGTCGCCTTCGCTGGACTCTTCCTCAAACTCGAAGGGGGAAATGTGAGGCAAAACTAAGTAATTAAGGTTAAGATATGGATAAGAAAAGCAAAAAAGTGCAAAAAACATCAAAATACATCAACAAGGTACCGTTAATCAACAATTCCGCTTGATGAGTTGCTGAACCTCCCTTATTGGAGGCAATGCAAGTGTAAATACCAGCGTGATCAGGTTGTACCGAGTTAA